GTATTTGACCCCTCTGCAAAACATGACTTAGTACTTGGTGGCAAAACCCTTGTTGGCAATCACAGAGGTCAGACGTTTCTTGTAGTTGGCCACCAGGTTTGCACACATCTCAGGAGGGATTTTGTCCCACTCCTCTTTGCAGATCTTCTCCAAGTTATTAAGGTTTCGAGGCTGACGTTTGGCAACTCGAACCTTCAGCTCCCTCCACAGATTTTCTATGGGATTAAGGTCTGGAGACTGGCTAGGCCACTCCAGGACCTTAATGTGCTTCTTCTTGAGCCACTCCTTTGTTGTTTTGGGTCATTGTCATGCTGGAATACCCATCCACGACCCATTTTCAATGCCCTGGCTGAGGGAAGGAGGTTCTCACCCAAGATTTGACGGTACATGGCCCCGTCCATCGTCCCTTTGATGCGGTGAAGTTGTCCTGTCCCCTTAGCAGAAAAACACCCCCAAAGCATAATGTTTCCACCTCCATGTTTGACGGTGGGGATGGTGTTCTTGGGGTCATAGGCAGCATTCCTCCTCCTCCAAACACGGCGAGTTGAGTTGATGCCAAAGAGCTCCATTTTGGTCTCATCTGACCACAACACTTTCACCCAGTTCTCCTCTGAATCATTCAGATGTTCATTGGCAAACTTCAGACGGGCATGTATATGTGCTTTCTTGAGCAGGGGGACCTTGCGGGCGCTGCAGGATTTCAGTCCTTCACGGCGTAGTGTGTTACCAATTGTTTTCTTGGTGACTATGGTCCCAGCTGCCTTGAGATCATTGACAAGATCCTCCCATGTAGTTCTGGGCTGATTCCTCACCGTTCTCATGATCATTGCAACTCCACGAGGTGAGATCTTGCATGGAGCCCCAGGCCGAGGGAGATTGACAGTTCTTTTGTGTTTGTTCCATTTGCCAATAATCGCACCAACTGTTGTCACCTTCTCACCAAGCTGCTTGGCGATGATCTTGTAGCCCATTCCAGCCTTGTGTAGGTCTACAATCTTGTCCCTGACATCCTTGGAGAGCTCTTTGGTCTTGGCCATGGTGGAGAGTTTGGAATCTGATTGATTGATTGATTGCTTCTGTGGAAAGGTGTCTTTTATACTGGTAACAAGGTGAGATTAGGAGCACTCCCTTTAAGAGTGTGCTCCTAATCTCAGCTCGTTACCTGTATAAAAGACACCTGGGAGCCAGAAATCCTTCTGATTGAGAGGGGGTCAAATACTTCTTTCCCTCATTTAAAATGCAAATCAATTTCTAACATTTTCGACATGCGTTTTTCTGGATTTTTTTGTTATTCTGTCTCTCACTGTTCAAATAAACCTACCATTTAAAATTATAGACTGAATTTATTTGTCAGTGGGCAAACGTACAAAATCAGCAGGGGATCAAATACTTTTTTCCCTCAATTACCTCTTACTCCTCCACATTGACTCGATACTGGTACCCCGTGTGTATAGCCAGGTTGTTACTCATTGTGTATTTATTCCTTGTGTTATTATTTTCTCTCTGCGTTGTTGGGAAGGGCCAATAAGTAAGCATTTCACTGTTAGTCTACACCGGTTCTTTACAAATCATGTGACAAATAACATTTGATTTGTGTTCTGCATCCATTACTCATGTTGCGTTCCAGAGGAAGTCTCCAATTATGATACTAGACATTTGAATTGCAGAAGAATGTTGATGTTTTAATTTTTCTATTGAGATATTTTGTGAAAAGGACACATACAGACATCCACCATTTTTGTTTTTAAGATTGATCTGTGAAGACTAACATCAACATGTATAAGCAAGGAAGTAAAACATGTTCAGATTTAAATATTTTAGGAGAATTTGATCATATGACCAATAGTTGTCTTTAAACCAAACATTGTTTAAAGCTTCAAACAGAAGCACAACTTCGTATATTGGGTGACATAGTTTGAATGTTATTTGAGAAATATAGCATTTCTCCTCCTTTCCTGCTTATTTCCTGTGGAATTGGTCGACCCTCAGGAGGGAGAGCGAGAGAAGGTAAAGAGAGAGGGAGGCTTGAAAAGGAACTGAAGGGGGTTGGGGAAGTGCATGGAACATTGAGATGGTGTGTGTGTGTGGGGGGAATGGGGGATTGGAGGGGGAAAGAAAAGCAGTATGAACATTCTGTTTGAATGAAGGCAGCGCTGTTCTTGGCCTTTACGTAGAGAACAGCAGATAAAAATATAATATCATTTGTTGCTGAGTCGGGCCCTCAGAAGATCTGGCCAAACCTCAAGCGAAACCCTATATTTCAAAGCCTATGGTGAATAGGGAGGTTGTTTCGTGTGAAGCGGCCTGAGGGGGGCTGTATTCGGGAGTGGGGTAATTGGTCAAATCTGGCAGGTAAAAGGGGTGGGGGGGGGGGCTCATGTGGAGATTTCATTTGTGCAATTCTTCTAGACTTCTCCATGTAATGCAGTCCACCAGGTTTGTATGTGCATCTTGATGGTGATCCCAAAGTTGAGCCAATGATATGATGGGCAGGTATAAACACTGCAACAAACCCAGGAAAACACATTCCAGGTCGCACTACTACAAATATATCTTGCTTCTGCAGGACACTGACTTTATAGCCTTTTTTAGAATAAACTAGTGCTTAACACTTTAAAAGGCCATTGGATTTATGATTCATAATTCAGAGACTAAGTGGTAAGAAATAAATGTGTCACTCCTGATTTGTAAATGTAATATGATGTGGGAGTGAAATGGCCTGTCCTCTGTGTTGGTCAGGCAGCTTTAGGCTAGCTAGTAAAGACTGGTCTTTGGAGGCCATGCGGCCCTCCGTCACACTGCCCCGGCCCACAGATTACATTTGTATGGCATCTCAGTGACACTAATGCGCAAAGAGGATATTTACAATCTGCTGGCATTGAAGCCCGCCAAGCATGAACCTTTTCTCTGAATTGCTGATGAGATTTGTGTTTTGTTTGTTTTCCTCTGTCAAGAAAGGGGTTTTATATATCAATTCTGCAAGGGATGGAAAAGAGTCCTGCTGATAGAAGGGCCATCAAAATGCAGGTTTTTTGTGTTTTCTCAGTTGGTCCTAAATCCAGTGGAATGGACATTTCTATATCTAGCCTACTTTACGCCTAATAAGATCCAGATCCAACTTATTTTTTTAAACAAACCATACTTGTTGTATTGCTAACTTTCTTTTACCTGCAATTATTTTGGTTTAGAAAAAAAGGTTGTGTGTTTGGGGTTTTGAGTCCATTTTGTGGACACTTTCTTCTCCCTATGGCATATGTTTGAATGACCTCAGAGGCCTGCTTAGGTTTGTTCTGGGCTAATTTACCTAGGCAGCTGGCACGTTTTTAATAGCACAGAGGGTCCAGTGTGCACTGGCAGCCATGCGTTTACCCGGGCCTGCTGTCTAGGGCCTCCCCTCCCCCACTCCTTCCCCTCTTCCTTCCTTTCTCCCCTCCACTCCCAGGCCAGCCCCAGAAAGAGTTAACCTGGAGAAAGTGTGGCCGCGCCGCTGGAATCCAGGGCCAAAAATTGGCAAGCTGCGTACTTAATCCTTTGATGCGCTGCAAGGCGAGCGGTGTATGTGGAATTGTCAGGATGGGGAGGATCATGACTCTAGAGCAGTAATCATACCTGGATTAGACTGTGAGAAAGGTAGAGGGGAGGAATTACCCCGAGTTGGAGAGATTTTCTCCATTGCTGGTGAAAGTGCTGGGATTTTGGTGGTATACGCGGGTGAGCGCCTGAACAATGTCCTGTAGTCCACTGAAAGCGAAAAGGCAAGGGGAAACAGATGTTTGAAAGGTATGCCATCCAATAAAATGTCTAATTACACCAGTGGAAAGAATTCATGCCTGACTCCTAGGAAACGATGCGAGGACAAAGATCAACCCCATCCTGTGTTCAACCACACTCCCAATATTCTGTACAGATTGGGTTATAACAATAATGTCAAAAGTCTGCTTCCAAAGCATAACTGGTCATCCATATTTTAATTAGGACACAGATAACGCACTAATAAGGCCTAACTACAGAATAACAAATATTTACATTCCAAAGACCGGAAAAACATTTTTAACTATCCGTCTCCTTCAAACAGGGAATCATAACATTCATGGAACATGGAATACCACACAAGTTGTGTGAAGCTTCCAGGAAAGTTCAGTTGAGGTATCATATCTCTGCTAGCTGGGGCTGCAATAGAAACCTGTTGTTTGTGGAGCCCCATAGAGATGGCCCACCCTCTCCCCCTCAGTGTTACTGCACTTCAATACACAGTTCAACTTCAAAGACAAGTTGGAGTGAGGTGTGAAAGAACAAACCTTTCTGAACAGCTTACTAGTTCCCCTTTAAGACTTTCCACTCTGAGTTTTATTGGTTGGCTTGAGTTGTGCTTATCCATTTTTAAAGGGGCAATCTGCAGTTGCTACATCCATTTTTGGACTTATAAATTAATAGTTACCCATTCTTGAAGAATATAACGTATTAATTCCTCATGATCTTAGTTCAACTGTCGTACCCCATCAGAACTTAAAATATGAGCTTATTTTACTCCAATGTTTGTAAACACTATAGATGTAAACCAACACTGTATAGCCTCAACATGGTTAAAACCATTCTTTGCATCCATAGCTCTGTCTGTGAATTTGAGTGGTTACATTTATCCAGCCCCATCTCTCATCTTTTTACTGAAACAGGGGCGGGGAAAACACGGAGTCTTTCTCCTAACTGCCACACGGGTATAAATGTCCAAATGAAGAATGCTGTGTGTAAAGTGAACCTAATCCACCCCTTTAGTCTCTCTGTCAGCCATGTGGTCAGAGCAGTTTAGTGAACCGGATTATCCTCCATCTCAACTTTTCTTCCTCAAAAGCGACACCATTTCTCTGTGGTGTCAAATTCTGCCAGGCCCTCTCATATTGTGCTGCCTGCAATGTGCCCGTTTTTTCTTTATATTAGGAGAGAGGGAGGAAGTCAGTGAGTCGCTCCACCAGCTGTAGGAAGCGAGGGACTGAATTACAGAAATGAATCAAGTGGACACCCCTCCAGGGCAGGCAGCCCCTGGCAGCAGCCTCAGCCCCAGCCCAATCTCCATCTGCACGCTCCCTGCTCTGCTCCACACAGGAAGGGCTCGAGATGGGAACGACATCGTACAGGAAGTCTTTGTTTGAAGAGCTCCGTCTCGGCAAAACAATACTCCAAATTTATATGGCCGTCACTTGCAGACCCGTCTGAATGTGTAGATAGTATTTAGACATCAGCCGGTAACTGCTGAAAGGACCTAAGTTTGTCTTCACTCGAGCAATCCAAAGTCCTCTGTAAGACCACCAGATCTTATAAGTACAACTTGCCATTATGTTAAATTGCTGCTGTGAACAGGACATGAAGGTGTACTGGTGCCTTTGTGCTCAATTCCTATAGGGTTTTGTAAAGTACTTGTGGACGACATCTTGTTTTCATCCAGAGCAGACCATTTTTTTTATACTCTGTGTCTGAACCACTTCAATTTGTCTCCCACCAAAATAAAGACCTAGGGTCGGTTGGTTGTATGGACTGAATTACACCCACGTGACCCTACTGATACCTCCATGCAAGCTGAAATAGAAGAGGAGAAACACACAGTGCTGATCTTCATAGCGTTCAGTTTCTCCTGGAGCAGAATATGCTCACCAAGTCACGTAGGAGTGGCCGCCATAAGATGCCACACTGCAGAATTTTCAGTCAGACGGACATATATGGAGCTGACACCAGTTTGCTAAAATAAAAAATGGCTCCATTTTCAGAGGCACAGTTTTGTATAATGGTAATGCCGGGTAGTCTAGGATTTATGTTGAATGTAATTGCAGTCTTTTCTGAAATAAGCACAGTTCACTTCCCAGGAAGGAACCCACTCCGTTTCAGCTCTCTCGTACTGCACCTTAGAAGACAGAGGCATGCTTTGGCACCACTCCCTATATCAGTTTACTTCAGTTTCCTCTCTCTGTAATGCAACCCTTGTGACTGGAATCGTATACTGTCACATTTATTCATTTAAACGTGATACAAATAAGGATTATTTGTGCTGTCTCCCACATATGTTTTTCCTAGATGGCGATATTCACAGTCATGCTCCATGGTTAATGGTAATCTATGAAAATCAATAGTTTATCTGTTTGCAGTTATGTATTGAGTTTTCTTGGTTTGAAATGTCTCCATGATTTGACTTTAAAACACACAGCAAGAAAGTCTTGAAATTAGTAAGCGCTTGGTGAACTCTCAACCAATATTATGTGAGGGTCACTGACAGTGCAATGTATCCAGCTGTGTCGGTAACCTGCTCACACCTGTTTTTTATTTTATTTACCCAAGGTTATCAAGTACTAGATTGCATAACTCATATTGATGCCTACAGCATCTATGGTGTGAGTGGATGCTTGTCTAACAGAATAAGAGCCTGAGGATGGATCAAAAACTCTGTTGCTCATACTTGGCAGACTTAGGATGCCTATTAGTTGCCAGTTCCTACCGTTTTGCCCTTGAGCAAAGCACCCTACTGCGCCAGGTGCGCTGAAATAACAAACAGTTTATTTTCATGCATGGCATAGGCTACTGCTTGGGTTGCCCATTTTGAATATGAAACCCTCCTCCTACTTGCCCTCCCTCAGGTGATTGACGTGGACGGCTCCAACAGGGTGACCCTGCTGGAGGACAAGCTGCCCCACATCTTTGGCTTCACGCTGCTGGGCGACTACATCTACTGGACGGACTGGCAGAGACGGAGCATCGAGAGGGTCCACAAGACCGACGCCATCCGAGAGATCATCATCGACCAGCTGCCTGACCTTATGGGCCTCAAGGCCACCAGAGTCACAGAGACCTCCGGTAGGAGACGGATAGAATGTTAATGTTTGATATGAGGATGTACACAGCTGTTTAGTATGGAAGTAGTTCTCTAGTAGTATACAAAAATTACGAATACTCAAGTAAATGTTTTTTCTAATAAGATGTATTCTCGTGGATGGATATCCACAACTGGCAGCACTTAGAGACCAGAACTCTCTGTCTGCTGCAGATAAATTGACCGCGTCTGTCTCTCTTTCTCTCAAAGGCACGAACGGCTGTGCGGAGGACAACGGCGGCTGCAGCCACCTGTGTTTCCACCGGCCCCAGGGTCTGCGCTGCGCCTGTCCCATGGGCCTGGAGCTGCTCAGTGACATGAGGACGTGCGTGGTGCCCGAGGCTTTCCTGCTCTTCACCAACCGGGCTGATATCCGCTCCATCTCTCTCGGCACAAACTCCAACGACGTGGCCATCCCCCTCACCGGGGTCAAGGAGGCCTCCGCCCTCGACTTTGATGTCTCTGAGAACAGGATCTACTGGACTGATGTCAGCACCAAGGTGAGGATGACTCCTTTTCTCTGTCATTCTAGTCATTGTTCATTTGAGGGTTTCCATGTCTAATTTTGGGTGTTTGTTTTCTGTCGTTTGGGTTGAATTAGCCATCGGGTGTTTGTTTGTTTAGGCTCCAGGCTTTTTTGATTCATATTGAGCTCTGTGCCTGACTGTTGTACAAGTGTCTGACCCTACTCCCCTGTTCTCCCTCCCCAGACCATCAGCAGGGCTTTCATGAATGGCAGCTCTGTGGAGCATGTGATAGAGTTTGGCCTGGACTACCCAGAGGGCATGGCAGTGGACTGGATGGGCAGGAACGTGTACTGGGCAGACACCGGGACCAACCGCATCGAGGTGGCCCGGCTGGATGGACAGTACCGGCAGGTCCTGGTGTGTAAGGACCTGGATAACCCTCGCTCCCTGGCCCTCGACCCCGCCAATGGGTAAGACTGACTGAGATTCGTCCCATCTGCATGACGCAACTCATAGACATGTCTGACTGACATCAGCCTGGTCGCCGATCTGTTTGTGTTGTCTTGTCAACTTCGATTGTGTGACCGTGACCATAGGAGTTGTAAAGACCGTACAAACAGCTCTGAAACCAGGCTAGACTGATGTCTCTTCACCAGTACCGATAGAGTTGTCTGGCTGGGTGAATCCCCGCACATGATCTTTTCCCTGTGAGTTTCTCAGGCAGTGAGTGTAATGAGAGGTTGCGTCAGTGGCACAGCACTGTGGCTTGTCCTCCGTGTGAGGAGTTGTTAGTCGACACGCTTGTGCCAACATGCCACGGCTTCTACATGTCACTCTGCAGTATTAAGTCATATCCTGGAGCTGTCAAAAGTCATGCCTGTGGCTTCTGGTGCATTTTTACCACGTAGCTTCAACCATCGGCATTGTTTCCTACAGCACTGTGTTGCGTTATTCCACAGTGATTGTCCCCATACTTGGGGCCATGGCCATTTTACCAATTTACTAGTTCATATTGAATTAGTTTAAGAATGCAGCCATGGTCTTGGCTGGCATCAAGTGTTTGGGGGATATAAAAATGCAGCTCTTTGTCTGTCTCTCCTCAGCTACATGTACTGGACTGAGTGGGGCGGCAAGCCCAGGATCGCCAGGGCCCACATGGACGGCAGCAACATAGTAACCCTAGTGGACAAAGTGGGCAGAGCCAACGGCCTCACCATCGACTACATCGACCAGAGACTGTACTGGACCGACCTGGACACCTGCATGATAGAGTCAACCAACATGCAAGGTAAACACATACAGTTGTCAATCTCTTTTCCAACCACTGTAATGTTAATGACAACAGCACATGATGGGGTGGCAGATAGTCTAGTGGTTAAGAGCGTTGGGCCAGTAACTGAAAGGCCGCTGGTTCGAATCCCCGACCCAACAAGGTGAAAAATATGCTGATGTGCTCTTGAGCAAGGCACTTAACCCTAATTGCTCCTTTAAGTTGCTCTGGATAAGAGTGTCTGCTAAAATGAGTAAAATATAAATGATGAGCATATTACCTTATCCATAATTATTCTGTGGTTGACCGTAATATCAATCTTCATTAGCCCAGAATGAGTGGCTATGAAAAAAGGAGCGTATCAATCTCTTTTTCAACCCCCTCTGCTGTTTATAATTAATGATACATAATAAGTATATTATCAGTATACACTATCATATTACTGTACAATATTACTATCATATTTGGTTTAAAAGCATACATACCCTCACCAATACATCGTCATTAGTCCACATTGATAATCATATCATATTTCGCCCAGGTCTGCGGAGGGAGATAGTGGCTGACGACCTCCTCCACCCGTTTGGTCTGACCCAGTACCGGGACTACATCTACTGGACAGACTGGAAACTGCGCAGCATCGAGCGGGCAGACAAGCGCAGCGGCCTCAACCGCACCATGGTCCAGGGACACCTGGAGTACGTCATGGACATCCTGGTCTTCCATTCCTCCCGCCAGGACGGTGCCAACGACTGCTCCCAGAACAACGGCAACTGTGCCCACCTGTGCCTGGCGTCGCCCGCCGGCGCACAGTGCCGCTGTGCCTCCCACTACACCCTGGATTCCAACGGCAGGAACTGCAGCTGTAAGTTGAGAAATGGGGAGCGTGCGGGCACTTGGCTGGGGGTTGTTTGGTTTAATAAACAAAATGTAGTTTTGTTCAGTGTTGTATTAATTATAGTATTGAACAGTCATAGTTTGTGCGAGGGTGTGATTATTTTGGGTTAAAACTCCAGGCCACTCTTGAACGTCTAAAACTAGATCGAAATTATGTAGAAATGAGAATGGACCTATACGTTTTCAAATGACTGCCCTTTCTCTGGCCTGCAAATTTGATGAACAAATCAGTCCCCCCAAAAAAATCAGTGTGGCCTCGCTGAACTTTTAAATCCCGATATTACCCTCGATCCCTCCCCCCGCTCTAGATGGATGTATTGTCTAAATCAAACGCAGGTCTGTCTACAGCCCTCGGCCATGCAAAACCCCAAACACATGTCGGTCTGAATCATGCCATGAGGAAACCTCAGACTTTCACTGAGGCCTGATGTGGACACAAGTGTTAGAAAGGTTGCTGTGCTGTGATTGAGCATTCCTCTGCACTTGGCAGCGGATGAAGGCTCTGTCTTTCTACATGAGTCTGCTTTTCTTTCTTACTGTTGCATACTTCCCTGGCCTCAGGGGATCACTGATTACTGCATTCTAGTAAGCTGATTACAGCCATGGAGAGGTTGGTAGGAGAAAAGGGAGAGAGATTAGTGTTTGGATTGCGCCTGCTGACCTCCCCCCTCTTTCTCTAGCCCCCTCTAGCTTCCTCCTCTTCAGCCAGAAGGCCTCCATCAACCGCATGGTCCTGGGGGAGCAGAGCCCCGACATCATCCTGCCCATCCACGTCCTCCGCAACGTCCGGGCCATCAGCTACGACCCCCTGGACCACCTGGTCTACTGGGTGGACGGACGGCAGAACATCAGGAGGGCCCGCGACGACGGCACACAGGTGAGAGATCATAAACAGCACCACAGGCCAGAATGGTTACCTGCATGTACCAATAGCACAATTAAGATAATGTCATGTGATTTCCAACAGACAATGCTCATCACCTTCCCGTTTACATATAGAGCAGGCTACTGTATCAAGGTGATGACAGGGAGTTATAGCACTTTAATTTGACTGACATAAGTACAGCCATCAGCCACAAATGAATTTGTATGAACACTGGAAATAACTTTGACAGTGTGAAACCTTTCACTGTTGTAGGCCCCTTTTCTCTGACGTGTATCTGTTTCTCCTTTATCCTTTATCCTGTTCCAGTCGTCAGTGGTGGTGTCCACCACTCCCACCCACCAGCAGCAGCCTGACAAGCAGCCCCACGACCTGAGCCTGGACCCCTACAGCCGTACTGTCTACTGGACTTGTGAGGCCACCAACACTATCAACCTCCAGCGCCTGGACGGAGACGCCGTGGGTGTGGTGCTGAGGGACGAACACGACAAACCCAGAGCCATCGTAGTCAATGCAGAGAAAGGGTGAGGAGGGGGTGGGTGGAGTCATGGCGGAGGAGTGCAGGGGAGGGTATCATGGTGGAGACTGGCTAAAACAAAATGCTGGTTCTTCATACTGTCACACTGGTTTATTTATTTTGTGAAGATGGAGGCAGACTGACTCAATAACTGCATTTAGGGATGGCAACATTTCTATTTCAAATCTACCCCATAAGTGGTGGACTTGGGAATGGAAAACAGAGGGAACTCACTCGAAAGCTTTTGAAAATATACAGGACTTCCAAAATATACAATCAGGGACAGGGTGTGGCACGCCTCCAAGCAGTAGAGTAATTAGTGGGTGATCAGGTGTTTTAGTGATGTGGTGTTGACAATTTGACTTGGAGGCTCTGTGGAGCGCTGTTTATTTTCCTTCGATAGGGCAGGGAAGGAACCACAGCCCTAAGTAAGTACGAGGCTGAGATATCAGGCCATGTGTGCAGCAGATGGCTGTATATACTGTGCTCTGCTGCCTGCGCTTCTCTACTCTCCTCACCTCTAGCCTAGTGGAGCAGTAGAGTATGGTCAGGGCCATGGTCAGGCCCTGGCAAGTTGCGCTGTAATTGTGATGCCCATTGTTCATGCGGCTGCCCTCCATGTTAGCTTCTATTTTGGTCTTTTGTGGCTTGGCCTGGATGTGGCAGAGGGGACTTACTCCATAGGAGTAACCCAAAGTCAAAGAAGTAAACAAATCGACATGGCGTGTTTATTATTTCAATGAGCGTGGCCAGAAAGGAAACATTTTTAACTTATGGCAACCAGCTTGACAATTTTGAGAATTTGACATGGTCTTGTAGTTGTATGTTTTTTGAAAGTTGCATTTGATTCCCTGTCTCTCTTTGGGCCTGGAAAACAGTAGATAAACATTGAAGATATTTGGCTCAGTAAAGGTTACAGGCAGGTTGAGCATCTGTCAGGATACATTTTTCTCCCACGTTCCCTTGAGAAGGGACAGCTTCCAGATTTACTCAAAGCATTCTGTTATTACATTAATACTTCAACTTCTAATGCTCGCAGACTGCCATAAACAGTTGTTCCCTTGACGAGGCAGAACCAAACTGAAGAAGCAGAACCAAATTACAAACAGATGAGAGTTTGAGCAATAGCATTTATTTCTCCAAGTCTTCTCAGTCCAAACAAGTGTTAGGGAGTTTCTTATCAGAGCTGATAGAACCTGGCATGAGACATAACAAACAAGGGAAGGCCCACACAGCCAGACAATAGCTTCTACTCCTCCAGGCTTTCAGAGCGAGAGCGAGAGACTGAATAGCCCTGCGCTCTAGTCTACACCCAGCACAGTACAGGGTGAAGGAGAGCCCTGCCCTGCCCACCCATCAAAACGCATACCACAATATTATACTATCTAGCATCATCTCTGGCTGATTTAAATTGTTTTGTAGTGTGATAATGTACACTATCAAGGTTAACTTGTATCTAAAATACTGTACACAGTTGGGGATTTAGGGTTTGGCTAGAAACGGATCAAATGTCTGGCAGTATGCTTTTGTTTTGGTCATTTTAGCTTTCTAACCTCAGACCGGCTCCGTCTCACCTCTCCTGTAGGTACATGTATTTCACCACCATGCAGGATCGCTCTGCTAAGATCGAGGGAGCGTCTCTGGATGGAACGGAGCGGGAGTCTCTGTTCACCACGGGTCTGATCCGGCCTGTAGCCCTGGCCCTGGACAACAAGCTGGGAAAACTGTTCTGGGTGGACGCTGACCTGAAACGCATCGAGAGCAGTGACCTCACTGGTGAGTCCCAGGGCTAAAGAAGTGTGGACAGCCATTCTAGATCCAGAGCATCAGCACTCATAAACACTGTTGATCATCTAAAAAGATGTTGTTCCTTTTGTTTTCATCTGCTTTGACAGTATATATTTACAGCTCTCATTCTCAATAGTCACTGAAGTACACAGCAGTACTACAGAAAATGACACGGAATGTTCCTCCAGTCCAAACACAGTTTGTGGTCTAAAAGGGGGAGCTGAGTTTGATCATAGGAAAATAGTAGGTAATCAAAACGGATGTGGGCCTTTTTTAATGTAATCCTTGGTCCCTCCTAGTCCCTCCCTCACACGAGCAGAGACATCAAGGTTGTCTGGTTAAGCTCTATCATTGTCAGACAGCTGCTAGCCATGTCCTGGTGCAGAGAAAGGTTTGATGTCTGCCTGGTGGCTGATGAGCTCACCTTTATCTGACTCTGCACATACATGTTTAGCTTCACTCCCCCTGCCTGGCCTCTGAAGTCTGGAATGGATAGGAACGAGCACCCAGACTGATTTATCCAGGCGAAGACTGTCGAGTTATACAAGAGTGTATCTTTACTTTGGCAGACCATGTTTGGTCAGAGATATTGAATATTATTCAAACTTGTTTTTGTGATGGCGTCTAAAGTTGTTACCTATATTTGGTATGATAAAGGTTAGAGCTTCTGAAGGAAGACCTAAGGGTCTGAAAGTAAATACGTTTGGGAGAATACACGTTCTTTGATGTTTAGGATAGGGTGTCTATAGTGTATACGACCCTGGTTCTGATGAGGTCATTCCTCTTCCTCCTCCCAGGAGCCAATCGGATCGTCCTCCAGGACTCAAACATCCTGCAGCCCATGGGTCTGACGGTGCTGGGGGAGCACCTGTACTGGATCGACAGACAGCAGCAGATGATCGAGCGGGTGGACAAGCTGACGGGGGAGAAGAGGACCCGCATCCAGGGTCGCATCTCCTACCTCACCAGCATCCACGCTGTGGAAGACATGGACCCTACAGAGTTTGGTAAGGCAACAGGACCCTTTGTTTAGTCACTTCCGTTGCATATGTAGTTCTGTATGTAGTACAGCAGAGTCTTCAATGGCCAAAGCTAACCGCCCACGTCTTCTTCCTCTCCTCCAAAGCTTCCCATCCCTGTTCCCGTGACAACGGAGGCTGCTCACACATCTGCATCGCCAAAGGAGACGGGACGCCTCGCTGCTCCTGTCCCATGCACCTGGTCCTGCTGCCCAACCTGCTCGTCTGTGGAGGTACAGCACAGCTGCTGCTTTAACAAATCCAATAAGGCTTTGAGTGAACCATATTACGTGCATTATTCCTCCACCAGGCTTTTGCTGTGAATCTAAACTTCCTCTGCTCCTCTACCACCTCAGAGCCTCCCACCTGTTCCACAGAGCAGTTCACTTGTGCCACGGGTGACATTGACTGCATCCCAATGGCGTGGCGCTGTGATGGCTTCGCTGAGTGTGACGATAACAGTGACGAGGAGAAGTGTCCCGTGTGCTCGGCCTTGCAGTTCCAGTGTGACAAGGGCCAGTGTGTGGATGCTCAGCTACGCTGCAACGGAGAGCCAGACTGCACAGACAACTCCGACGAACAGGACTGTGACAGTACGCTCACTCAACTCATACACTTTGTGCACTACATTTCGACACTGTTCCAGTTCAGTAAACATGGACTAATGTCGTTGGGATTTATACTGGGAGATTGTTCTATCACCAGCATCAGCGACCTTGTTGTGTGGATTGTGGCGCTAAACCAAGTCTTGTAACGAGGACTTTGCTCTGCTCTCCTCCCCTCAGCTATCTGCCTGGCCAACCAGTTCCGCTGTAACAACAACCAATGCATCCTGAAGAAACAGCAGTGTGACTCCTACAGCGACTGTGCTGACAACTCTGACGAGCTCTTCTGCGGTGCGTTTATCTCAAATCAAATCAAATTTTATTGGCCACATGCGCCGAATACAACAGGTGCAGACATTACAGTGAAATGCTTACTTACAGCCCTTAACCAACAGTGCATTAATAAATAAATAAATAAAACAACAACAAAAAAAGTGTTGAGAAAAAAAGAGCAGAAGTAAAATAAAATAACAGTAGGGAGGCTATATATACAGGGGGGTACCGGTGCAGAGTCAATGTGCGGGGGCACCGGCTAGTTGAGGTAGTTGAAGTAATATGTACATGTGGGTAGAGTTAAAGTGACTTATCTTCACTTACTGTCACTGTTTAGAAAGTCAAGGGAGTTCAGAATTTACACATACCTGTGTTTTGTGTCATTTTTCTCAGACTTGACAGCAGTCCGTTAAATGTATAGTAATGTCTTTGCCTGTCTGTTGTAGAATTCCTCACCCCCTCGTCAAACGACATTCACTCATCTCACACCAGCACCATCGGCCCAGTCATTGGCATCATCCTGTCAGTGTTCGTGATGGGAGGGATGTACTTTTTGTGCCAGCGGGTGGTGTGCCGCCGGTACAAAGGTCCCAACGGAGCCTTCCCCCACGAGTACATCAGTGGCACCCCCCACGTACCCCTCAACTTCATCGCCCCCAGCAGCTCACAGAATGGAACCTTCACAGGTAAAGGTCAGCTATTACACAACACTGAAAACTGCGATCGGATAGTTTTTACGTGCTGAAACAGGTAGTTGTTCTATCTGACTGTATTTGACGGTGTTTTGTGTTTCTTAGGTATCTCGTGTGGGAAGTCTATGATGAGTTCAGTCAGTCTAATGGGGAGCAGCAGTAGTGGGACTCCGCTCTACGACAGGAACCATGTGACAGGGGCCTCCTCCAGCAGCTCATCCAGCGCCAAGGGAGCCTTCTATCCACAGGTATGTACCCAACTTCTCTGCCCTCTTTTACCTACACGTAGGAACCCAACTCCTCTGTCCTCTCCGAGTTGGCTCTCATACATAATTCCCAAAATGAAGAAAAGTACATTTTCTCCTATTTCGAACTTTACTGGACAGTGTATTATTTTATTTTTTTATGGTTTGTAATTGAATGGGTAAAGATTTGTATTTTATTCTCTGTGTTTGCAGATGCTCAACCCGCCACCCTCTCCAGCCACTGATCGCTCCCTGTATAACGCAGACATCTACTCCTCCAACAGTCCCTCCACCACCAGGTCTTACAGGTAAGAGATGAGGCACACTTTATCAGTTTCTCTCTTTGCATTATGCTACAGTCAGCTTGATGTAAATCAAATAAAACCATGTCTTCTCTCCTCCATGCTTGCTCCTGAAAGGCCTTATCTAATGCGAGGCGTGGCGCCCCCCACCACCCCCTGCAGCACTGACGTCTGTGACAGCGACTACACCACAAGTCGCTGGAAGAGCAACAAGTACTACATGGACCTTAACTCAGACTCTGACCCCTACCCTCCTCCCCCCACCCCCCGTAGCCAGTACCTATCAGCAGAGGAGAGCTGCCCCCCTTCTCCATCCACAGAGCGCAGTTACTTCCACCTCTGTCCCCCGCCCCCCTCACCCTGCACTGACTCCTCATGACACCCAGGGAAATAGCCATGTCTGTAAATAATTTTAAATATGAACAAATTAGATAATTCTATTTTATTCATTTCCACTGATTGCCATGGGTTAAAGTGGGGATGGGATGGAATAGGGCCAGATCAAGTGTGAAATTGTTGTACAGTGTGAATTGTATCACTTGTCTTTATTTTTCATGTTTCCCACCCTCGTTTTGGATGGAGTATACTCCTAATTAGAGAATACTTTCAATTTGACTCCATTCTATTGGCCTTTGACAATTCTTTGTTTTTTCAGCAAAATACTTTACAACTTCCTTCAAACAGAAACCTATTTACGGTGAAATATTTAACATGCTTACACCAATATTGGTTTGAGGAAGTACTCTATTCAAAAATATTAAACTGGTAATGTGGCCAGCCACATTACATAAAAATACCAAAAGAATTTCTAACAAAAAATATTGTAAATATTTGTAATTAAGTAAATAATAGTTTCATAACAGCCATGATATGTTCTTATTACTGATTTCATTTGTGATTTGAAATTGTCCCAAGCATATGTTTATTTTACAATATACCAAAAGTGTGTTTGCTGCTACTGTACATATATACTTTACTGAGTTATGAAAACACTTAAAGAAAGCACCCAACAAAACAATTACAATTTGCATATTAAGAATGACAATAGATCATCAAGCTATTTTACTGTTTTAATTATTCGTCTAGCAACATTGCAATTGTTTTTTTGTGTAGAACAGTATACACATGTTCATTTGTGAAATTGTGTTAATTGTTTTGAAGGAGTCTATATGAAATAACTCAAAAGAGCGGCTTCATCATTGATGCAGTTGTCAACCAGAAATGACAAGGTTAGACCCAACCTTTTAACTCTATCGTGAATCTCTTCACTTAATCATGAAATGTGCATATAAATGTGCTCTGTTTAAAAAAAAAAATAAGATACCAATACTGTTGGTATTTCAGCTTTTGTCAATGAGTTTTTAGTAAAAAAGCTGTTCCATCCTCTTCTCTAAACAATGTTACTATCACATTATACCTTTAAATTGAACTATAGATTGAATATCATACACCTGTAAAACCATGGCTCCATTACATTGTCTTGCTTTAAAGGTCTACGTGTGCGTTCAGCAAGCTGTCAATGTTGCCAAATTGAGCACTTAAAAATGAACTATCCAACCAGTTATGAAATGTGAATGTAAAATGACTGTGGAACGCGTAGAGGGAAATGTATATTGAATTCATACCTCTCTTAAAGCTTCTTTCTGAGCTTTTTCTCAGTCATTTGGATATTTGTGTATAGACAATTAACCATGGTGCTGACATAAGAAGTGAAATTAAATAATGTTCAATATTAATGCTATGATAAAAAGTGGCAGCTTCTGGCTTCTACCAGAGGTTGTACAGGTTCCTCAGACCTCCACAACACAACCCGGTGCCCTGCCAATTTCAAGCCATGTTGCTGGATAGGGGAACCTTCAGCTTTACTTCATTGTGCCAGTATATAGATGCTCCCCGAACAAACTCTGTCTTGTGTTTTGTGTTTAAATGCCTTGTGTAATTTACACTTGTGACAATTTTTGTATCAAAAGCAATTTATATAATAAAGGTTATATTTTAAGGAATAATTGTGTGCCTAATCTTTTAAATGAGTGATTTATTTATGTTTATATAGTCACATGAAATGTGATATTAATTTCCATTGCATGGAAAAGTTTGTTGATGATCCAAATGGGGTTCACATTACTGTTGAGATGCTACTGCACTGACGATTCAGCACAGCCAGAAGAGGTCTGGACACCCCTCAGAGCCTGGTTCCTCTCTAGGTTTCGTCCTAGTCCTGCCTTTTCTAGGGTTTTTTTTCCTAGGCGCTGTGCTTCTGCATTGCTTGCTCTTTGGGGTTTTAGGCTGGGTATCTGTATAGCTCTTTTGTAATAACTGATGTAAAAAGGGCTTTATAAAATACATTTGATGAATGAATCATAGCTAACTGCTGCCACCATTTGGAGAAAAGTTGGACCATCCTTTTTATATGTAAATAAATGCTTAATTTGTCTCTTTCACTTTTCACAAGTGAACATCCATGTCCAAAAATCATCAATCTACCCTATTAAAGACTAGATATGGCCACAATATTTTGAGTGCTGCGAGCTGAAAGAAGAATATGCAGCAGGTGTACTCTATTGGCAGTCCTAGAAACACATCCCTGGTGTAATTGCTGCTGCATACAACATTCTTCTTCATAACACATCAGTCTGCAGTTCGAATAAGAAGATACAGTAGGTCAATATGTGTTCCATTGCTGAGCCAGTGTGGTATGTCACCCTCATAAACACAATAACAACCTGTGTAAGCTATTCTGTGACCCCTATTAACAAGAATTATAGACTGTTAGCATGGACATGGAAAACTCCTTAACTTTACAACTCTCCTCCCTTGGGTATGTAAAACAGAAGGAAACTACATATGAGGAAACAAATTGCTATTTGATGTTCCTATTTTGCTGTACATTGCTGAAATAATCGTTTGAGTAGGTTAGTTGAGGAGAAGAAACAACTATGTAAGACTTTAGCATTTGATGGCTGGCTTTCGAGGTTACTAACAGTGAATGGAGGGACACCTTAAGAGACTGCTGCTAGTCTCCAGGTGAAGTTACTCTCAAGTGCAGGCCTGTAATGACAGGTCTAAACTGGAAAACCCCTCACATGTTGTTTGTTTTGCTCATTTGGATGTCTTCCATCTCTGCTTGATGATGACAAAGTTATACTTTTACTTTCCATAATCCCTGACGTTACCAGTGATAACCAAATCACTGTTTTGGGGATTAATAGCAATAGTTTCGGGGAGTAACAGCAATAGTTTTGTGGAATAATAGCAAAAGACGGGTGGACTTTTTTGTTCCAATCCCTATTGACTTAAACATGACCACACCTATAAGTAGTCTTCACTCTGCACTCTTTTCATGTCTCCCTCTGCATTTGTAACATATGATGATACTGAGGGCCTGCAATACATCACCAGATTAAATTGAAGGTAATTTCCATTTTCAGACCCTATGGTTACAGGTTGTAATGACACAATAAGAGAAAAACAATTCAGAGAACCAAAAAAAAAATGGAATATCATGACACACACACTTTACATCGATAATAACCATGGGGAAAATATCAAATCAAATGTATGTATAAAGCCCTTTTTACATCAGCAGATGTAAAACCCAGCCTAAAACCCCAAACAGCAAGCAATGCAGATGTAGAACCATGGTGGCTAGGAAAAACTCCCTAGAAAGGAAGAAACCTACATTTACATTTACATTTTAGTCATTTAGCAGACGCTCTTATCCAGAGCGACTTACAGTTAGTGAATACATATTTTTTATACTGGCCCCCCGTGGGAATCGAACCCACAACCCTGGCGTTGCAAACGCCATGCTCTATCAACTGAGCTACATCCCTGCCGGCCATTCCCTCCCCTACCCTGGACAACGCTGGGCCAATTGTGCGCCGCCCATGAGTCTCCCGGTCGCGGCCGGCTGCGACAGAGCCTGGATTTGAACCAGGATCTCTAGTGGCACAGTTAGCACTGCGATGCAGTGCCTTAGACCACTGCGCCACTCAGGAGCCCAGAGGGGAACCAGGCTCTGAGGGGTGGCCAGTCCTCTTCTGGCCGTGCCGGGTGGAGATTATAAGAGTACATAGCCATTAAGGCCAGATTGTTCTTCAAGATGTTCAAACATTCATGACCAACATGGTCAAATAATAATCACAGTGGTTGTAGAGGGTGCAACAGGTTAGCATCTCAGGAGTAAATGTCAGTTAGCTTTTCATAGCCGAGCATTCAGAGGTCAAGACATCAGGTGCGGTAGAGAGCGAGAGAGAGAGGGAGAGGGAGGGAGGGAGGGAGAGGGAAAGAGAGGGTCGAAAACAGCAGGTCTGGGACAAGGTAGCACATCTGGTGAACAGGTCAGGGTTCCATAGCCACAGGTAAAACCACATAAACTGGATCAGCAGCACGACCAGGTGGACTGGGGATGGGGACAGCCAGGAGTCATCAGGCCAGGTAGTCTTGAGGCATGGTCCTAGGGCTCAGGTCCGGGAGGGGAGAGAGAGAGAGATGGGAGAATTAGAGGGAGCATACTTAAGTTCACACAGGACACCAGATAAGACAGGATAATTTCACCAGATAGGACAGACTGACCCTAGCCCCCCGGCACATAGACTATTGCAGCATAGTTACTGGAAGCTGACAGGAGGGGTCAGGGCACACTGTGGCCCTGTCTGATGATACCCCTGGACATGGCCAACCATGTGGGATATAACCCCACCCACTTTGCCAAAGCACAGCCCCCACACCACTAGAGGGATATCAACAGACTACCAACTTATTACCCTGAGACAAGGCTGAGTATAGCCCACGAAGATCTCTTCCAACGCACGAGCTCGAGGGGGCGCAAGACGGGACAGGAAGATCACGTCAGCAACCCACTCATGTTGAGTATAGCGAAAAAAGCCTGGTATGACGTGACGCACCCATCCTAGGGACGGCATGGAGGAGCACTAGTAAGCCAGTCACTCAGCCCCCGTAATAGGGTCAGAGGCAGAGAATCCCAGTGGAGAGAGGGTAGCTGGCCAGGCAGGACAGTAAGGGTGTAACAGTCAAAAATATTTGTGCAATAATATGGTTTAACACTGGCAGATTATATTTGCTTTATGCTAGGAGATGACTTTTGATCAGTTGCATGGGCTGTAAATCCTTGAGATGCAAAGATGAGCAACTCCTGGCACTGGGTAGCCTATAATGCATCAATATCATCACACTGAGAAATTACATTTACATTTTAGTGAAATGAGAAATGATATACTGTAGTTAAATGTAATGTTGGAATACTCCTTTCAGGTTATCAGGTGTCATTTTCTGTTATCAACTCATAACAATGAGTGGTAATCATATAACACTAGAGTGAATCACAGACTATGCCCACAGGAGACACTTATGTCACGTGTAAGACATCCTGCATCCCCCGTGTGTGTATGTGTGTGTGCGTGTGTGCGTGCGTGCGTCTCAATCAAAGCAATAAGAGCTTGTTTGACGAATGGGCGTACACATGCTGCCCTAATGCATGCTTGCCTAAATTCATAAATGTATAGAAAAGTATGTTTTCAGGGCATGCATTAGATACCAATCCTCTGAAATGCGCAGACTGACTGCAAAAAAGACTACCTGGAACGCGACGATATTTTTTCCACTGCCGCAGTGATGGAAAGGAGGAGGGATTTTAGACCCATGGCAACTGACCGCGAATGCCAGAGAACGTTGTTTTTCACGCGTTCCACCCTGCTCTATCTGCGGAAATGGGGAGTTTCTCGACCGACAACGTTTTTTACGGCAAGGGAGTGGACGCGGTTTAATGACGGTCAGTGCTATTCGGAATACATGGGACGTCCCTACCCTAAACCCTAAACATTTTACTTCTCAACTTCAATGGGGTAGGGACGTCCCAAGGATCCATAGCACTGACCATTTAATGACTTGTACAGTACCAAATCACAAGACTGAACTCGCTAAAAGTCTGATTGGCGTGATTCATAGCCAATAGAGCTCAACCGATCTGTTTGATTGACAGGTACTTTAGTTGCGGTAAAGATTCGGTTGTCACTACAGCCACAGTCACAATTGGGTATATCGTAAAAACTAATTAAAACAAAAATTTGCTTTTTGGTCTTAATTTAAGGTCAGGGTTAGGCATAAGGTCAGTAGTGTGGTCAAGGCTATGCTTAAGATTAGGTTTAAAATCAGATTTTAAGAAGATAAATTGTAGAAATGGGCGGGGTTTAGCCATAATTATGACTTTGTGGCTGTGGTAACTAGTGACGACCAAAAGATATAGGTAACTAACCCTTCTATCTGGTGTGGGCCTGCCTGGTTGTGGTGGGGGAAGGGGTCGTTGAAGTTGATGGAACCGCCATCTTGAAAAGTGCCATCTGACAGTCTAGCAACATTTTCTCGCCTGTCAGAATCAGTTGTAAACACTTTTTTTTTTTTTTTTTTGCTCTTAGGATTTGTCGCTTTTTTGTTATTGTTGACACTTTAGGCTAATGGCTCAATAAGCTACATGCCGGGGACTCACCATTTACCGTTGTTTATTGGTACGTACTTGCTAGCTAGTCCATGCAGTTCAGGAGACAAGAACAGTACTTGACCAGTTACTGAGCTAGCTAGCTAACCGGAGCAACACTAAGTGACTAACTACCCATTTATCGTTAGCTACCGGTAACTTAGCTACCCCGATGTATTTCTTAGTACGAATCGTCTTTACTTGTTATATTGTACTCGATAGATAGCTACGGTACGTTAGTCTTATTGTGTGTGAAAAGCCACTGGGGTCGATTGAAATGCACAATGTTGATTGCTAGCTAACGCTAGTTAGCCGTATTTCAGACCAGTGTTCGACACGGTTCGGTTTGGCCTGTCTTTGCGTTGGTTAACTAGGCCATTCCGGAAAATGCTAACTAACGTTAGCTGCTAGCTTGCGTCCACCGTTTGGATATTGATGTTAACTTTACAGATGTTGGATTTTGTATTTTTTTTGCCAGCTAGCTAGCTGACGTTAATTATCTAGAGCGTCAAATTGTTTAAGTTATTGATGGGAACTGGCAAGCTAACAAAATATTCGGCTAGTTGGCTACCTAGTAAGCGTTAGCTTTTCGGATAAAGATTATGTGGTAACGTTAAAGTAGCTGGTTAATGTTAGTAGTTTGGGGAAACCACGTCAGCTGTAACTACGTTACTTAGATAACTATCTGGTAAACGAACGTTACGTTAGTTGTCCGCAGCGAATTCACCTAGCTACCTATCAAGCAGCTGTCTATTGTGTTAGTTAGCTAGCTAGCTAGGTACTGTTAGCTTAGTCGTTTTGGCATAGTTTCAGGATTCTCCGGGTCAGGCTAAGTGTTGAATTTAGCTAGATAGTTAGTTCTGTTTCTGACCCTTATAGCTACATAACTAACTTGGCTAGCTAGTTAGTCCCAGCCTGTCCTGAGACATGGCTATTGGTTACTTAGCTAACGTTAGCTAGCTAACGCACAAAAGTGTCTAGCTAATACAGTAAGAACAACACTGAACAGCAAGGGCTAAACGGCAATGTAACCCTTTGCTCCCAGGGCAGTGCATTACATTGGACAAACAATAGTGTACTAAAAGAAGGTAGGCATATACAAAAACACATCAGGTTATATGACACGTTCTGGTTTAGTTTACATGAAACATAATGTTACCTTGGGCAAACCCTGGGTTTCAGTTTTACACTGATGTCACTGGAATAGTCATATGTGTATATTTGAGTAACCAACCATACATAAATGTTTTGTATGGTTGTGATTTAGTTGACAGATTGTTTTTGGTTTCACCCACTGGGGCTTGACTATCCAGCGTTTGTGTCCTGTCTTTGTCAACTGAGACAGATGGGGCTATTCCTTAAATCATGGAATTAAGTGTTCATAAGCTTTCTCAGTAGCTGGGAGAGCAAACAGTTAAGCACCAGGCCATAACCATACAACAGATGTAAACCAGCAGCTGACAGTGCTTATTTTCTGTTTGTATCACAGGACTTTGTTCAGGCCTATGTTGCGCTCTTGGGTGGTGATAAAATACTGTTTTTCCTGTCATTATTTGGTTGCCCGTGGTAGACAGAATTAATGCCAGACAACCAATGTTGTCCATGACATTCATTTTGACATCTTCACATTCTTTTAGTATTTTATAGAGCAATGATTGAGTTGCACACTTTCATCAAAGCATGTGCCTGGACAGGTGCCAATGTCAATGGTCCCTCAGCACAGCCCCGATGCTCAGTCTATTAATACGCTTTCTTTTCTCAGCCATTCACTGATCTGAGGTACTGGTTTAGCATAAGCCAAGATGACTTCACTGTAACCTTTAACCCTATTTCTGCCAGGCTTCCCCACAAGATGGGAATTCCCAGCAAATACTTTGTTGTGACACTTTATTTTCTATTTACCTGAGGGCCAGGTGTACACAGTGGGAAAATATGTTTATCTTTTGAGGCATATGACTAGTGTGTGCATTGAACATGTTTCACTGCTTTGTTCTTATGGTGAGTGAGTTGTTGACACTGTTATATATTTAAGCAATAAGGCCAGAGTGGGTGTGGTATATGGCCACTATACAATGGCTAAGGGCTGTTTTTACGCACGACGCAACGCGGAGTGCCTGCATACAGCCGTTGTATGTTGGCCATATACCACAAACCACCGAGGTGCCTTATTGCTATTATAAACGGGTTACCAGCGTAATTACAGCAGTAAAAATAATTATTTTGTCATTCCCGAGTGGCGCAGCGGTCTAAGGCACTGCATCTCAGTGCTTGAGGTGTCACTACAGACCCCCTGGTTTGATTCCAGGCTGTATCACAATTGGCCGTGATTGGGAGTCCCATATGGCGGCACACAATTGGCCCAGCGTCGTCCGGGATTGGCCAGTGTAGGCCGTCATTGTAAATAAGAATTTGTTCTTAACTGACTTGCCTAGTTAAATAAAGGTTAAATAAAAAAAATACCTGTGGTATACGGTCTGATATATCACGGCTGTCAGCCAATCAGCATTCAGGACTCGAACCACCCAGTTTATGATGCCTCTTAAGATGTGACAAGGTGATTTGACTAAGCACAGTGTTCTGAACTTGCAACAATGTTGCCAGTATGTTGTGTGAGGAGAGGTTAGCCCAGTAATGCTTGTCTTAATGCTTTGAAGTTTAAACAAAGTGTAGACTGCTTCTGTTTTGGGGAGAGTTGTTGGCATGGCGATAAGGAAGTGCATATTTTCCTATGATGGAAAAGCTATGGTTTACCGGCTCTTTGCCAGAGATTTAAAGTTTGTCTCATGACCTAGACTAAATATTGGTTTTCACCTGTTTAACACACTTCTTATTTTAGAAGGTAATGTAACACAAAATAATGAACATAGCTTAAATTACTACTTGTTTCAGTAGCATGTAACCTTAACGTAAGAAATCTTACTGTTAGTAAGAAAATGTGCCATTACAATGAGTAATATGATAATGTTTTTATTTTCTTTGTTTCAGGTGTGCGTTGATCTGTTGAGGCCGAGGTGGTCGTTCTGCTGCCTGTGGAGCCTGTAATGGGCCAGAACTCCCGACGAGCACAATCATTATTTTATTTTTAACATCTGGGCTCTACCCCAGTCAGGTATGTTTGTGAAGTTGTCTATTTGACCACCTCATCTCAACCCACATTGTGCTTTGCCATTGTCTTATGACTATTTTCCTTCCTTACAGAAGCATCATGTTTTGGAAGTTTGATTTACACACAACATCCCACATCGACACCCTCCTGGAGAAGGAAGATGTGACTCTGACAGAGGTGATGGACGAGGAGGATGTCCTGCAGGAGTGCAAGGCCCAGAACCACAAGCTAGTGGACTTCCTGGTACGGCCTCAGTGCATGGAGGACCTGGTAACTTACATCACGCAGGAGCCAAGTGATGATGTGGAGGAGAAGATCAAGTACAAGTAAGTGGGATTCATACACTAGGCCAGGATATACTTACGAATATATGCCAGTTTTGAGAGCGATTTCTTGTTTTCTTTCAGCTTCCCTTGCGTTTACCTCAAGGGAATTCCCCTACAATCACAAGGGTGCAAACATGACTTGCTAGACAGTCAATTATATAGGACCTTTGATGTGATCTTTTGTGTAGTATAGGTACTGTATTAATCTATCACTAAATGTTGTACTTTCAGGTACCCCAACATATCCTGTGAACTCCTTACCTCGGATGTTGGGCAGATCAATGACAGACTGGGAGAAGATGAAAGTTTACTGATGAAACTTTATGGCTTCTTGCAAAACGAATCTCCACTCAACCCTTTACTGGCCAGTTTTTTCAGCAAGGTCCTGAGCATCCTCATCGGCAGGAAACCAGAACAGGTGAGATCAATACAGAACGCTAGTATAAACCACACTGGTTTTAAAAAGTTTGACCTGCTCTGGGAGAAAAGATTGTCCTGTGACACATCCTTAAACAAACTTCCACTATCTTTTGCAGATTGTGGAGTTTCTGCGGAAGAGGGAAGACTTTGTGGACTTAATGATTAAACACATAGGGACCTCTGCCATCATGGACTTGTTGCTCAGAATGCTGACCTGCATTGAACCACAGCAGCTCAGACAAGATGTCTTAAATGTAAGTGTTATTTGGTTTTCTTCATGTTTTGATGTTTCGGTCAATTTTTTTAGTGTTCAATCATCAACCTCTAACTTCTTCTCTTCCTACAGTGGCTGAACGAGGAGAAGGTGATCCAGAGGCTTGTTGATATGGTCCAGCCTTCTCAGGATGAGGATGTAAGTCACATTTCATCAGCAGTTTGTTTGGAGTCCTGTTGCTCTTTTGCAGTGTCTTCACCAGTCTGCCTCTCTGTTCATCATCCAGAGGCACTCCAACGCATCCCAGTCGCTGTGCGAAATCATCCGCCTCAGCAGAGATCAGATGTTCCAAGTGCAGGGCTGCTCAGAGCCTGACCCCTTACTGGCCACACTGGAAAAGTGAGTCTCTACAACCTGTTTTTTATTTTTTCAACAAGGAATACTCATTATTACTGTCATGATATTCACTGTATTTTATTGTCGTGGCAAAATCACTACTGATTTACATGTCCCTCCCTTTCTCTCAGACAAGAGACTGTGGAGCAGTTGCTGTCCAACATATTTGACAAAGAGAAAAATGACTCTGCAATAGTCAGTGTAATTCAGATTCTCCTGACACTCTTTGAGACACGAAGACCAGCGTAAGTTAACAATATCCCATTTTAAAGTTTGATTTGTTTTGTGTTGTGAGACTTGTCTGATGTACTGTTCTGTCATGTGCAGGTTCGAAGGCCATTTGGAAATCTGTCCTCCTGGTATGAGCCACCCATCCTTCTCAGTCAATCAGAGCATTCTCGAGGCTGTCAGACCCAGGCTCAAAGACTTCCATCAACTGCTGCTGGAACCCCCAAAGGTAATACCATACTTTGCATACACTATATATACATAAGTATGTGGACACCCCTTCAAATTAGTGGATTCGACTATTTTAGCCACACCCGTTGCTGACAGGTGTATAAAATTGAGCACACAGCCACGCAATCTCCATAGACAAACATTGGCAGTAGAATTGCCTTACTGAAGAGCTCAGTGACTTTCAACGTGGCACCGTCATACGATGCCACCTTTCCAACAAGTCAGTTCATCAAATTTCTTCCCTGCTAGAGCTGCCCCAGTCAACTGTAAGTGCTGTTATTGTGAAGTGGAAACGTCTAGAAGCAACAACGGCTCAGTCGCGAAGTGGTAGGCCACACAAGCTCACAGAATGGGACTGGCGAGTGCTGAAGCGCGTAGTGTGTAAAAATCGTCTGTCCTTGGTTGCAACACTCACTACCGACTTCCAAACTGCCTCTGGAAGCAACGTCAGCACAAGAACTGTTCGTCTTGGAGCTTAATTAAATGGGTTTCCATGGCCGAGCATCCGCACACAAAAATAAGATCACCATGCGCAATTCCAAGCGTCGGCTGGAGTGGTATAAAGCTTGCCACCATTGGACTCTGGAGCAGTGGAAACGCGTTCTCTGGAGTGATGAATCACGCTTCACCATCTGGCAGTCTGACGGACAAATCTAGTTTTGGCGGATGCCAGGAGAACGCTACCTGCCCCAATGCATAGTGCCAACTGTAAAGTTTGGTGGAGGAGGAATAATGGTCTGGGGCTGTTTTTCATGGTTCAGGCTAGGCCCCTTATTTCCAGTAAAAGGAAATCTTAACTTTACCAGCATATAAATACGTTGTAGACGATTCTGTGCTTCCAGCTTTGTGGCAACAGTTTGGGGAAGGCCCTTTCCTGTTTCAGCATGACAATGCCCCTGTGCACAAAGCGAGGTTCATACAGATATGGTTTGTCGAGATTGGTGTAGAAGAACTTGACAGGACTGCACAGAGCCCTGACCTCAACTTCATTGAACACCTTTGGGATGAATTGGAATGCCGACTGCGAGCCAGGCCTAATCGCCCAACATAAGTGCCCGACCTCACTAATGCTCTTGTGGCTGAATAGAAGCAAGTCCCTGCAGCAATGTTCCAACATGTAATGGAAAGCCTTCCCAGAAGAGTTGAGGCTGTTATAGCAGCAAAGGGGAGACCAACTCCATATTTTGCCCATGATTTTGGAATGAGATGTTTGACGAGAAGATGTCCACATACTTTTGGTCATGTAGTGTACCTACAGTGAGGGGAAAAAAGTATTTGATCCCCTGCTAATTTTGTACGTTTGCCCACTGACAAAGAAATGATCAGTCTATAATTTGAATGGTAGGTTTATTTGAATAGTGAGAGACAGAATAACAAAAAAAATCCAGAAAAACGCATGTCAAAAATGTTATACATTGATTTGCATTTTAATGAGGGAAATAAGTATTTGACCCCTCTGCAAAACATGACTTAGTACTTCGTGGCAAAACCCTTGTTGGCAATCACAAAAGTCAGACGTTTCTTGTAGTTGGCCACCAGGTTTGCACACATCTCAGGAGGGATTTTGTCCCACTCCTCTTTGCAGATCTTCTCCAAGTCATTAAGGTTTCGAACCTTCAGCTCCCTCCACAGATTTTCTATGGGATTAAGGTCTGGAGACTGGCTAGGCCACTCCAGGACCTTAATGGGCTTCTTCTTGAGCCACTCCTTTGTTGCCTAGGCCGTGTGTTTTGGGTCATTGTCATGCTGGAATACCCAACCACGACCCATTTTCAATGCCCTGGCTGAGGGAAGGAGGTTCTCACCCAAGATTTGACAGTACATGGCCCCGTCCATCGTCCCTTTGATACGGTGAAGTTGTCCTGTCCCCTTAGCAGAAAAACACCCCCAAAGCATAATGTTTCCACCTCCATGTTTGACGGTGGGGATGGTGTTCTTGTGGTCATAGGCAGCATTCCTCCTCCTCCAAACACGGCGAGTTGAGTTGATACCAAAGAGCTCCATTTTGGTCTCATCTGACCACAACACTTTCACCCAGATCTCCTCTGAATCATTCAGATGTTCATTGGCAAACTTCAGACGGGCATGTACAGTGCTATGAAAAAGTATTTGTCCCCTTTCTAATTTTCTCTACTTTTACATATTTGTGATACTGAATTATCAGGTCTTCAACCAAAACCTAATATTAGATAAAGGGAACATAAGTGAACAAATAACACAACAATTACATATTTATTTCATAAACAAAGTTATGCAACACCCAATTCCCCTGTGTGGAAAAAGTAATTGCCCCCTTACACTCTAACTGGTTGTGCCACCTTTAGCTGCAATGACTCCAACCAAATGCTTTGTGTAGTTGTTGATCAGTCTCTCACGTCGCTGTGGAGGAATTTTGGGCCACTCTTCCATGCAGAACTGCTTTAACTCAGTGACGTGTGGGTTTTCAAGCATGAACTGCTCGTTTCAAGTCCTGCCACAACATCTCAATTGGGATTAGGTCTGGACTTTACCTGGGCCATTCCAAAACTTCAAATTTGTTGCTTTTTAGCCATTTTCAAGTAGACTTCATTTTGTTTTTGGGATCATTGTCTTGCTGCATGACCCAGCTGCGCTTCAGCTTCAAAAGTATAACTTTTTGGACGACATGGTTCCAGTAATGCCTGGCGAAAACCAACCACTGCATTCCACAGTAAGAACATCATACCAAAGGTCAAGCATGGTGGTGATGGTTTGGGGATGCTTTGCTGCCTCAGGACCTGGACGACTTGCCTTAATAGAAGGAACCATGAATTCTGCTCTGTATCAGAGAATTCTACAGGAGAATGTCAGACCATCCGTCTGTGAGCTGAAGCGCAGCTGGGTCATGCAGCAAGACAATGATCCAAAAAACACAATCAAGTCTACTTGAAAATTGCTAAAAAGCAACAAATTGGAAGTTTTGGAATGGCCCAGGCAAAGTCCAGACCTAATCCCAATTGAGATGTTGTGGCAGGACTTGAAACGAGCAGTTCATGCTTGAAAACCCACACGTCACTGAGTTAAAGCAGTTCTGCATGGAAGAGTGGCCCAAAATTCCTCCACAGCGACGTGAGAGACTGATCAACAACTACACGAAGCATTTGGTTGGAGTCATTGCAGCTAAAGGTGGCACAACCAGTTATTGAGTGTAAGGGGGCAATTACTTTTTCACACAGGGGAATTGGGTGTTGCGTAACTTTGTTTATGAAATAAATATGTAATTGTGTTATTTGTTCACTTATGTTCCCTTTATCTAATATTAGGTTTTGGTTGAAGATCTGATAACATTCAGTATCACATATGCAAAAGTAGAGAATTAGAAAGGGGGCAAATACTTTTTCATAGCACTGTGTGCTTTCTTGAGCAGGGGGACCTTGCGGGTGCTGCAGGATTTCAGTCCTTCACGGCGTAGTGTGTTACCAATTGTTTTCTTGGTGACTATGGTCACAGCTGCCTTGAGATCATTGACAAGATCCTCACGTGTAGTTCTGGGCTGATTCCTCACCGTTCTCATGATCATTGCAACTCCACGAGGTGAGATCTTGCATGGAGCCCCAGGCCGAGAGAGATTGACAGTTCTTTTGTGTTTCTTCCATTTGTGAATAATCGCACCAACTGTTGTCACCTTCTCACCAAGCTGCTTGGCGATGGTCTTGTAGCCCATTCCAGCCTTGTGTAGGTCTACAATCTTGTCCCTGACATCCTTGGAGAGCTCTTTGGTCTTGGCCATGGTGGAGAGTTTGGAATCTGATTGATTGCTTCTGTGGACAGGTGTCTTTTATACAGGTAACAAGCTGAGATTAGGAGCACTCCCTTTAAGAGTGTGCTCCTAATCTCAGCTCGTTACCAGTATAAAAGACACCTGGGAGCCAGAAATCTTTGATTGAGAGGGGGTCATACTTATTTCCCTCATTCAAATGCAAATCAATTTATAACATTTTTGACATGCGTCTTTCTGGATTTTTTTGTTGTTATTCTGTGTCTCACTGTTCAAATAAACCTACCATTAAAATTATAGACTGATCATGTCTTTGTCAGTGGGCAAACGTACAAAATCAGCAGGGGATCAAATACTTTTTCCCTCACTGTATCGTCTTACACACACTAAACAGTGCAGACATTTCAGGCCATTTTAGTAAGCTAAGTAGAGGTTTTTCTCCGTTATGAACTTGAAAGAAATATGACTAACCACTATTTTCAATAAACTATTACTACTCTCTTTCAATGTTTTTGTTATCCTGCCATCTCAATCTCGGTTCAACTTTGAGTCATATTTATCGTCAGAGTGGGTGGTCTTTCCTCTAATTTACTTTACAAGTGCAGTCCACTCTACAAGTTCACTCCAATGGTGGTTGTATTTGCGTTACCAAGTTCAATGAATGTAGTCTGTGAGAGTCTGATTTTGTTCCTTTCATCACCATATTTGCAGAAGAATATCATGAAAACCACATGGGGAGTGCTAGACCCCCCAGTGGGCAACACCCGGCTGAATGTGGTCCGTCTAGTGGCTAGCCTTCTGCAGACCAACACTCATATCATCAACATGGAGCTGACTAACCTCAACACTCTAGGAGTCATACTCGTAAGTTGCCTGTCTTCTTGTGTGGTTTTTTTACACTTGGTTTTTAGTACTAGTTGTTCCTGCCAAAACCCGCACCTGGATTTAGACTGCTATGCACAAGGGTTTCTGTCTTTTATGACACTAGTTCCCTTACTACCCCCTTCTCATAACCAAGGTCAACAGGGATGATGCAAACTTCAACAACATGGTTTGGGACATTTTCATATTAAATAAATGTATTTATATTTTATATATTTTTCTCCATTTTATTCTCAGGACATGTACTTCAAATATATATGGAATAACTTCCTGCATTTACAAGTAGAAATATGCACTGCGATGATCCTAGCAATGCCCCCAGCCCAAAGTGAAAACCCCGAAATCAACAGTGACCAGGAGCCTGTCAGAGAAAGCCACCTCATCAAACATGTGAGGCTTTATCAGCCTTTTCTTTACATCTATTATGGTATTCATGTCGGACAAGTCAATTCATTATTTTTTGTGCTCGGTGTTTTAGCTGTTTCAGAAGTGCCAGTTTATACAGAGAATTCTTGATGCATGGAGCTCCAACGAGAAAGTGCAGTAAGTACTGTTATTATTAATGATGGATATGTTTCTCATTCCGTTATGCATTTAGACCATAATGCTGTTGTTACCAGACCAATGGACTTTGCAGATTTGTGTTTAAATCTCTTGTGAGCTCTTTGGTTTTTACCCTTGCGAAGGCTCACAAATGTCACCACAATGTGCCAGTAGGCTTCAATAAGTGTGTATCCTCTTGCAGAGCTGAGGGTGGACGTAGACAAGGCTACATGGGCCACTTGACCAGAATAGCCAACTCAATAGTGCACAACAGTGACAAGGGCCCCAATGGTGCACAGATACAGCAGCTCATCTCAGGTGAGTGCACTTTGAGACCTATAAGGAATGAGGTTGTTGGAGCGAAACACCCCCCCCCCCCCCCCCCCCAAAAAAAAAACTGTCCTTACTATATCCTGAAATGAGGTGGAATAGACTAATCTTCTTATTTCTCTGCTTTATTTCAGAGCTCACAGAGGATGACAAAGACAGATGGGAGGCCTTCACTTCTGGTCAGCTAGCTGAAACAAACAAGAGAAACACTGTAGACCTAGTAAGTCTGATACAGACACCTCCGTTACTTAATGCCAAAATGGATGTTTGCAAAGTACACAGTATTTACACTGACATGTACTGAAAGGTGAAGTGCCAGTAGTGCCAAAGCTGTCTGAAGGATGTCTCGTGGTTGTCCTCTTAGTAATAAGGTTGTTTGCACTGTGCCCTAGGTGAACACACACCATATTCACTCATCCAGTGACGATGAGGTAGACTTCAAGGACAGCGGATTCACCCACGGTTCCTCTTTACAACAAGTAAGTCTGTAACTGGATGAGACTATATAAATACTGCTAAATCTGCATGTTGATGCTTTTTATAATTGTTAACATTATTATACTGGACTAATAATGTCTAGTAATAGTAGTACTGATATGTGCATTTTATAAACTAATATTAAACATGTATCTTCCAAATGTAAGTATGCATGTGCTCTTAATCTGAAAACTATTAACGTATAGCTACAGTATTAGTCAATTGTTTTGAATTGAAGTACTTGAAGTTTTTTGTAGTGCCAAGACTATATCATTATCATTGGTCCTGGGTTTGCCAGGCCTTTTCTGATTATCAGATGCAACAAATGACGTCCAATTTTATTGAGCAGTTTGGCTTCAATGACGAAGAGTTTGCTGATCAGGATGATGTCGTGGAGTGAGTACTGATCCTGCATGTTTTCTTCATAACCTGCTATTATACTGGTTGGGGGATTTCAATAAGGGTTTCGGGTGACTACTGGTATTCTATTAATACATTCTCTGCTTACTTAACAAAGGACTGGGAATCAGTTTCTTTCTCTGTACAAAGGTTTAGGTTACATACATGTTTGCAATTAACATTTACATATGAAAATAAAATGCCACTGTTTGGATAATGATATCGCTAGTGTGGGGGAAAGTAATTGGTAGGTAAATTGGATGCCAGTCTGAATTCGGAAACCCATGAATGTCAAATTTTCTTATGATTACATTTAACTAGCTGTTATTATACAGGTCCAGATAGTAACTTTGTAATTGTTAATTGCAAAACAGGTATTTTTTTCTGGATCAAAATGGGCTTACGTGGTGTGGGTGTGGACATGAGCGTGGCCGCCGACCAACATTTTTTAGAGGCCCTCCTGTTGGGCACAATGACAAAATTGAGCTGTTTTAAAGCATGGCTTATGAGTCAAATATCCCTTTTATACTAAGGCGTTTTTCCGCCCACTTTATCATACAGCCAACCTTTACCGCTTTTTCTTTATCTGAAAGGTATTGCCGGTATCAAAGCCTACATTTTTATTTCCGCCAAACGACCTACTAATCATTTCGGTAAAGTTCTGCTTACGGCATAGTATGAAACGTAGCGGTAATGTTGAGGCGGCTTTGGCACGCACTACGCTCTTAAACTCTTGATGGTTGCTAGACGGCCAGTTCTAAACTTCGCAAGACATGTCACTTCGCTCATCTCTTCGCATAGCCCACCACTAAGCATGCACTTTTCTTAACCACAACTGGATGGATCCATAAATAAGTACTGTGGGAATAAATATCACTAAATTATGAAAATATTGGAATAAAGTATGCTAATGAAATTGAAGGCATGTAATAAATGGTTGCTTACTGAAACTTCCCAAAGTCATCCAATCCTTGTAATACATTTGAATCAATAGCCTGCCCGCGTGTGGTCAACTAGATTGTCATTTCACTACCGTTTTGATTGGGACGGTGCCATCGCGCTGCTTTGAGACAAGTGTTTGGACTAGTCTTGATAAATCAATAAATGTCAGATTTTGTTGCTTTACCTGAATCTCCGCTTGGATATTGGTTTGGCTACAATTAGGCTGGGGAAATGTTAGTGGAGGTGAGTGCTGCTCATGATTGTCTTGTGTAGTTTTGCCATGTTATGTAGTTTAACAAGTGGATTATTTAGCTCTTTACTCAGTCGTTTAGTAGCCTAGGCCTACTCCCAACCAAAAGCCTGTGACTTCACTGACTTGTCTGATAATCAATCAATGTGATTTTGTTTCACTGAATCTCCGTCTCTATAGGCTATTTGGTTCATTCTCTGGCTGGGCAAATATAGCTAATCTATTCGTTTGCTCATCTATCACTGATCAGAAACATTTATGATGCAATAATGTAGCCTAAATCAAGTGTATGCTTATTATTTTGCTCAATTGCATATAGATCAACTCCAAAAGCCCACAGAGGTTGTGAAAATGAACGAAACTCGCATGCTTTTGAAAATATAATTGATAGTATTTTCTATCGGTATCATGAAGGTAAGACCCTATGCCTGCTCCATAACAAAGCGGATTGAGGGTAGGAAAGATGACACGTGGATAAAAAATGCACTGGCTTGGGCTCTTTAAAAAAATCTTTTTTTTTTTTCTCGACAGTGGTACCACATGTTCCTGTGACACAAGTTGTGTAGGGAAAAATATGTATTTTATTCTTTTATCCCATTATATTCTTACTATAAAATCTGTGTTGACTCATCGGGTAGGTGTTTTGTCTGTTTTAATGAACAAAATAACAAACTATTGATTTGATTTGGATGGTTTAGCCTAATTAAACTAAAATGCTATTCTTTTGAAAATACATTTTGTTTATGTTTCTTAGGACTTGCCTAAATGAATTAATAATGGATTTCTTTTTGATGGTGTATATTCTCAATGGATTTATTAAAATCGACCCACATCTGCACACCACTATTACCACTTGTCCCCAGCATGCACACAGGAGGTATAAAAGGTGTATGCAGGCAAGAATGTGGTTAAAAATGTGCCTGTTTTGTAAGGGGGTCATATAAACATTGGCAATTTTTTTTACAGGCTAAACAATGTAACTCATGTGAAAGCAGTAGAACATTATAACAAAATCACAAATCATAATTTTGTGCTTTTTTGATTCTCCCTGTCTGTCTAGCTTTTATTTTGGTGATTGTTAGTTTTCAAAGATCTTATTTAAAAATTATATAGGTCCATTATCTTTCCTACATACTTCATCTGTTTTTAGTCGTTTGTTTACACTGAAAACGTTTTTCCATCCCCCATATTTTTTTTTTACTGTTTGGACATAGGCCGCCCGAGGAAAAACACTTAGGCGACACACCCAAGACTTTTCTATGCAGAACAAACCCTGCAAAATTCAGTTTAGTTTGGAGTAAGTAGCGCACTTCAACCCTCCTCTGTGCCACTGCTCTCTGCGTCTTCTTGTTATTTGGTAATCTGCTGGGGTTTGGGCTCCTGTGGAGAATGACCAGCTGGGAATGGCTGGCTGGAGTTTCTGCATAAAGCTGCTTTAATGTGAATTACATTGCCATCATTATCCTTCTACCTGTTACTGGGCCTCTGTAGGTAGGCGTCCTGAAGCCATTGTGTTTAGTCATTGTGTGAAGTCATTGTCTAATTAATATAACTAAACTAAACTCTTTTCTTTAACATTTCAGTATTCCCTTTGATAGAATATCAGACATCAATTTTTCCTTGAATACAAATGAAAGTGTAAGTATTTTAATATAATTTCATGTAATGCATTTCAAAGGTAGTGAAAGGATGTTCAAATGAATGCCATATTGTCTTCCATTTTTTACCGGAGATATGTTCAATTCTAGTGGGAATGAGTAAGAGAATTTTCCTCAAACTGCTACATCATCTCCCAAAACTTTGAAGTTGACCATTTTTATAATGCTGTACAGTGTTTACCCTAGGATTTATTTAAGCCGCAGAGACACAACTTTGCTGTTTTAAAGCTAATTTCCTGGAAGTCTACACATTTTGCCATGGCTTATGCCTTGTTCTTATGCTATCTAAGTGATTCAAACATTATAACAGTCAATGGGGGCCACATGACATTTTGGGAATTTCAGATTCTCCCTGACTAGTTTTTATTTAGGTAATTGTTAGTTCTCAAAGATGATCCTATTTAAAAATAAATAAATTGCTTCATTATCTTTTCAACATACTTTATATCTGGTGTTAGTCAGTTTAAGTTTACACTGAAAGTGTTTTACCATCCTGAAAATTATTCCCCTTAATGCATATAGGGGAGGTACTGGTACATACAGTGGGGGAAAAAAGTATTTAGTCAGCCACCAATTGTGCAAGTTCTCCCACTTAAAAAGATGAGAGGCCTGTAATTTTCATCATAGGTACATGTCAACTATGACAGACAAATTGAGATTTTTTTCTCTCCACAAAATCACATTGTAGGATTTTTTAATGAATTTATTTGCAAATTATGGTGGAAAATAAGTATTTGGTCACCTACAAACAAGCAAGATTTCTGGCTCTCACAGACCTGTAACTTCTTCTTTAAGAGGCTTCTCTGACCTCCACTCGTTACCTGTATTAATGGCACCTGTTTGAACTTGTTATCAGTATAAAAGACACCTGTCCACAACCTCAAACAGTCACACTCCAAACTCCACTATGGCCAAGACCAAAGAGCTGTCAAAGGACACCAGAAACAAAATTGTAGACCTGCACCAGGCTGGAAAGACTGAATCTACAATAGGTAAGCAGCTTGGTTTGAAGAAATCAACTGTGGGAGCAATTATTAGGAAATGGAAGACATACAAGACCACTGATAATCTCCCTCGATCTGGGGCTCCACGTAAGATCTCACCCCGTGGGGTCAAAATGATCACAAGAACGGTGAGCAAAAATCCCAGAACCACACGGGGTGAATGACCTGCAGAGAGCTGGGACCAAAGTAACAAAGCCTACCATCAGTAACACACTACGCCGCCAGGGACTCAAATCCTGCAGTGCCAGACGTGTCCCCCTGCTTAAGCCAGTACATGTCCAGGCCCGTCTGAAGTTTGCTAGAGTGCATTTGGATGATCCAGAAGAGGATTGGGAGAATGTCATATGGTCAGATGAAACCAAAATAGAACTTTTAGGTAAAAACTCAACTCGTCGTGTTTGGAGGACAAAGAATGCTGAGTTGCATCCAAAGAACACCATACCTACTGTGAAGCATGGGGGTGGAAACATCATGCTTTGGGGCTGTTTTTCTGCAAAGGGACCAGGACGACTGATCCGTGTAAAGGAAAGAATGAATGGGGCCATGTATCATGAGATTTTGAGTGAAAACCTCCTTCCATCAGCAAGGGCATTGAAGATGAAACGTGGCTGGGTCTTTCAGCATGACAATGATCCCAAACACACCGCCCGGGCAACGAAGGAGTGGCTTCGTAAGAAGCATTTCAAGGTCCTGGAGTGGCCTAGGCCAGTCTCCAGATCTCAACCCCATAGAAAATCTTTGGAGGGAGTTGAAAGTCCGTGTTGCCCAGCGACAGCCCCAAAACATCACTGCTCTAGAGGAGATCTGCATGGAGGAATGGGCCAAAATACCAGCAACAGTGTGTGAAAACCTTGTGAAGACATACAGAAAACGTTTGACCTGTGTCATTGCCAACAAAGGGTATATAACAAAGTATTGAGAAACTTTTGTTATTGACCAAATACTTATTTTCCACCATAATTTGCAAATAAATTCATTAAAAATCCTACAATGTGATTTTCTGGAATTATTTTTCTCATTTTGTCTGTCATAGTTGACGTGTACCTATGATGAAAATTACAGGCCTCTCTCATCTTTTTAAGTGGGAGAACTTGCACAATTGGTGGCTGACTAAATACTTTTTTTCCCCCACTGTATTAGCTAATGCTGCACTCCGGACGTCTGAAGTTCTGTTACCTATGAAAATGATGCAGGCACTTATTTTCTTCCCTTTTCCATTTACAGTAATGAGGAAGTGGAGGCATCACAGCATATCTTTTTGTGTATCTTGTTATGTAAACCCTGGCTTGGTGTTGTCTTTCAGGCAAATATAGCTCTGTTTGAGGCCTGCTGTAAGGAGAAGATCCAGCAGTTTGAAGATGCAGGCTCTGATGAGGAGGACATCTGGGATGAGAAAGATGTCACTTTTGCACCAGAAGCTCAGAGACGTCCTCGGTACGGCAGCACCTCTTGGTGGATATGTAAATTAAATGTCTTAAATAACTAACATCTTATATTCCGAGGCTGACTCAAAGCACCAATTTGGGTTTGGGGGATTGATACGTTTTATTGACTTCTGTCCATTCTGTGCCTCCATTAGGAGCTCTGGCAGTACAGATAGTGAGGAGAGCACAGACTCTGAGGAGGAGGATGTTAAACGTGATCCCTTTGAGCCCAACAACGCCAGCTCTGATGACAGAATGGAGGTAGACACGGGTGAAGGTGAGCGATTTGTTCCGGGTTGACACACTGGGGTTGGGTTGACAGTTTGTTGGGTAGGTCGGTCTGGTATGATCTTTTCAAGATGATGCCTTGCTTTTTTGTGACGGCTGCCCTGTTGTTTCAGGGCCTCTGTGGACAGCTAACTTTGACGACACACCCATGGACACTGGGAGTTCTACGGCGATGGGAGAATCTGCCCCAGTCTCCCCCTCCACCACCGCTGCCCCAGTCTCCCCCTCCACCACCGCTGCCCCAGCCTCCTACTCTGCGGTTATACCAGAGTCTGCTGGCTGGAGCTCCCCCAATGCCTCCCCTGACAAAGCCACGAGCTGGGCAGACTTCTCTAGCAACTTCTCACCAGTTAGGTAAGGGTTCATCATTCACCACCCTCACAGCCCCAAGGCCTTAGGTGGCCCGTAGTATGAATAAGGATGGGGGTAACTGGTGTTCTGTTCATTCCCCTGCCTTTCCATGTCTTATATTTGAGTTTGGCTATTTTAAGAGGACAAATTCAAGAGCTTTTCTGACTTCATCTTCCAGCCCCAAAGATCATTGGAGGAGCAATTCCCCAGTAGCAATGGAGACCTGTATAGAGACAGGGGACCCCTTGGGTGTCAACGCACCAATGCAGCCTGAAGGTGAGGTTTGCCACTGAGCCATGCATTAATAAGTGTTTTATTACTCACTCTGTGGTCACTGTGTTATGATGCTATCCCTGTGTGAAGTCCCAGATTCTGACCAGTGGCCAGGGGATGAGGCAGAGAAGGCTGGAAGCTCGGACGCAGAAGAGACGGTCACCACTGAGACGGTCACCAACGGCTCCATGAAGGAAACAGTTAGCCTTACTGTAGATGCCAAAACTGAAACTGCCGTTTTCAAGAGGTAAGGCTTCTGATGACTCACCATATCCCTTTCCTCCTGTCTCCAATCCTTCCCTTACAACACAGCCATTCACCTCACAGAGCATGTGGAATTGACCTCTGTGTCTTGCCACGTTTTCCCCCTCCTGCACTGAGTGAGTTAAAGCCATGCAAGGCAGGGACACCAGTAGACTTGTATAAATATCTATATACCATTTATGTATCACCAAACCTGCCGAACCTACATTGCTGTCTGTTTGTGTTGTTTGAGAAACTGTCCTTAACTTTAACTGCAACACTTACAACATGAGCTTCCTCTTTCTCTCTGGCGTGCGTGTGGCTTCAGAGTGTTGAAATCTTATCGGTATGTACAGCCACTCGGGGGGGCAGACATCTGCCGTGTCTTGTTTTCATGTCAGCCAGAGTTTCTTTTTTTAAATGATTAATTATTTTGCCATCTCCATTTGCATGTCTATATCTCAGATGTAGTGATTTGGTCTTCACTCATCGTCAGTGACGTCGTGAAATGGCCGTCGGCCCTCAGGATTAGCCACTCCCAGGCTTTCTGAATTGGCCTTGTTCTCCTTTCTGTTGATGTTCAGTTTTAGTTGTGGGTGTGGATTGGCGAAGGCAGTCTTCAATATGTATCCGCCACCTCCTTGTGCTGGTGTCTCATTGGCTTTGGATCACAGCTCATGGCATTGTGAGGTGGCTGGAATAAACTGGAGAGAGATGAGTCTTAGCCTAGCAGTAGTCCTGTTGTCATGCAAAACTCAGCTCTACTAGCAAAGATCTTTTGTTTTTAAGCTTGGATCTCAAGTCAAACCTTCAAAATGCCATCTAGGTAGTTGTAAATGCAGTTAACTTTGCCAGGTCATTGTAAATAAGAATGTGTTCTAAATTGACTTGCCTGCTTAAATTAAAGGTTAAATAAACCGTACATAACCGCATCCTCAAAGAAAATAAGACCCTTAAAAATACTTAAATATCCTGGTGTGCGTTAGTTTTGCCTAGTAATTATGATGAGGTAGTCGTGGTGGTTTAGTTACAAAAAGCAAGACTGATGGCTGACAGTTTGATCCATTTCCGTGAGTTTCAAAACTGGCATTATCACCTCATGTTCTGCTCTTCAAAACAAGCTTACTCTTAAAAAGAGGCAACTGCTGTAAGTGGATGGTCAGGAAATCTAAATAGACTTCTGCTGCTTTTGTCCATTTGCTGTCCATTTTGTTCCTTGCATCCATTTTTAACCTCCATACACATTGACACATTCGTTTGCCCCAATGCTTTAATGTGGTCTGTCTGTCCCATTCTGCATGCGTCAGTCTTTTCCGTTCTGTGTCTAAACAGTGGGGGATTTCTGTCTACTAGAGTCATTCCGTATGTTTGGAAATGGCAAGAGCTCTGTAAATGTTCCCTTTTCTCTACAGTGAGGACATGAAGTTCTCTACCTCAGAAGATGCATCTGCAAAGTACGTCGTGGGGGAGAATGGAACACCAGAGAAGGGAGTCCCTGCATCAGTCCAGCCTGCCAGCAACGGTCCCAAACCAAGGTCTGGCTGTTGTGAAATCATACCTTCACTGGAACTGTCTAGTGCTAGTAAGCTATTTTCAGACATGCTGTTGTACCTGTTCTGATTGTCCACCAGCAGCTCATGAGTTCCTCTTATTTCTTCCCTTCCACAGTGCGAAACATTCAGATGAGAAATCAAAAGTCCCCAGTGATGCTGTTAATGGTCCCCTAGAAGGAACCGCAATGGACGAAGCCAAGTAAGTGTCAGCCAGAATGAGGTTGTGAAGTGTGTGTCGTCCAGTATGTTATAGTGTCCTCTCTGTCTGCCCACCTACAGAACAGAGCAGAGTGTGGCCTCACCAGCGGCAGCTGTGAATGGCCCAGGGTGATGTGTGGTTCCTGCCAGCCTGTTCTTGCCACGCACTGCTCTCTGCCTGGCCACCAGTAGAGGGCAGTGCAAGTCCAGTGTCAGAGCTGCTGCACTAACTTCACCAGATCAGGACCAGCAATATTCATATTAGGCTATTACAAACAGTTGTACAGAAAGGTGGAACTGAATGAAGAGAGAGAAACTCTAATGGATATAGTTTTTTTTTGTTTGTTTTTTTGCATTCGTTTATATACTGTTGTTATGAGGTGATCCGTCTGATATTTTGCCACTCAAAGTTAAATAGTAATGTTGCTAGAGTTAAAATGATTGTATGAATAAAATATTTTATAAAAAGAAAATGTATACAGAAACGGAAGATTAATAATGGAAATATACCAATTGGAACACTTGGTGACCAAAACAAAATATGCTGTTTTTGGTAGTTATTTCCTTCTGCACAAAATCTGATAATTTTATTTCCAGCTAACAGCTACCATGCAATGTTAATCGGCAACCCATGTTGGTCTGTTTATCAGTACATTTGTTGGTAGGAATCAAAATCATTTTTAAATATTCAAAATGTTTATTTTGCCACAGCTATTATTTGTAAATGTTTCTTGTATCCTTTCAACATGAGCAAGATTTGAAAACCTTTGGTATAGTTTTTAACTTAATTTATTATTAAGGTAGATAATGTTCTGTTACTTAGTGCCATACACATGTTCTCTCCCCCTTGACAACATTAAACTGTACAAACCCAAGGTGAACAACTGTAGAAAATGGTTTCCAGTTGCACGTAGCTAGTGAGTGTTAACACTGTCTGAAGGCTTGTGGTAAATGGGTTCCATTTTACAACTGTTACGGTATCACTCAAGTCAAACATTCTATCTGCAAAATGATGCAGGTGTAATGAATATTCTTGGTATTGCTTCAATCATGCATCTACCATTGATTTATTTGTATAGTTTTATTTATACATGCATACAGTACCAGTCAAAAGTTTGGACACGTACTCATTCCAGGGTTTTTCTTTATTTTTAGACAATCTATGAAATAACACATGGAATCATGTAGTAACCAAAAAAGTGTTAAACAAATCAAAATATGAGATTCTTCAAAGTAGCCTCCATTTGCCTTGACAGCTTTGCACACTCTTGGCATTCTCTCAACCAGCTTCACCTAGAATGTTTTTTGAACAGTCTTGAAGGAGTTCCCACATATGCTGAGCACTTGTTGGCTGCTTTTCCTTCACTCTGCAATCTAACTCTTCCCAAACCATCTCAATTGGGTTGAGGTCGGGGGGGGGGGGGGGGTTGTGGAGGCCAGTTCATCTGATGCAGCACTCCATCACTCTCCTTCTTGGTCAAATAGCCCTTACATAGCCTGGAGGTGTGTTGGGTTATTGTCCTGTTGAAAAACAAATGATAGTCCCACTAAGCCCAAACCAGATGGGATGCCATATCGCTGCAGAATGCTGTGGTAGCCATGCTGGGTAAGTGTGCCTTGAATTCTAAATAAATCACAGACCGTGTCACCAGCAAAGCACCATCACACCACTTCCATGCTTCATGGTGGGAACCACACATGCGGAGATGATCCGTTCACCTACTCTGCGTCTCACAAAGACACAGCGTTTGGAACCCAAAATCTCGTTTGGACTCATCAGACCAAAGAACAGATTTCCACCGACCAAATATCCATTGCTTGTGTTTCTTGGCCCAAGCAAGCCTCTTCTTATTGATGTCATTTAGTAGTGGTTTCTTTGCAGCAATTCGACCATGAAGGCCTGATTCACGCAGTCTCCTCTGAACAGTTGATGTTGATGTCTGTTACTTGAACTCTGTGAAGCATTTATTTGGGCTGCAATCTGAGGTGCAGTTAATTGCTGATTTCTAAGGCTTGTAACACTAATGAACTCATCCTCTGCAGCAGAGGTAACTCTGGGTCTTCCTTTCCTGTGGCGGTCCTCATGAGAGCCAGTTTCATCATAGCGCTTGATGGTTTTTGCGACTGCACTTAAAGACACTTTCAAAGTTCTTGAAATGTTCCGGTTTGACTGACCTTCATGTCTTAAAGTAATGATGGACTGTCGTTTCTCTTTGCTTATTTGAGCTGTTCTTGCCATAATATGGACTTAGCCCTATTTGGTAAAAGACCATCTTCTGTATACCACCGATACCTTGTCACAACACAAATGATTGGCTCAAACCAATTAAGAAGGAAAGAAATTCCACAACTTAACTTTTAACAAGGCACACCTGTTAATTGAAATGCATTCCAGGTGACTACCTCATGAAGCTGGTTGAGAGAATGCCAAGAGTGTGCAAAGCTGTCAAGTCAAAGGGTGGCTATTTGAAGAATCTCAAACATAAAATATATTTTGATTTGTTTAACACTTTTTTGGTTACTACATGATTCCATATGTGTTATTTCATAGTTTTGCTGTCTTCAATTATTCTACAATGTAGAAAATAGTAAAAATAAGGAAAAACCCATGAATGAGTAGGTGTGTCCAAACTTTTGACTGGTACTGTATGTATGTATGTATGTATGTATGTATGTATGTATATATGCACACACATACATACATATACACACACAGTGCAGTTGGAAATTATTCAGACCTCTTGACTTCTTCCACATTGTTACGTTACAGCCTTATTCAAAAATGGATTTTTTGTTTTTTCCCCCCTCAATCTACACACAATACCCCATAATGACACAGCAAAAATAGGTTGACATTTTTGCAAATGTATTAATACAAAACTAAAATATCACATTTACATAAGTATTCAGACCCTTTCCTCAGTACTTTGTTGAAGCACCTTTGGCAGCAATTACAGCCTCAAGTCTTATTGGGTATGACGCTACAAGCTTGGCACACCTGTATTTGGGGAGTTTCTCCCATTCTTCTCTGCAGATCCTCTCAAGCTCTGACAGATTGGATGGGGAGCGTCGCTGCACAGTTATTTTCAGGTCTCTCCAGAGATGTTCGATCGGGTTCAAGTCCAGGCTCTGGCTGGGCCACTCAAGGACATTCAGAGACTTGTCCCGAAGCCACTCCTGCATTGTCTTGGCTGTATGCTTAGGGTCGTTGTCCTGTTGGAAGGTGAACCTTCGCCCCAGTATGAGGTCCTGAGCGCTCTGGAGCTGGTTTTCATCAAGGATCTCTCTGTACTTTGCCCATATCATCTTTCCCTTGATACTGAGTAGTCTCACAGTCCCTGCCGCTGAAAAACATCCCCACAGCATGATGCTGCCACCACCATGCTTCACCGTAGGGTTCCTCCAGACGTGACGCTTGGCATTCAGGCCAAAGAGTTCAATATTTGTTTCATCAGACCAGAGAATCTTGTTTCTCATGGTCTGAGAGTCTTTAAGTGCCTTTTGGCAAACTCCAAGTGGGCTTTAATGTGCCTTTTACTGAGGAGTGGCTAACGTCTGGCCACTCTACAATAAAGGCCTGATTTGGTGGAGGGCTGCAGAGATGGTTGTCCTTCTGGAAGGTTCTCCCATCTCCACAGAGGATCTCTGGAGCTCTGTCAGAGTGACCATTGGGTTCTTGGTCACCTCCCTGACCTGAATTCAGTGTCTGAATACTTTCCAAATGCACTGTATATGGTATCTGTGCCAGCAATGGAAAGGGGATAAACTATTTATATAAGCACTATTCTACCCTATTTTCTCAGATATTTCATTTCACGTATTGTATTAATCTCAAGATAATTACTCCTAACATGACATAGATTCAGGGCACTGTTTGATTAATCTCTTGTTTTACTGTAAGTACTCTTTGTGACTGGTGTCTCAACTTATTGCTTCCAACGTTATTCAATGGTAAATTCAAGAGTTTGACAACTGTCTTTAGGGAATCATTCCAAACAAACCTGGGGGCCTTTGCTGTTCAATTAATGTAGGTATTCAAATGCTCATGTGCTTTGGTAGTGCAGTGTTTATTTTCCTAAAGTAGATTTTGGATTAGTCAAACGGCAGTTAGCATAGCTACTGCACAATAGTTGTGCCTTGAACAACTTAGATGACAAGTAGGTTTGAGCTTAAAACAGTAACACACACATGCTATATGCATTTTTTTTTAAATAAATCAGTACTGTAAATGTTTAAAACATATGCTTATATAAGTTTGACAGATTCAGGTTGCCTGGTCGGTTGTGTCGGCCTGTCTGGGCAGCAGCTGCACTGTCATATCCCATCATCATGTGGCCTTCTTAAGTGATGAACGACTTCTCTTTTAAGGACCCTCCTCAGACATCACCTTCACAAAGAAAGACGGATGTTTCTCTCTTGGGCCACTTTCACTTCATTAATGTGTTAAGCATGATAAGATACAGTTCATTACATTAACTTATGCTTACTGTTCTCAGCAGCCCTGAACTATCATCTCTAGATGCTACCGGGAGAGAAAAAGGAGAGTCTGATGTCAATTCACTTGCAAATACTTGTAAAGCTAGAGGTGTTGGTCGTTGTACTTAATTGATATTCTATCTAAAGCCCATTTGAAATAATCCTACTGAAGGGCTTGGTCATAATGTTAGTTTGGCATTCTGCCGATCTTACAAAGACGTGCATCATTCTAGGTTCATAAGAGAGCTGTGAGGATGTCTGTAAGCCCTCATTCACCTCTCCTCTGAGCTGCATGTCTCAGACAGGGAACACTGTCCAGTCTTGAAAGCTCCGAGACGGTCCGCTTCATTTCAGAATGTGCACTTGGCACAATCAACAGTTTGGTTGTGTTTGCTGTACCCAGTACCTATACCGAGTTGAGTTAAAACAAAATATGTTAACACTTTATCTGAATAAAGAGGTAAAAACAATAGAAAGACATTCAATAGAGCAACTTATCTGAGGATGTTGACCATTTTTAACATGACATTGTTGCACTGGCAATGTTTCCAGCAGGTGGCACTATTTCCCAGTCAGTGAATGTCAAGTTGACTAGTGTAGCCACTGTCTGAGAAGGTGACAGCTGACTGAGTTCTATAGTGAACCTGGTGAGTTGTCCTGCTGATGAGTGCTGGGGCGTTGTAGGAGCACTGGGACGCAAGGTCATCACAACTCCCATAGATCACCACCACATCCTCCATGGTGCCGTCATACACGTCAAACTTCCTGTTCACCTCCACGTCTACCAGATAGGCCCGGGCCAGATGAGAACAAATCCTGTGGTAACTCCAGCCCTGGGGGTGAGGAGGATTTTGTTCAAATTAATTTGGAACTGTCTAACATACTGTCTGTCGTCCGCTGGTTCTACAGAATGCTAACTCACACTCTCAATCTGTGCTGTGATTATGGCAATTTTCTTTGTTTAACTTTATGGGCATGCTACAGTGGATGTGTAACTTGCAGAGTGTGAAACCTGGGCGTAAGCAGTTTGGCTCTTTACTACATGTTGCACCATAGAGTGCTAAGATGGTAGTACCTGATAGATAATGTGCTCCATGAAGGTGCTGGTGCTGATTTCCACTGCCAGGGAGCGCCAGATCATATACTCTAGAGACGGGAACTCAGGGAAAACATCAAACGCCTCAAACAGGGATTCGATAGCAATGAAGCAGGTCTGGAGAAAAACCATGGACAAACAATCAGGGATATTATATACAGGGAAACAATGGCGGATAAGGTTTTCCTAACAATTGTGTCTCCATGGTTATGTGGAACAGTTGTAGACGAGCCCTTATGGCTGGTTTATCAACCTCACAGTGACGTTTTTGCACTCAATTATCTATCTATGTTGTGAAAGATCATACCCTTGTCTGACCCAGCTATTATCAGACAGTGGAGTGGATATTCAGTTACTTGGGCTTTCTCCAAAAACTGCATCAGATACTGACCACTTTGTCCATTCTATTCTCATTACATTTGTACTGATCTGACATACACTTGTCTTCACTGACATACTTAGGCCATTTCATGTGAACAAAGTTTAGTAAATGAACAGTAGAGAGACCTGAGTGGCTGTCTCACAGGTGACCGTCATCTCCATAGGCTGCTGGGTGAGACAGTTGAGTTCTCCCATGATGGCCCCACAGCTCCTGTAGTCTGTCAGTCTGGTCTTCTCCTTGGGGCTCTTGCCTCCAAGGTTTGGCCTTCCTCCAGTCATCTGGGATACAGTACAGTATAGAGATTCACATCCATACAGTATAAGGTTATGATCACAGAGCGTCAATCAAGTGTTTTTGGGTTGTTTGATGATTAGGGGAGCTTACGATACAAGACCAGCATTGGGTATAAATTACCTTATAAATAATAAAAATATCATCGACATAACAGAGATACAGTGGCGTGCGAAAGTTTTCAACCCTTTGGCATTTTTCCTATTTTGTTACCTTACAACCTGGAATTAAAATTGATTTTTTGGGTTGTATCATTTGATTTACATAACATGCCTACCACTTTGAAGATGCAACATATTTTTTTGTGTGAAACAAACAAGATATAACACAAAAAAACAGAACTTGAGCGTGCATAACTATTCACCCCCCCAAAGTCAATACTTTGTAGAGCCACCTTTTGCAGCAATTACAGCTGCAAATCTCTTGGGGTATGTCTCTATAAGCTTGGCACATCTAGCCACTGGGATTTTTGCCCATTCTGCAAGGCAAAACTGCTCCAGCTCCTTCAAGTTGGATGGGTTCCGCTGGTGTACAGCAATCTTTAAGTCATACCACAGATTCTCAATTGGATTGAGGTCTGGGCTTTGACTAGGCCATTCCAAGACATTGAAATGTTTCCCCTTAAACCACTCGAGTGTTGCTTTAGCAGTATGCTTAGGGTTATTGTCCTGCTGGAAGGTGAACCTCCATCCCAGTCTCAAATCTCTGGAAGACTGAAACAGGTTTCCCTCAAGAATTTCCCTGTATTTAGCGCCATCCATCACTCCTTCAATTCTGACCAGTTTCCCAGTCCCATGCCCACAGCATGATGCTGCCACCACCATGCTTCACTGTGGGGATGTTGTTCTCGGTGTGATGAGAGGTGTTGGGTTTGCGCCAGACATAGCGTTTTCCTTGATGGCCAAAAAGCTCAATTTTAGTCTCATCTGACCAGAGTACCTTCTTCCATATGTTTGGGGAGTCTCCCACATGCCTATTGGCGAACACCAAACGTGTTTGCTTATTTTTTTTTTAAGCAATGGCTTTTTTCTGGCCACTCTTCCGTAAAGTCCAGCTCTGTGGAGTGTACGGCTTAAAGTGGTCCTATGGACAGATACACCACTCTCTGCTGTGGAGTTTTGCAGCTCCTTCAGGGTTATCTTTGGTCTCTTTGTTGCCTCTCTGATTAATGCCCTCCTTGCCTGGTCCGTGAGTTTTGGTGGGCGGCCCTCTCTTGGTAGGTTTGTTGTGGTGCCATATTCTTTCCATTTTTTATTAATGGATTTAATGGCGCTCCGTGGGATGTTTAAAGTTTCTGATATTTTTAAATAACCCAACCCTGATCTGTACTTCTCCACAACTTTGTCCCTGACTTGTTTGGAGAGCTCCTTGGTCTTCATGGTGCCGCTTGCTTGGTGATGCCCCTTGCTTAGTGGTGTTGCAGACTCTGGGGCCTTTCAGAACAGGTGTATATATACTGAGATCATGTGACACTTAAATTGCACCCAGGTGGACTTTATTGAACTAATTATGTGACTTCTGAAGGTAATTGGTTGCACCAGATCTTATTTAGGGGCTTCATAGCAAAGGGGGTGAATACATATGCACGCACCACTTTTCCGTTATTTATTTTCTTGAATTTTAAAATCCAAATAAAAATCAATTTAAATTACAGGTTGTAATGCAACAAAATAGGAAAAACGCCAAGGGGGATGAATACTTTTGCAAGGCACTGTATTTCAAGGTACAGCTTCCATTTCAACAACCGGAAACCCTTCCATGTAAAGTATAATGTAAAAACGTAAGTTGGGGATGTGTACATTTAATTACGCCTCTTGAAGAGGATGTATCAACCAGCGTCATCAATGTAACCCAGGGAATAAGGATGGGAGCTCTGAGAAGAGGATACTGCAGTTGAAGTGTGACAGCTGGTCTACATCATAGGTAACAAAAAATGTGCTTTTATGCCCATCTTGCTGCTCCATGACTCACAAAGAGTCATAGCGCTTATTACACACTCAGTCTTCATACAATGTGAAAATGACCTGTGACGTTGTAAAGTTTAAACCATTCTAGGATAAGGGGATGAAACTAAAAACCGCAGCAAAAGGCAATTTCTACAGCGTGATTGAGACTGGATTCACGGTCACCGCTGCATGTCGTCTCAATCAGAAATGTTGTTTAAATTTCTATCGCGGAATCTGTAGCGCTTCAGTGTTACAGATTGAATAGAGCCCTAAGTAACAAAGGGTTGTTTGTGCTTTGACAATTTTATGACCTTGATATTTACACAATTAAAAAAATTATAAAATACTGTACTACAATACAGCCCTCCTTCTACTCCTTAGAGATTGTTGTTGCACTTAACATTTCTATTTGAGACTTCCTTTTCTAGATTATTTTCTACTATCCTTAATAAGCTTCAACAACAAATTGTCCCTGAGGGTCCTTTGGCTTACTGTATCTTCCAAATGAGAAATTCAATATAAAGAAAATGTAGGAAACGTGTTCATCAATGTTTCTGAACATTGTTTAATATCATGTCCTGAAACCAATGCCTTATACTGCTTTAAAAGCATGAACGTGACAATGATTCTTTAATTATGTAAAAAAAAGTCCAGTTTTGTATTCAGAGGCAAAGAAACAAGAATTGGTATAGAAAATGAGCTGATATTGAAGTGTAAGATCACAAGCTAAGTAAAGGTGTCTGTACAAAGAGAAGGCTATTATCCCCTGCCTTTCAAAATGACCCATAATTGCAGTGTCACACTGTAATGTGTTGAAATAGCTTACATTGTGTTCCATTTTAAGGTGACCAAAATGACAAGTGATTATGTGTAATTTCCACATATTAATAGCATTGACTGTATACTTGATGCTGTGTTCTACAATATGATGGAGAGAGGTAATTAGCTCACGGAGAAGACTGGGAAAGAAACTACTGGTGAGTAGTAGGCTATTTAATATCAGCCAGTCATTATTTTGTTTGCTATGAAAATAATGTGTCATGCCAATGACATTCATTCCCAACTATCACGTTCAGCAGCTATGTTTCAAGTTTGTGGTTTTTGTGTCTGATCATATTACAAATTTAAAACCGCTTGATACAAAAATGGGAATGCATTTTCAGAACATTAACCATTGATTAATATTCATTTTACTATTAGCGCATATCAGTACATACCTTAACCATGCCAGAGACAATCAAGTGTATTCCTTGAGGGTCCTCATTTTCTTGTATGATGGTGTCTCCAAAGTCAAAGAAAATAAGCTTGGCCACTGTCTGAAATAACACAATAAATAGATTGTTTATATTATTTTTTTACATGAAAGAAACATTGGTATAATACAGAAAATAAAAAAGCTTGTCATTCTAAGGCAAGGATATGGGAGATGTGTGCTCTACCTTGATGAACTGAATCTGGGTGCTGTCTTTGTTTAGCCATGGCAGATTCTGCAGAAGCTCCTCTGCTGTTGCTGCTGGGATTGTTGGTGGAAATTTGATCAATTTCTTCATTTTTATTTCAATCATCTGCCAAAGGGAAAAATGTAACATTCATTAATTTAATGTGTCAATAATAAAACGACCTTTCTGAATAGTCAGAGGTAACAAAGTATATATATTTATTGGAGGTATTGTAAATGGCAGAAGAGGAGCAAACTGAAAGCACCTTCTCCAGCTTTGATGCCTCTATGTCATCTAAGAGCCCCCCGGACACGAGTGTATGGATAGCTTCTCTCTCACTGTTCAGCACGGCTCGTATGGCCTGTCTGGTCTTCACCGAGATGGCAATCTCAGGATGGTCTCTCTGCAGCAAGCCTGAGAAAAGATCCCACAGAGTCATGTCCTCAGTCACTCTCCTGTCAGTTGTAAACTTAGCACATTGTGTGTAAGCTTGCCATCAAATAACAAAAATAACCTGAGATGCACTGAGGGCTACATAATTCTATTTCACAAATAAAAAATCAAGCTCTTTTACATATACTTGTAGTGTGTAATCCTGCTTTGTGTCTGTGAAGACTCCCTAAGGTCACCACAGATCTGGTCTTTCTAAATGCTAATGAAAGTTTTCAGAAAGACGCATCAATCTCTTCCAGCAGGAGAGCATGCTGGGAATCTGAGAAAATGGCTCCATGAGGCATTATTACCACAGTATCCTACTGAGCCCTTGTGTTCTCCCAGAACACATTTAGGTCCCCTACTTTGAGGAGTCACCTATGTCCTTTTTCTGTCTTTGATGGGGTACAATGGACTGGTAGTTACATCCCATACCTTTTCTCCAAAGCCCTGCTAGCTTCCAGATACCACGGGCCCAATCATTAGTATTTCATGATGTGTTCCATTTCCTTTGATGGTTGTATCTAAGAAGATAGTTGCTCTAAAAGTACACAGACTTGATCCCCCAGCCTGCTCCCTCTTTCTCTCTCTCAAGTAAGTTTGGTCAGAACTTAGGTCCGTACCAGGTACAACCCTAAATCCGTAAACATGGGCACCCTCATAGATATCATCCTGACTAATTTACCCTCTAAATACACCTCCGCTGTCTTCAACCAGGATCTCAGCAATCACTGCCTCATTGCCTGCGTCCGTAATGGGGTCCGCGGTCAAACGACCACCCCTCATCACTGTCAAACGCTCCCTAAAACACTTCAGCGAGCAGGCCTTTCTAATTGACCTGGCCCGGGTATCCTGGATGGATATGGACCTCATTCCGTCAGTAGAGGATGCCTGGTTGTTCTTTAAAAGTGCTTTCCTCTCAATCTTAAATAAGCATGCCCCATTCAAAAAATGCAGAACTAAGAACAGATATAGCCCCTGGTTCACCCCAGACTTGACGGCCCTTGACCAGCACAAAAACATCCTGTGGCGTACTGCATTAGCATCGAACAGCCCCCGCGATATGCAACTTTTCAGGGAAGTCAGGAACCAATATACACAATCAGTTAGGAAAGCAAAGGCTAGCTTTTTCAAACAGAAATGTGCATCCTGTAGCACTAACTCCAAAAAGTTTTGGGACACTGTAAAGTCCATGGAGAATAAGAGCACCTCCTCCCAGCTGCCCACTGCACTGAGGCTAGGAAACACTGTCACTACAGATAAATCTACGATAATCGAGAATTTCAATAAGCATTTTGCTACGGCTGGCCATGCTTTCCACCTGGCTACCCCTACCCCGGCCACCAGCTCTGCACCCTCCGCTGCAACTTGCCCATGCCCCCCCCCGCTTCTCCTTCACCCAAATTCAGATAGCTGATGTTCTGAAAGAGCTGCAAAACCTGGACTCCTACAAATCAGCTGGGCTAGACAATCTGGACCCTTTCTTTCTAAAATTAGCCGCCGAAATTGTAGCAACCCCTATTACTAGCCTGTTCAACCTCTCTTTCGTATCATCTGAGATCCCCAGAGATTAGAAAGCTGCTGCGGTCATCCCCCTCTTCAAAGGGGGTGACACTCTAGATCCAAACTGTTACAGACCTATATCTATCCTGCCCTGCCTTTCGAAAGTATTTGAAAGCCACGTTCACAAACAGATCACCGACCATTTCGAATCATACCGTACCTTCTCCGCTATGCAATCTGGTTTCCGAGCTGGTCATGGGTGCACCTCAGCCACGCTCAAGGTCCTAAACTATATTTTAACCGCAATCGATGAAAGACCGTACTGTGCAGCCGTCTTTATCGACCTGGCCAAGGCTTTCGACTCCGTCAATCACCACATTCTTATTGGCAGACTAAATAGCCTTGGTTTCTCAAATGACTGCCTCGCCTGGTTCACCAACTACTTCTCAGATAGAGTTCAATGTGTCAAATCGGAGGGCCTGTTGTCTGGACCTCTGGCAGTCTCTATGGGGGTGCCACAGGATTCAATTCTCGGGCCGACTCTATTCTCTGTGTATATCAATGATGTCGCTCTTGCTGCTGGTGACTCTCAGATCCACCTCTATGCAGACGACACCATTTTGTATACATCTGGCCCTTCATTGGACACTGTGTTAACAAACCTCCAAACGAGCTTCAATGCCATACAACACTCCTTCCGTAGCCTCCAACTGCTCTTAAACGCTAGTAAAACTAAATGCATGCTCTTCAATCGAACGCTGCTTGCACCCGCCCAACTAGAATCACTACTCTCGGCAGGTCTGACTTAGAGTATGTGGACAACTACAAATACCTAGGTGTCTGGTTAGACCGTAAACTCTCCTTCCAGACTCACATTAAGCATCTCCAATCCAAAGTTAAATCTAGAATCGGCTTCCTATTTCGCAACAAAGCCTCCTTCACTCATGCTGCCAAACATGCCCTCGTAAAACTGACTATCCTACCGATCCTTGACTTTGGCGATGTCATTTACAAAATAGCCTCCAACACTCTACTCAGCAAATTGGATGTAGTCTATCACAGTGCCATCCGTTTTGTCACCAAAGCCCCATATACTACCCACCATTGTGACCTGTACGCTCTCGTTGGCTGGCCCTCACTACATATTTGTCGCCAAACCCACTGGCTCCAGGTCATCTATAAATCAGTGCTAGGCAAATCCCTGCCTTATCTTAGCTCATTGGTCACCATAGCAACACCCACCCGTAGTATGCGCTCCAGCAAGTGTATCTCACTGGTCATCCCCAAAGCCAACATCTCCTTTGGCCGCCATTCCTTCCAGTTCTCTGCTGCTAATGACTGGAACGAACTGCAAAAATCTCTGAAGCTGGAGACTCTTATCTCCCTCACTAACTTTAAGCATCAGTTGTCAGAGCAGCTTACCGATCACTGCACCTGTACACAGCCCATCTGTAAATAGCCCACCCAACTACCTCATCCCCATATTGTTATTTATTTTGCTCATTTGCACCCCAGTATCTCTATTTGCACATCATCTTCTGCACATCTATCACTCCAGTGTTAATACAAAATTTTTATTATTTTGCACTATGGCCTATTTATTGCCTTACCTCCATAACTTACTAAATTTGCACACACTGTATATAGATTTTCTATTGTGTTATTGACTGTATGTTTTGTTTATCCCATGTGTAACTCTGTGTTGTTGTTGTTTTTATCGCACTGCTTTGCTTTATCTTGGCTAGGTCGCAGTTGTAAATGAGAACTTGTTCTCAACTGGCCTACCTGGTTAAATAAAGGTGAACAAATAAAATCATAAAAATAATAAAACAAGCATGACTAGAACAACTTAAACTATACAGAAGTTAAAATGATGGTACATCTTTAAAGCATGATTGGCTAGCAGTGCATTTTCCTCCATTAACCAAGGTACACACTTAGAATATCACACATTATACCACAGATAGAACAATGAGACAGATATTTCACCGGATGTATAAATGTGAAGCATTCTGCTTAGCGTTTCCACCCACTACCAAATATGGTAGTGAGAGGAAGCCCACTGGCCGGCAGTGGGAGAAGATGGGTGAAGATGGAACGAGATGGATTTTGGCTGACATTCTGCACATTTTCTCATCGATGAAACATTTAATCTCAATACAGTTTTAATTTCCCAAAACTAAAACCTGGACTAAGTTTTGTAGACTTTCCCCTTTGCAAAGGTTTTTAAAAATCGCGTTGTTTAGAAGGAAAGCATATGCGAATTGATTTATTGCACACCCGCACTTCACAGAGGAGTTCCTAAACGGACATACGCAAATGTATGCTAGAACGCGCCAATAGGATCTCGCTAGCTCTTGCTTGGCTCTGCCCACCTCCTTGTTTGTTCTGCCCCACTATGACTAATTTGTTCCCATTGGAAACGATAGGCTGTGGTCTATCTTGGTTTAGTTATAAAAATATTTGATTATACCACGGTACTGTTGAATACTGTTTTCTGATTGGCTTGAAAGGCATTCTAGAGCGTGCATTATTTCCTATAACGCAAGGTATATTTGCACTGTAGAATTCAATGGCTATAGTTCATTCATGTTTGAGCTGGTTTTGAAAAACAAAAGTCGAATTGAAAACATTATTGGCATTGTTGAATTAGATTTTCATAATAGCAAGCTAGGACTGATGGTTTGGTTAGCTAAACTAGCAAGTCTGTTTGGTTGGTTACCACGGCAACTACTTTAGCTATCTAGTAAACTTGCTAGCTACTTCAGTGGATGTTGTACACATTTATACCTGCAAATGAACCCATTCTAGTGGCAAATGTGTTAAATTATAGCCATGGTATAAAGGGGATAACAAACTCAGAGCTCTATGTGTTCTCTGGAAAATAATGTAACTCGGTGGAAGGTCAGTTCCACTCTGCTAGTGCATCGTGGAACACGTCTTCCATGTTGTTCATTAGCCCCTCGTTGATTATCCCTTACTTATACCGGCCCCTCCAGAGCATCAACATCAGTCCATTGAAGGATTCTGTCATTGTTTCATTGAATTATTTTTTCATCTATATCAATTTAGTGGAGATTCAATGTAGGATAGTTGACATGTAAATAGGACTGAAGGATTGTTGCTGTGAAAGATGTTGGTTAGTTAAAGCCAACTATACTATATTTGTAATCCCACAGTGATCCTAGTTAAAGTGATGGCCTTTATTTAGCATGACTGATATACTGTAGATACAGACAGTGTACATGCAGTAACATTGCTTGTCTGTCTCCCCTACTCTCTTACCAATCTCCCTGACAGCCTGCTGGCAGTTTCTCTCCAGTATACTTCTCAATTTCTGCAACACAAGATGAAGTGTGATGTACAAGATCCCAACACATTATAGGGCTATGGAGTAATTAATCATTTGGCTAGATACATCTCTGTGTTGCAAAAAAAAAGGATAGGTACCCAAGATTTCTTTACTATGAGAGGTCTAAACATGATATCATGTTGTGAAAAGATCAACAGCTGTTGTTGTATACTATACTGTAAATGTAATTTCAAAACACCTTAGATATGCTTTTGTCATCAGAGATATGGTCAATGATCTTGCTTATGTGCTCCTCTCCGATGACATAGCCTTTCCCGATGTCATACCCAAAGCTGAGCTGCTTATGGATCTGACGGTTTATGATTTCTATGAGCTTGGGAATGATGATCTGAAACACATACATTCAACAATAGATTATTTAGATTCACAGCATTTCTGAAAGTAACTGGATAACCCTAGAAAAATGAACTGTAAAGCTATTTCGAATCTACACTGAGTGTACAAAACATTAGGAACACCTGCTCTTTCCATGACATAAATTGACCAGGTGAATCCAGTGAAAGCTATGATCCCTTATTGATGTAACCTGTTAAATACACTTCAATCAGTGTAGATGAAGGGGAGGAGACAGGTTAAAGAAGGATTTCTAAGCCTTGAGACATTTGAGACATGGGTGTGTATGTGTGCCTTTCAGTGGGTGAATGGGAAAGACAGAATATTTAAGTGCCTTTGAACGGGGGTAGTAGGTGCCAGGCGCACCGATTTGAGTGTGTCAAGAACTGCAACGCTGCTGGGTTTTTCATGCTCAATAGTTTCCTGTGTGTATCAAGAATGGTCCACCACCCAAAGACCATCCAGCAAACTTGAGACAACTGTGGGACGCATTGGAGTCAACATGGGCCAGCATCCCTGTGGAACGCTTTCGACACCTTGTAGAGTCCATGCCCTGCCAAATTGAGGCTGTTCTGAGGGCAAAAGGGGGTGCAACTCAATACTAGGAAGGTGTTACTAATATGTTTTTTTACACTCAGTGTATATCACTGGTCATAGATTTGATGGTCCCATCAAGCCATAGCATACCTTCACCAAACGAAGTGCCCTGGTAAGGCGGATCATTTTAGACACCTTCACAATTTTTATCATGTGAATATTGACAACATATGCTGTGGTTTCAAAATAATGGTCCAGGAATATGTCAACACAAGCCAAGATGATAATGAAGAGGTCGAACTGGTTCCAGTGATTGAAGATATAGGCCTTCCTCATGGCCAAAGCCTGTAGAACAAGAGGAAATGTGTCACAGAGGGTCTTCAAATCAAATGTCTGACATCATGTGAATGTATTGTATATTAGATGTTCTTTAGTTGACATGTATTTAGTGTAGGCCTTTTTCCTGCCTTCAGTATAGCCTCCACAAGATAGCCGCTGAAGAAGATGTAGTTGATAATACTGAGTTCTATGTTATGTTTGTCACTGATCGCTGGGATGAACTCCAGGATGATGGGGAAGATGTTGAGGACAATCAATGCATAGATGAAATACTCAAAGGGGAGGCTGAAGACAACCTGGTAGCACCACTTGAGCATCGCATTCCTGAAATACAACATACCGTTGTGTAAATTATGTGTCATTAGAGCAGTTATACAATACTGTTATTTCACTGAGTAACCTGGTGGTCTAAATTCATTTACAGTAAATCTCAGCTGTGCTTCATTACCTTGATGGTTTAAGTTTATCAAGCTTGACATCGTACAGCCAGTCCTCTAGTCTCCTCCGAAGAGACACAAAAACACCTTTCAGCTCCCAGTATTTCTTGACATCCAGAACACTCATGAACCTAAACAAAGACAGAAACATATGCATTGCTCTCCCAATTTTTGCAATCCTTTCTTCGCCCATATTTAAACATTCCTCAATATATACAATGCATTCGGAAAGTATTCAGACCCCTTGATTTCTTTCACATTTTGTTACGTTACAGCCTTATTCTAAAATTGATTAAATAGTTTTTTTCCCTCATCACTCTACACACAAAACCCCATAATGACAAAGCAAAAACAGGTTTCTAGAAATGTTTGTAAATGTATAAAAAATAAATAATGAAATATTACATTTACATAAGTATTTAGACCTTTTACTCAGTACTTTGTTGATGCACCTTTGGCAGCAATTACAGCCTTGAGTCTTCTTGGTTATGACGCTACAAGCTTGGCACACCTGTATTCTGGGAGTTTCTCCCATTCTTCTCTGCAGATCCTCTCAAGCTCTGTCAGGTTGGATGGGGAGCGTCGCTGCACAGCTATTTTCAGGTCTCTCCAGAGATGTTTGATCGGGTTCAAGTCCGGGCTCTGTCCCGAAGCCACTCCTGCGTTGTCTTGGCTGTATGCTTAGCTTCATTGCCCTGTTGGAAGGTGAGCCTTCGCCTCAGTCTGAGGTCCATAGCACTCTGGAGCAGGTTTTCATCAAGGATCTCTCTGTACTTTGCTCCGTTAATCTTTCCCTTGATCCTGACTAGTCTCCCAGTCCCTGCCGCTGAAAAACATCCCCACAGCATGATGCTGCCACCACCATCCTTCACCGTAGGGATGATGCCAGGTTTCCTCCAGACGTGACGCTTGGCATTCAGACCAAATAGTTCAATCTTGGTTTCATCATACCAGAGAATCTTGTTTCTCATGGTCTGAGAGTCCTTTAGCTGCCTTTCGGCAAACTCGAAGCGGGCTGTCATGTGCCTTTTACTGAGGAGTGGCTTCCGTCTGGTGGAGTGCTGCAGAGATGGTTGTCCTTCTGGAAGGTTCTCCCATCTCCACAGAGGAACTTTGGAGCTCTGTCAGAGTGACAATTGGGTTCTTGGTCACCTCCTTGACCAAGGCCCTGTCTCAGATTGGGTTTTCAAATCAAATCAAATCAAATTTTATTGGTCACATGCGCCGAATACAACAGGTGCAGACATTGCAGTGAAATGCTTACTTACAGCCCTTAACCAACAGTGCATTTATTTTAAACAAAAAAAGTAAGAATAAAACAACAACAAAAAAAGTGTTGAGAAAAAAAGAGCAGAAGTAAAATAAAGTGACAGTAGGGAGGCTATATATACAGTAAAATAAAGTGACAGTAGGGAGGCTATATATACAGGGGGGTACCGTTGCAGAGTCAATGTGCGGGGGCACCGGCTAGTTGAGGTAGTTGAGGTAATATGTACATGTGGGTTTTGCTTTCTAAATCATGTCAAATCAATTGAATTTAACACAAGTGGACTCCAATCAAGTTGTAGAAACATCTGAAAGATGATTAATGGAAACAGGATGCACCGGAGCTCAATTTCGAGTCTCATAGCAAAGGGTCTGAATACTTATGTAAATACATTTATTTTAATTTTTTATATACAATCGCAAAAATGTCTAAAAAACAGTTTTTGCTTTGTCATTATGGGATATGTAGATTGATGAGGATATTTAAAAAAATATATATTTTAGAATAAGGCTGTAATGTAATGAAATGTGGAAAAGGTGAAGGGGTCTGAATACTTTCCGAATGCACTGTATCATATACCTGTATATGAACTCATATTTCCACTTTCTAAAAATTAACCATACATCATAGCTACAAGTGCATTCGGAAAGTATTCAGACCCGTTCACTTTTTCCACATTTTGTTACGTTACAGCCTTATTCTAAAATTGATCAAATTAAAAATGTTCCTCATCAATCTACACACAATACCCCATAATGACAAAGCGAAAACAGGTTTTTAGAAATGTTTGCAAATTGATTAAAAATAAAAAACAGAAATACCTCATTTTAATAAGTATTCAAACCCTTTGCTATGAGACTCGAAATTGAGATGTTTCTACAACTTGATTGGAGTCCACCTGTGGTAAATTCTACAACTTGATTGGAGTCCACCTGTGGTAAATTCAATTGATTGGACATAATTTGGAAAGGCACACACCTTAGATAAGGTTCCACAGTTGACAGTGCATGTCAGAGCAAAAACCAAGCCATGAGGTCGAAGGAATTGTCCGTAGAGATCCGAGACAGGATTGTGTCGAGGCACAGATCTGGGGAAGGGTACCAAAACATTTCTGCAGCATTAAAGGTCCCCAAGAACACAGTGGCCTCCATCATTCTTAAATTGAAGATGTTTGGAACCACCAAGACTCTTCCTAGAGCTGGCCCCCGGGCCAAACTGAGCAATCGGGGGAGAAGGGCCTTGGTCAGGAAGGTGACCAAGAACCCGATGGACACTCTGACAGAGCTCCAGTATTCCTCTGTGGAGATGGGAGAACCTTCCAGAAGGACAACCATCTCTGCAGCACTCCACCAATCAGGCCTTTATGGTAGAGTGGCCAGACGGAAGCCACTCCTCAGTAAATGGCACATGACAGCCCGCTTGGAGTTTGCCAAAAGACACCTAAAGGACTCTCAGACCATGAGAAACAAGATTCTCTGGTCTGATGAAACCAAGATTGAATTCTTCGGCCTGAATGTCAAGCGTCACATCTGGATGAAACCAGGCACCATCCCTACTGTGAAGCATGGAGGAGGCAGCATCATGCTGTGGGGATGTTTTTCAGCGGCAGGGACTGGGAGACTAGTCAGGATCGAGGTAAAGATGAACGGAGCAAAGTACAGAGAGATCCTTGATGAAAACTTTCTCCAGAGCGCTCAGGACCTCAGACTGGGGTGAGGATTCACCTTCCAACAGGACAATGACCCTAAGCACACAGCCAAGTCAACGCAGGAGTGGCTTTGGGACAAGTCTCTGAATGTCCTTGAGTGGCCAGCCAGAGCCCTTACTTGAACCCGATCGAACATCTCTGGAAAGACCTGAAAATAGCTGTGCAGCGACGCTCCCCATCCAACCTGACAGAGCTTGAGAGGATCTGCAGAGAAGAATGGGAGAAACTCCCCAAATACAGGTGTGCCAAGCTTGTAGCGTCATACCCAAGAAGACTTGAGGCTGTAATCTCTGCCAAAGGTGCTTCAACAAAGTACTGAGTAAAGGGTCTGAATACTTATGTAAATGTGATATTTCAGTTTTTGTGTGTAGTTTGATGAGAGAGAGAAAAACAATTTAATCAATTTTAGAATAAGGCTGTAACGTAACAAAATGTGAAAGAAGTCAAGGGTCTGAATACTTTCCGAATACACTGTATACTCAAACTTAATGGTTATATATATTTGCTTTGTTTAAGTAAATATATATATACAGTTGAAGTTTACATACACCTTAGCCAAATACATTTAAATGTTCACAATTCCTGACATTTAATCCTAGTAAAAATTCCCTGTCTTAGGTCAGTTAGGATCACCACTTTATTTTAAGAATGTGAAATGTCAGAATAATAGTAGAGAGAATTATTTATTTCTGATTTTTTTTTCTTCATCACATTCCCAGTGGGTCAGAAGTTTACATACACTCAATTAGTATTTGGTAGCATTGCCTTTAAATTGTTTAACTTGGGTCAAACGTTTCGGGTAGCCTTCCACAAGCTTCCCACAATAAGTTGGGTGAATGTTGGCCCATTCCTCCTGACAGAGCTGGTGTAACTGAGTCAGGCTTGTAGGCCTCCTTGCTTGCACACACTTTTTCAGTTCTGCCCACAAATGTCTATAGGATTGAGGTCAGGGCTTTGTGATGGCCACTCCAATACCTTGACTTTGTTGTCCTTAAGCCATTTTGCCACAACTTTGGAAGTATGCTTGGGGTCATTGTCCATTTGGAAGACCTATTTGCGACCAAGCTTTAACTTCCTGACTGATGTCTTGAGATGTTGCTTCAATATATCCACATAATTTTCCTTCCTCATGATGCCATCTATTTTGTGAAGTGCACCAGTCCATCCTGCAGCAAAGCATCCCCACAGCATGATGCTGCCACCCTCGTACTTCACGTTTGGGATGGTGTTCTTCGGCTTGCAAGCATCCCCCTTTTTCCTCCAAACATAATGATGGTCATTATGGCCCAACAGTTCTATTTTTGTTTCATCAGACCAGAGTACATTTCTCAAAAAAGTGCAATCTTTGTCCCCATGTGCTGTTGCAAACTGTAGTCTGGCTTTTTTATGGCGGTTTTGGAGCAGTGGTTTCTTCCTTGCTGAGCGGCCTTTCAGGTTATGTCGATATAGGACTCGTTTTACTGTGGATATAGATACTTTTGTACCTGTTTCCTCCAGCATCTTCACAAGGTCCTTTGCTGTTGTTCTGGGATTGATTTGCACTTTTCGCACCAAAGTACGTTCATCTCTAGGAGACAGAACGCGTCTCCTTCCTGAGCGGTATGACGGCTGCGTGGTCCCATGGTGTTTATAGAGGCACTGAGTTTGAAGGTAGGACTTGGAGAAATGTCCTCTGGTCTGATGAAACAAAAATAGAACTGTTTGGCCATAATGACCACCGTTATGATTGGAGGGAAAAGGGGGCAGCTTGCAAGCCGAAGAACACCATCCCAACCGTGAAGCACGGGGGTGGCAGCATCATGCTGTGGGGGTGCTATGATTAAATGTCAGGAATTGTGAAAAACTGAGTTTAAATGTATTTGGCTAAGGTGTATATAAACTTCTGACTTCAACTGTGTTTGTGTGTATATATATATATATATACAGTACCAGTCAAACGTTTGGACACGTACTCATTCCAGGTTTTTCTTTATTTTTACTATTTTCTACATTGTAGAATAATAGTGAAGACATTAAACTAGGAAATAACACATATGGAATCATATAGTAACCAAAAAAGTGTTAAACAAATCAAAATATATTTTATGTTTGAGATTCTTCAAAGTAGCCACCTTATGCATTGATGACAGCTTTGTACACTATTGGCATTCTCTCAACCAGCTTCATGAGGTAGTCACCTGGAATGCATTTCAATTAATAGGTGTGCCTTGTTAAAAGTACATTTGTGAAATTTCTTTCCTTCTTAACACTTTTGAGCCAATCAGTTGTGTTGTGACAAGGTAGGGTTGGTATACAGAAGATAGCCCTATTTGCAAAAACCATCAAGCGATTTGATGAAACTGGCTCTCATGAGGACCGCCACAGGAAAGGAAGACCCAGAGTTACCTCTGCTGCAGAGGATAAGTTCATTAGAGTTACCAGCCTCAGAAATCGGCATTTAACTGCACCTCAGATTGCAGCTCAAATAAATAACACATCTCAACATCAACTGTTCAGAGGAGACTGTGTGAATCAGGCCTTTATGGTCGAATTGCTGCAAAGAAACCACTACTAAAGGACACCAAAAAGAAGAAGAGACTTGGTTGGAACAAGAAACACGAGCAATGGACATTAGACCGGTGGAAATCTGTGCTTTGGTCTGATGAGTCCAAATTTGAGATTTTTGGTTCCAACCGCAGTGTCTTTGTGAGACGCAGAGTAGGTGAACGGATGATCTCCGCCTGTGTGGTTCCCACCGTCTAGCATGGAGGAGGAGGTATGATGGTGTGGGGGTGCTTTGCTGGTGACACTGTCTGTGATTTATTTTGAATTCAAAGCACACTTAACCAGCATGGCTACCACAGCATGCTGCAGCGATACGCCATCCCATCTGGTTTGCGCTTATTGGGACTATCATTTGTTTTTCAACAGGACAATGACCCAAAACACACCTCCAGGCTGCTTAAGGGCTATTTGACCAAGGAGAGTGATGCAGTGCTGCATCAGATGACCTGGCCTCCACAATCACCCAACCTCAACCCAATTGAGATGGTTTGGGATGAGTTGGACCGCAGAGTGAAGGAAAAGCAACCAACAAGTGCTCAGCATATGTGGGAACTCCTTCAAGACTGTTGGAAAAGCATTCCTCATGAAGCTGGTTGAGAGAATGCCAAGAGTGTGCAAAACTGTCATCAAGGCAAAGGGTGGCTACTTTGAAGAAACTAAAATATTAAATATATTATGATTTGTTTACGTTACCTATATTTTTCTTAATGGTAGCTTTAGTGCAGTCAAAGATTATCTATTATATTGGCAAGATAGTCCAGTGACCACTCTAACAATGGAAATTCATGTCCTCAAAGATGGAAGGCAGGCGAGAGGAGGCGAGATCAGGTGGGAGCATTCTAGCCAATGAAAAGGCAGATACGCGTGTGAACAACAGGCACAACTAAGTCATTTTTCTCAAAGTTGCAGGAATGCCACGTGCATCCACTTATAGCAGTACATTATTTGTAACAGCATAAATATTACGAAACTTCTATTTGATCAAATAAGCCTCATGTTATTCGACACTCTCTCATAGACCTTCATACAAAAAAATCCCCACTTGGTCTGCTTATCTAAAGCGAACAGATTTTGGCCGTTTTTAGTTTCTTCTTTTTGTTTTAATTCTAAAAACCTGTTTTTGCTTTCTCGTTATGGGGTATTGCGTGTAGATTGATGAGGGGAAAAAACGATTTAATCCATTTTAGAATAAGGATGTAACGTAATACAATTTGGAAAAGTCAAGGGGTCTGAATACTTTCCGAATTACTTGGCCTATTAACATTGCCATAGGCCTATGGACCTCTAGGACTATGACATGAAAAAGAATAGAATCATGACCCAGAGATGTCAAATATTTAAGGGGTGCTTAATCTAAGTACATAATAAGCTGCAATTACTGAGGTTAGATTCTTCCAAGTGGTGCCTGACACTTACACAATGACTATAAAAAAATGGAAGATGCTCATCAATCATAGCCTCCATTAATTCTAGCCAAATGTCCTTGTTGTAAGCAGTATAGCTAGATCAGCTCATTCAAAAAAAGAATATTATGTAACAGATCAGTATTACTCACAGGTAATCATGTAATCAGCTGCTGTCTTAGCTCAACGTATACGATTATAAACACACAAACCCGGACTGAACCAAGTGGTCCTATATCTTTTTGAGTGAGGGCAATGAGAGCAGCACTTACTTTCCCTTGTGGTCTGTCATGTTCTCAGCTGTATTGATCAGGGTCCTGGCTGCCTCTCGGTTCAGCATTCCAGCGCTGTACTGCTTCCAGTAGCTTGTCTGGTAGGAAACCAACATCAGTTTCCAGTTCAGACACCATTCATACTGGACTCTTAATGATTCATCTGTCAACTTCATGCTAAACCCATTACATTCACCAAAGTCAATAGTTCCTTCCCTGTGGGCTAAAAAGTTCATCATAATCTTATGGGTCATCCTAACCAAATTGTAGAAGTGTATCGACAAGGTTACAACTAAGTGAGGAAAAGCAGAGGTACAGGTTGTGATTAAAGAAACAAAAACAACTTCTAACTTAATATCCTATCGAACACATTGATTGTATACATTTGAAAAGAACAGAACGTTCGACGTCATGCTCTTTTTATGTGAGCAATGCTTTCCTTCCACGTGTTGTACATTGAACAGGCTGAACGAGCAATTAGGCCCATCTCTTTACGTAAGGTCAGGGTGACTATGATGAACATTGTGGTCAGTAGGATCCAGTGGGGTGAACCAGACCTTCTGAGCCTTCAGGATGCGCATGCGAGCCTCCTCCATCATGTCCTCCAGCTCCTGTGGTGATGGTGCATAGGGAATGTCCCTGTCACAGTCTGGGCACTTAGTCATCCTGGCTGTGGGGGAGAACTCTTCAATGCTAACCTGGAAGAAAGGGCACAGGCAAAGACATATATTTTCACTCATATGTGAAAGTAGGAGTAAAATATTGATATAATGATATGGGTGTTAATACTGTAACACAGTGCCAAATGACTACAGATTATATGTATGATATCTTGTTTCAAATCGGATACTTCTTCATGTCAAAGAGAGAGACATTAGTTAGCACAGAATACCTTTTCATTGGGTGTTTTATAGGGGTCCTCTATGAGGACTCTCTGCTCTGCCATTTCCCAGTTAGCATCTGCTAAAAACCTGTCAATCTTCAACAAGCTGAAAGTGTTCTGCGAGCTCTCCCGCACCCGCTGCACCGCACTATACATGGCCATGCGCCTGGGCACAGACACATCATATAGGCCTGGGAACACAAGATACATTGTCAGAGAGAGACAACCTCTTTCTGTCTAAGTGCTCCTAAGTGCAGTTTAGTTGGCTTCACACACATAGAGAGCAATAGTAATGGCATCTTTTTGTAGGCACTAACTCCGCCATGGTTCGTTGGACAAAGCCTATGAAGAAAATGTATGGTGTTTTTACAGGGTTTTTGGCCGAAACAGAGGTAACTTGTTTCCGGATTTTAGGACTACAAGCTGGCGAGCTCTATTGTGAACAACCTGTCAAAGACGAGATACTACTTGACACAGTACAACCTCACCTAATAGTCTAAGGAACCAGGTCATTGATGTTGCATTGATAAGAAGTGTTAGGACCACCATTCCAGAAGACAGGACCAAAATCTGTAACAGAGATGATCTTCAACTGTCAAGATTGCAATTACATTAACCGATGCCATAAGACACTGCTATCATCATGGTAGCCTGCTAAAGCGGTAGAAAGTAGCAAATACAAAAAATCCCCACCTTTTCTCTCACTTGCTCTTCGTCCAAATCATCTGACTGAAAAGCCATGAGTGTAAGACTTAGACAAAAGGCCCCTTTGGTCCCTCCCCAGACACAGACTGCTGCCCACCGCCAGCTGAAGCCATAGCCAGTGCGTACCAGGAAGGGTGACAGTGCAATAACAGTCACAAGTCTGTAATAGAGAAAGAAGAGTCCCAAACTGATACCTCCTCATATTTCCTTGCCAATGATCACAAGAACAATACTGATACAGTGGGGGAAAAAAGTATTTAGTCAGCCACCAATTGTGCAAGTTCTCCCACTTAAAAAAGATGAGAGAGGCCTGTCATTTTCATCATAGGTACACTTCAACTATGACAGACAAAATGAGAAAAAAAAATCCTGAAAATCACATTGTAGGATTTTTAATGAATTTATTTGCAAATTATGGTGGAAAATAAGTATTTGGTCAATAACAAAAGTTTCTCAATACTTTGTTATATACCCTTTGTTGGCAATGACACAGGTCAAACGTTTTCTGTAAGTCTTCACAAGGTTTTCACACACTGTTGCTGGTATTTTGGCCCATTCCACCATGCAGATCTCCTCTAGAGCAGTGATGTTTTGGGGCTGTCGCTGGGCAACACGGACTTTCAACTCCCTCCAAAGATTTTCTCTGGGGTTGAGATCTGGAGACTGGCTAGGCCACTCCAGGACCTTGAAATGCTTCTTACGAAGCCACTCCTTCGTTGCCCGGGCGGTGTGTTTGGGATCATTGTCATGCTGAAAGACCCAGCCACGTTTCATCTTCAATGCCCTTGCTGATGGAAGGAGGTTTTCACTCAAAATCTCACAATACATGGCCCCATTCATTCTTTCCTTTACACGGATCAGTCGTCCTGGTCCCTTTGCAGAAAAACAGCCCCAAAGCATGATGTTTCCACCCCCATGCTTCACAGTAGGTATGGTGTTCTTTGGATGCAACTCCCAAAAGTTATATTTTGGTTTCATCTGACCATATGACATTCTCCCAATCCTCTTCTGGATCATCCAAATGCACTCTAGCAAACTTCAGACGGGCCTGGACATGTACTGGCTTAAGCAGGGGGACACGTCTGGCACTGCAGGATTTGAGTCCCTGGCGGCTTAGTGTGTTACTGATGGTAGGCTTTGTTACTTTGGTCCCAGCTCTCTGCAGGTCATTCACTAGGTCCCCCCGTGTGGTTCTGGGATTTTTGCTCACCGTTCTTGTGATCATTTTGACCCCACGGGGTGAGATCTTGCGTGGAGCCCCAGATCGAGGGAGATTATCAGTGGTCTTGTATGTCTTCCATTTCCTAATAATTGCTCCCACAGTTGATTTCTTCAAACCAAGCTGCTTACCTATTGCAGATCCAGTCTTCCCAGGCTGGTGCAGGTCTACAATTTTGTTTCTGGTGTCCTTTGACAGCTCTTTGGTCTTGGCCATAGTGGAGTTTGGAGTGTGACTGTTTGAGGTTGTGGACAGGTGTCTTTTATACTGATAACAAGTTCAAACAGGTGCCATTAATACAGGTAACGAGTGGAGGACAGAGGATCCTCTTAAAGAAGAAGTTACAGGTCTGTGAGAGCCAGAAATCTTGCTTGTTTGTAGGTGACCAAATACTTATTTTCCACCATAATTTGCAAATAAATTCATTAAAAATCCTACAATGTGATTTTCTGGAGAAAAAAAATCTCAATTTGTCTGTCATAGTTGACGTGTACCTATGATGAAAATTACAGGCCTCTCTCATCTTTTTAAGTGGGAGAACTTGCACAATTGGTGGCTGACTAAATACTTTTTTTCCCCACTGTACATAACATTAGTACATGGTAGAAAAACTGGTTAAATGCCTGATGTAAACTCATTAAAACAGTGATGTTCTTTACCTTATGATGTACATAGCAAAGTAGAGCACTACAATGTTGAAGAAATCGTTGACGCCCACATGTTGAAATGCTCTAGCTACCACAATACCAACAATGAAGAAAATTAAGGTGTTGGCCAAATAAGTCAGCATCTCCCAGAACCTATGGAAAAGTAGGAATGTTGTCTTTAGAAACCATTTTAAGTTCAGAAAACACTACAGAAAATGGATTTTATTATCTAGACTCACCGTAAAAGAAACACTTCAATTTCTGGGCTGAAGTTGACTGTGTCCAAGAGAAGCCCCATAATGAGGACAGCTATGACCCCAGACATTCCTAGCCATTCAGCTAAATGACATGAAAATGTTACATAAACATTAATTAAACAAATTATATTTATTTAAGATACAATAACCATACATTTCTTGCTATTTAGCCATCTGCTAAATGGCATATTATTATTTATTATATTATTTATTGAACAAACCAAATTACGTCATTTCTAAAAGGACATGACAAAAACTCCCTTACCGAAGTAAAATGTGATGTACGTCATTGCCAGGCTGATGGTTATTTCAATCAGTCCATCATTGAAGATGTATGACAGCCAAAACATAATGATCTTAGACATGATAAACCCTAAAAGAGGGCTCCCGAAGATTTTCAATATCAGCTTGATGGTGAAAGTTGTTGCTGTGGGATGAAAACATTCACATGATTCCAGAATATTCCTTCTTTCTACCCCAAAAATGGATCCAACTGTAATTTGACAGATACCGTACATTGTACCTTCAAAATGACTAAGATCAGTGGCAAGGTCTTTGAATGCATCAAATGTAATGATAGAGGCGCCATCACTGAACAATGACTCTCCCTCTATCAGAAGTATGAGGGGTTTCGCTGTTCCTGTAGAGAGGGACATAGTGAGTTCCTACCAGTACAGCTGATATCATTCAATTGCATTATTTTGCAGAAAGATGTGTATTCTTACCGAGACTGCGCAACAAAGCTGTTGATATGAAAGGGTCAATGGTGCTTACAATGGCTCCAAACATCATGCCAACATACCAGTCCCAGTTGTAAGCGTACACTTTCACAACTAGTAACGCAATCATAGAAGAACTGAGCAAAAATCCAGGTATTGCCAGCAGTAGTACCTGTTTTAACACAAAGTTGAAATAATATTTGTATGTTATTTCTTTAGTAATTTCTAGTGACTTATTTTAGGTGTTTCTTTTAACCACCATAAGGCTATTCACAAAATGAATTGTATTGCAACCTGTTCATAATAACAAAAGTGCAGGGAAGACCTCACCTGTATTAAAGATTTCCAAAAGATGTGGGATTCGATTTCGAAGGCACTACTGAATATCAACACGGGCATAAACGTGTGAATCAACAGTTTGGGGCTGATGTGTGCAATCTCCTTTGTGTAATAACTGACCTGGACAACAATAACAATCAATATCAGCAAAGGTATTATAATTCTGATAATCATATGGCCTATGTTTAACATCAGAATGTGGTGATGTAGCCAGTCCATAGAGGAAGGACCATATAGGGGCCTTATAGCGGAACATAGAAAATAATAAAACACAACTTTTCTCAACAGTATATTTTAGACTTTTAGATATTAGATAATTGGATACATCTGTTATGACCATACCTCTGGATACTGGAAACTGAGTGTTCCTAGTAACATCCCACAAAGGGCTAATAGTACAGTATATGGCAGCTTCAGAGTCTGCAAGATAGTTCTGACAACAGCTATAGAAACGAGAGAAAAAAACATCTTAATGTTTGTGAGGCAAGGGATTTCTGAGAATCTGGGCTACATAGTCACACAGGGGTAATTGTAGGGGGAGTGTATAATTGTACGGCACTGATATGGTTTGCAATTATATATTGCATTTAGTTTTGGGTTGTGCACTAGTAGTGACTAGTGTAGCCGGTCAAATTATACACTACAAGCTATCTAGCTAGCTAGTTAGCTAACTTTACCTCCAAAGAGACATGCTCCAAACACAGTGAGTATGATCCCTGGTTGACTCTGGTCACTTAAATGAATCCAGGACATGAGGTTGGTGTCATTATCAGATGTCATATTGCTGATTTCTGAATGGGTGTGTAGGAAAGCCATTTTTGCATGCAGATAGGCTGGGAGGGAGGGACAGGAAAAAGGTTATTACACCCATCGGTGACAACGGGTGGGCATTGTCAGCGGGCTCGGATGGGTTGCAAATCACACTAGCTAACGTTAAAGATACACAGCCAGGTCAAACTGTTCGAAAGACATCAGGCTTCGGATATCTGGTGAATAGACAAAATAGGTCTGGCTAGCAGTGTTGGGGAAGCAACTCTGAAAATAGGCCTATAGTTTACCAAGCTACCAGGTACTTCACAATGAAAGAAGTTAAGATACACTAAAGCTACCCTCAAGAAAAATATACCTTACTTAACTGAAGTTACTTTGAAAAAGTAGTTGAATACATCCAAATTACTTCCTGAAAAATTATCATATCTACAGCATAAATCTGAAATGCAAGAACATATAATTTTGGGGTTGTGTAATTTAGCCTATTAAACACTTCCCTCATATTTATTTTTAACAAAAAAAAGTAGCATGTAGTACAGTAGTTAGTTCAACTACCCACAGTGTTGGGGAGTAGTGAACTACATGTAGCTAATTCAACTAGCTAGTAATTTAACTACATTTTGCAGCGGCTTGGTGGTAGTTCAACTAGCTAAATTCAAATATTGGTAGCTAACTTACTTTCTTGCCATGTAGCGGTGTAGCTAGTTAGCTAACTAGAACTGGAACTACGTAGCTACCCACTGGGAACAGACGTCAATTCAACGTCTATTCCACGTTGGTTCAACGTAATATCATTTAAATGATGTGGAAAAAACTATGATTCAACCAGTGTGTGCCAAGTGGGTAAACACTACTTGTTTTGCTAAAATAAAATATGGGTGAAGTAGGCGGAAAGTATTCAGACCCCTTGACTTTTTCCAAATTTTGTTAGGTTACAGCCTTATTGTCACGCCCTGGCTCTGGGGACTCTAATATGTTGAGCCAGGGTGTGTATAGTCTATGTGTGTTCTAGGTTTCACTTTCTGGTTTTGTAGATCTATGTTGGCCAGGGTGGCTCCCAATCAGAGACGGCTGTAGCTCGTTGTCTCTGATTGGGAGTCATACTTAGGTAGCCGTTTGGCACTCATTCATTGTGGTTTCTTGTTCGTGTTTGGTTGTGTATTACCATTGACTGTCACGTCATCGGTTTTGTTGTTTTGATCGTGTGATCATTTATTAAATAAATATGTTCGCCTTCAACGCTGCGCCTTGGTCCTCCTCTCTGGTAGACGATCGTGACACTTATTCTAAAATTTAGTAACTTGTTTTTTTTCCACTCATCAATCTCCTCATCAATCTACACACAATATCCCATAATGACAAAGCAAAAACAGGTTTTTAGACATTTTTGCTGAAATATCACATTTACATAAGTATTCAGAGCCTTTACTCAGTACTTTGTTGACGCACCTTTGGCAGCGATTACAGCCTCAAGTCTTCTTGGGTATGACGCTACAAGCTTGGCACACCTGTATTTGGGGAGTTTCTCCCATTCTTCTCTGCAGATCCTCTCAAGCTCTGTCAGGTTGGATGGGGAGCGTTGCTGCACAGCTATTTTCAGGTCTCTCCAGAAATGTTAGATTGGGTTCAAGTCCAGGCTCTGGCAGGGCCACTCAAGGACATTCAGAGACTTGTCCCCAAGCCACTCCTGCGTTGTCTTGGCTGTGTGCGTAGAGTCGGTTTTCATCAAGGATCTCTCTGTACTTTGCTCCGTTCATCTTTGCCTCGATCCTGACTAGTCTCCCAGTCCCTGCCGCTGAAAAACATCCCCACAGCATGATACTGCCACCACCATGCTTCACCTTAGGGATGGTGCCAAGTTTCCTCCAGATGTGAAAATCTTGTTTCTCATGGTCTGAGAGTCTTTAGGTGCCTTTTGGCAAACTACAAGCAGGCTGTCATGTGCCTTTTACTGAGGAGTGGCTTCTGATTGGTGGAGTGCTGCAGAGATGGTTGTCCTTCTGGAAGGTTCTCCCATCTCCACAGAGGAACTCTAGAGCTCTGTCAGAGTGACCATTGGGTTCTTGGTCACCTCCCTGACCAAGGCCCTTCTCCCCCGATTGCTCAGTTTGGCCGGGCGGCTAGCTCTAGGAAGAGTCTTGGTGGTTCCAAACTTCTTCCATTTAAGAATGATGGAGGCCACTGTGTTCTTCGGGACCTTTTAATGCTGCATAAATGTTTTGGGACCCTTCCCCAGATCTGTGCCTCAACACAATCCTGTCTCGGAGCTCTACGGACAATTCCTTCGACCTCATGGCTTGGTTTTTGCTCTGACTTGCACTGTCAACTGTGGGACCTTATTTAGACAGGTGTGTGCCTTTCCAAATCATGTCAAATTAATTGAATTTACCACAGGTGGACTCCAAGTTGTAGAAACATCTCAAGGATGATCAATAGAAACAGGATGCACCTGAGCTCAATTTTGAGTTTCATAGCAAAGGGTCTGAATACTTATGTAAATAAAGTAATTCTGTTTTTTTTATTTTAATACATTTGCTAAAATGTCTAAAAACCTGTTTTCGCTTTGTCATTATGGGGTATTGTGTGTAGATTGCTGAGGATTTGTATTTATTTAATCCATTTTAGAATAAGGCTGTAATGTAACAAAATATGGAAAAAGTCAAGGGGTCTGAATACTTTCCAAAGGCACTGTAGCCATAGGCAGATACGGATATATAATCAAACTTAATGGTTATATATATTTGCATTGTTTAAGTAAATATATACACTACCAGTCAAAAGTTTGGACACACCTACTCATTCAACGGTTTTTCTTTATTTTCACAATTTTTTACAATGTAGAATAATAGTGAAGACATCAAAACTATGAAATAACACATATGGAATCATGTAGTAACCAAAAAAGTGTTAAACAAATGAAAATATATTTTATATTTGAGATTCTTCAAATAGCCACCCTTTGCCTTGATGACAGCGTTGCACACTCTTGGCATTCTCTCAACCAGCTTCATGAGGTAGTCACCTGGAATGCATTTCAATTAACAGGTGTGCCTTCTTAAAAGTTAATTTGTGGAATTTATTTCCTTCTTAATGCGTTTGAGCCAATCAGTTGTGTTGTGACAAGGTAGGGGGGCATACTGAAGATAGCCCTATTTGGTAAAAGACCAAGTCCATATTATGGCAAGAACAGCTCAAATTAGCAAAGAGAAACGACAGTCCATCATTACTTTAAGACATGAAGGTCAGGCAATACGGAACATTTCAAGAACTTTGAAAGTTTCTTCAAGTGCAGTCGCAAAAAACATCAAGTGCTATGAAACTGGCTCTCACGAGGACTGCCACAGGAATGGAAGACCCAGAGTTACCTCTGCTGCAGAGGATAAGTTCATTAGAGTTACCAGCCTCAGAAACTGCAGCCCAAATAAATGCATCACAGAGTTAAGTAACAGACACATCTCAAAATCAACTGTTCAGAGGGGACCGTGTGAATCAGGCCATGGTCGAATTGCTGCAAAGAAACCACTACTAAAGGACACCAATAAGAAGAAGAGCCCTGCATGGGCCAAGAAACACAAGCAATGGACATTAGACCGGTGGAAATCTGTCCTTTGGTCTGGAGTCCAAATTTGAGATTTTTGGTTCAAACTGCCGTGTCTTTGTGAGACGCGATGTGGGTGAACGGATGATCTCCGCATGTTTAGTTCCCACCGTAAAGCATGGAGGAGGAGGTGTTATGGTGTGGGGGTGCTTTGTTGGTGACACTGTCTGTGATTTATTTAGAATTCAAGGCACACTTAACCAGCATGGCTACCACAGCATTCTGCAGCGATACGCCATCCCATCTGGTTTGGGCTTAGTGGGACTATCATTTGTTTTTCAACAGGACAATGACCCAACACACCTCCAGGCTGTGTAAGGGCTATTTTACCAAGAAGGAGAGTGATGGAGTGCTGCATCAGATGACCTTGCCTCCAAAATCCCCCGACCTCAACCCAATTGAGATGGTTTGGGATGAGTCGGACGGCAGAGTGAAGGAAAAGCAGCCATCAAGTGCTCAGCATATGTTGGAAGACTGTTGGAAAAGCATTCCAGGTGAAGCTGGTTGAGAGAATGGCAAGAGTGTGCAAAGCTGTCATCAAGGCAAAGGTTGGATATTTGAAGAATCTCAAATATAAAATATATTTTGATTTGTTTAACACTTTTTTGGTTACTACATTATTCCATATCTGCTATTTCATAGTTTTGATGTCTTCACTATTATTCTACAATGTAAAAATGTGTAAAAATTAAGAAAAACCCTTGAATGAGTAGGTGCGTCCAAACTTTTGACTGGTACTGTGTGTGTATTATATATATATATATATATATATATACTTTTATTTTATGCACTTTGAGATTATTGTATAATGAAAATCGCTTTACAAATGTAAATATTATTATTATATGTCCTTTCTTTTTCAGCATCAGACCTGCCTAATTCTCACTTGAAACTGTTTTTGTGTTTAATAAACTAAATTACACATTCTGTTAACATCTGACTCCAGAGTGATCTGTACTTGCAATTTCTAACGTTAGTCTAGCTAGCTAACATTTCAGATTTAGAGATGATAATTTATCAAAAAGTAGTTTGGAAGTAACTAACATTAGTAAGTTAGTGAACTAGCTGGCTACTTTTTCAAAGTAACTTTAGTTAGCTCGCTAGCTAAGTAAACTAACGTTACCTATATTTACCTTAATGGTAGCTTTAGTGCAGTCAAAGATGATCTATTATCAAGATAGTCGAGTGACCGCTCTAACAATGGAAATGAATGTGCTCAAAGATGGAAGACAGGCAAGAGGAGACGAGATCAGGTGGGACCATTCTAGCCAATGAAAGGGCAGACGCGTGTGAACAACAGGCACAACTAAGTCATTTTTCTCAAAGTTGCCGGAATGCCACGTGCATCCACTTATAGCAGTACATTATTTGTAACAGCATAAACATTATGAAACTTCTATTCGATCAAATAAGCCTTGTGTTATTCGACACTCTCTCATTGACCTCTATACAAAAAAATCCCCACTTGGTCTGCTTATCTCGTGCGAACAGATTTTGGCCGGAGTAAACACTCTCGCTTCGCTTCTTCCTCTCGAGTGCAGCTTAACTTCTTCCAGTGTAAAGTATTTGGTAGCTTGTAACATTACTTTAAACTAGCTAGCAAGCTATATTTTAAGAGTACCCACTGGGCACAAACTGGTTGACTCAAAGTTGTTTCAACGTAATTTCTCAACGTATTGTGACGTGGAATCTACGTGGAAAATACATTGGATTTTAAAAAGTAATCAACTGTTGTTTTGAGGGCAAAATTTCATCCACAGGATTATGTCATCATGGTTACCAAATTTCAACATAGACAAACCTTGTATAAAATATGTTGAATTTCTACCTTTAAAACAACGTCAGATCTTCAACGTTATATCCACTATAAGAAAATAAACAGGCTGGGCAGCACCTCCTACTGGAAAATGTATCTATCTACAGCTACCCTTTGGTCTCCCATCCTGGGTTTTAACCAAGCCCAGCTAACCAATGTGCTATCATGAGATTGTTGAGATATCTCCACTTAAAAACTAAAAAGATTCACTGTTGCTGTCGAAGTCATTCCAAATGGTAGGTTTAACAGAGCAAATGAAATACGACCATGCTTTATCAATCATATATCATTAATGATGCTATTTATATAGAATTTGCAAAGTCATCAACAGCTATTGTTTCAATTCAACACAGAATTCAACAAAAAATAGACAATACAATAGGGCTAGGGTTTCAAGCTCTGGTTGATTTCAAATGTAATAATATTTAGTGATACTGAATTGTGTTTGGTTGGCAAGGCAACCAAATATAAACATGTATCTTCAGCTTGGATAGTTCCATCTGTGCCACTGACTTAGTCTGGCTTTAATTCCAGGTTGTCTACAAATTAATAATTGATGTTGGATTCACGTTCAAGTTTGATTTGATTTAGTCCTATTCTTTAAATTGAATTTTGATTGAGATTGAGACGTGAATCCAACATATCAATTATTAATTTGTAGACAAACTGGAATTAAAGCAAGCCAAGTCTGTGGCACAGATGGAACTATCCAAGCAGTAGATAAAGTACATGTCCTTTAAATGTTGATATTTGGTTGTGTCAAAAAGCGCATTAATAGACATTTGGGTAACAACGAAACCAAAATCAGACATTGTTTTCGCATTGGAATTTGGTTGTGCTTTTAGATGGTTGAAAGCAGTGATAACACATTGGAATTGGAAATTCAACTAACTTTTGGCTGTCTTTTTGAGTGGGTGAATATAGGTTGTAATCTCATTGATCAATGTCTCAACCAAATTTTACCCAATTATCCACGTTGAAATGACGTGGTGTTCCCACTGCCCAGTGGGTAGCTTCCTCAATACTGACTACCACCATGCTACTAAAAAATTTAGCTAGCTACGTTAATGACTTTAATAGCTAGCTAAAGTTAGTAATTTGCTAACGTTAGCTAGTTGAACTACATGTAACGTTGGTTAGCTACCTTTAGATCACTAGCTACTACAGGACACTGCTGGCTAGCTTGCGTGGCAACGAAGCCAGAAACTAGCCAACCACTGCAGCTACTAGCAGCAGTTAGCTAGCTACAGTGGCTAGGAAAACACTTTTACTAGCTAGCCGAGATCGAGCCCCTTTCCCACTGCACTGATCAACGGCTTCTGTGGGCAAGCTAAGCTATGTTAGCGAGCTAAAAACACTACTCAAATAAACTTACCTCATGGATTTATTTAGGCATTTGAGACAAAGTTTTTTTCTCCACGTTAATCCAAATTTCTGAAAGACGAGTGTAAAAGTTTCAATTGAACGTTGCTAGGCTAGAACGATGTTGCGATCGTTACGCTCACATGACGTCATCATATAACGATTGACAACCTTTGACTTTTGTTGAACAGCCAGTGCGCTACGCTACAGTGCGCTTCAGGCAACAGCTGTCTCGGACAAGCGAGACTAGCACACTGTCTGTTTACATCGCGAAAACAAATTCAGCCACTGCTATAATCTGTAATAATTTGTAATTATGTGTAATTAATTTTGCGCTTGCAAGATAACTGCAAAGATGTGCGATCATTGCAGACGCAGAGGGCATGGGGTCTCAAAGAAAATAAGGATTAGTGCAAATGTATGCAGACTCACGTGACGTCACTGATGCAGATAATGTATTTTGGGCATACTTTACTTTATACATTTAGCTAGGTACTTTGCTTAACTTCATCTATGATATTTCATCTTGTAGAAGGTGAGAAGAAAACTGCCAGGCTTCGATGGTCAACTTGCAGAGGTTGAAATGTTGCCCATGGGATTGTCTGCTAAACGAATGCATTGTGAACTACGGCGAGAGACCTCTGATTCGGAGCAACAAAGTCCATTACCCGGATCAGAAGTTGCACCTTTCCCTAAAGCACAACCATGCAGAGTCCAGTTAAACAGTGACGGCAGATATGGATGTGTAGCAATTACCAAGGATGGGGTTACAGCACTGTTCCTTCCGGACAAGAGCCCTACCTGTGCAAGTGCCCTACCTGGCGTCAAAGAGCTAAGGCCATGTTGTGATAGGGCTTTGCAATTAAAGACAAGACAAGGAAAGAAAATAGAAAGCAGGTAGGCCTGGACTTTAGCTGGAATAGTGGTTGTATCCAAATAGATATGTCCTGTATGGTTGGTACAGGATGGTGTGTAGACTGTATAATAAAAGGTATTGAGTCAGGACAGTGTTAATAAAAACTGTATTTTCTCTTCAGCAACCTCTCCCTGCAGAAAACATCAACCAATGGATTGTGTGGTGGTATGATCAATATTAATGTCATCAATGTGAAAGGAGACAGCCATAGATCTTCAGCATTGAGTTCTTTGGATGGAGTTCCTTTCTCATGTCATAATGGACCAGAACATTGCCCAAGGTGTGATGCTTGTTACAATGGAGGATTTCCCACACAGACCAATGACAAATGGAGAGAAGAACTTTCAGATCTGCCAGTGCACTTTGCAGACTCAGACCGAACATCTAAAAAAGGCCAAACCCTTTTACAAAGAGCCCAAAGGTTCCTGCCTTTGTTACACGCTGTTTGTATCTCATTTTGCTCTCTGTTGGTTGCTGCTGACCTGTACTGTCATTGGAATGGAAGGTCAAGGTGCCCTGAGAGTGGCTTTTCTAGTCTATTATTTAGTCCAGCTTGTGACTACCATCCTCCAGTATGACTGGTTACTGTCAATGATAGGATGACATTTTCATATAATTCAGGCTAATTACTTCTGATCTGTTAATTAAATAAAGAACTTCATTTAAATCCCTCTTATTGATCTCATGTACATGTAACCTATCACCATTTCTGAAAACTGTTATTTTAACACCTTCAAACTAATATCTTATGGCAACTATATATGGATAAAGGCTAAAGAAAAGTTCCAATGTATTGTCACAAAATAGATATTGCCCTTTGATTCAGGCTTTCCTGCTTTCATAATTTAAATGGACCAGTCCACAAACCCATGGAAATAGTCTACCTTTCTCCTTGTCTTTTACATTTTTCCATTATCTCTCATTAAGGAAACAAAGGCTATGTTTATATGTAATGGTTTTGTATTTTGACATTTTAACCACTCAGAGAGGCTCTAAAATAAAGATTTTAGATTCACTGATTTTATAGCAGTTTTCGTTTAGACATACATGATAAAAGTTTTTTCTACAAATTATATCACGTAAGATTCTATTAGTGAGAAAATTGATCCGACTTTCAGAACTATTGTCCAACTCAATGTGTCAGGTTGCAAAAAGTACATGACGATGTTATTGTAATTTCATCGTGACATGACCACTAGCCTACAGGAGGGGGTAGGTGGTTGTGACGTTAGACTTTGAGGAACAGGTAGACCCCCCCTACGCTTTTTTTTATTTTTTTTGCTTGGGGATTATAAAAGGCTACCAAAATCATCCTAACCCAAACGAGAATCACTACATGGACATTGAAGATCTCTCCGCATCTATAAGCATAACTATTTTGAATAAAGCCTTATAAACGTTTACATTATATTTGATTTCTTCCACCGTTGAACAAAACTTTAAAGGTAAGCGGATTTTAGACTTCTTTATAAATGTTTGTTTTGCGACTTTCAACTTCTAAACTTTTGAGATTATCTACAGCTAAAATGTTTTTTATATCTTGCCTTAGATGCAGAAGTCTATTGGAGTAGTTTGCATATCACTAATTTTCTGCGCAGCTCTGTCAGAAACAATTGGATTAGTGATTGCGGTAGGTCAACATTTTATTGTATTTGGCAAAATGTTGTCTAAAATGCTGTGATTTTCTCGTTGTTTTAACTAGAAGTAGGCATAGGCTATTGCAAACAACATTACAATTATATGAACATTTTAACCTATTACATAGACATAACATCATAACAAGGCATTGAGAGAATCGAGTTATTTCAATATAGTAAGGTTGAGCAATTGGCATTCAGAAAATGTAATAATTTATTAACAAATGAAATACGGTAGTGTAAGCTGTGTGTGTGTTTGTTGAGTTAACTGATGAGTGTACAGTGTGTATAATGAATCTGATTTAAGCAAATGTGTGTGTGTGTGTGTGTGTGTGTGTGTGTGTGTGTGTGTGTGTGTGTGTGTGTGTGTGTGTGTGTGTGTGTGTGTGTGATCACAGGCTAAAGAGAAGCGAGGGTGGACACTGAACAGTGCTGGCTACCTTTTGGGTCCCCGTAAGTGACTTCTAACTTATTAACAATATATACATGTACAGCCTCTCAATCACAACAGTAAACTCCATTCTCATAGTTTTAACCTCCTACACACCTGTGCTATGTCAATTATCATGCTCTCCTCATATTTGTTTCCCCATTGTATACTTTTTCACATTTCACCTGGCTGTGTGATGTGGCATGATGGTTTCCAACACACTTGTTCTGTATAATTATTGGACTTTTAAGTCATTATCCCTGACTATATTCACTATATTATAATATTTTGGAAGTTATCTGCTTTACACAGGATAACCTACTTATTCCTAAGGTTAATGGATTCTTGTCAACAAAGAATGAGGATATATCCTAAACTAGTTTAATTTTCAAACACAAATACAATATGCAGCACCTCTGTCATATGCAACATTGTACTTTTAACGGAGGATTTATTTAAATATCACATTTAATTCAATCTGTCTGCTGATTGTCAATGATGGTAAGTGGTTAACTGCACAAGGTTAATTTAAACATCTCAATACTCAGGATGCACTACTTTATAGACACAGGTCAGTGTTGTAAGTTTAGGTAAAATGCCATCATCCCTGTGTTTCAGGTCGTATTGATCACCTAATACAGATAAAGGATAATCCCAGCGTAAGGGGGAGAGAAGAACTGCTAAGTCAATGTAAGATAGCTCCTGCAGGACATTGGAGTCAGCAGAGGAATTGCTCTGTGACGCATCGCTCTGCGTGCTTATTTATTGTTTGCAGATTAAACATATTTCATGTCTCATAATGTATTAAACGACCAAGCAGAGAGGTGTTTTATCACGGCCATGGTCCCTTTATGTTGGTTTATTTTTCTACCTGTTTATTAATTATTAAATTGTCATACAGGAGCTTTAATCTCAGAAAGGCACTGTGAGAACAAATACAATGATGATAATGTTATTTTAGTATTTAATTATACTTGATGTGTGATGACTGACTGAGGCTATGGGTTAAGGTCAAAATTCAAGGATTACAATTCAGATAATTAGTGCACTTATATGATTGTTCAGTGCATTTTCCCTAGCCCTCTTGACTTAAACCTCTATTAAAGTGTTTGAAGGGGAGTGGTATTGCAACCATTTTCTGGTCTGCTCCATGCCCCTTTGGCTATAAATAAAAAACATAAGCAATGTGCTCTCTGAGATGGACAGTGAATGAAATGACTCTCCAAACTTTAATTTAGCCTACCTTTCTTGGTTTTTATGTCTTTTTTTCTTAGCATGTGGTTGGACAGTTCCTTAATATTTTTTTCATTTTTAGGTTCTGTTTCCATTCACAAATGTGTATGTCTTTCCTTCACTTATTCCATTGGTGAATATAAGTTGTAAAGCAATTCCGTGACTCAAGCCCTGCAGGTTGCTTTTCAGACTCATGACAGATAAAAGGAAAAATGCACCCTCATAAATTACAAGGGTGCGTTGAGGCTTTAGGCAGGGTTGCGGTGTTTGTGCGTGGTGTGCAATGAAGGGGATTTCATCAAGGGAATGGGTGAAAGTCGGCTGTGCAAAACTATGATTTTGTATTGTTGTTCAGATGGCATCGACGGTCACCGGACGCTCATTGACAAGCATGGCCTTGCTGGTAAGAGAGACATGCCCCGGGACTATGACTTAAAATCAGGTGAGAAGCTCTAACAGCCATGTAAAATCCGGGGCTTGTAGCCTACAGTTTATTGACCCTATGAGAGGGCAAATACAACGTTTAGAGTACTGATGTACCGTACAGTAATACTGCTTTACTCAGTAGTCTTCTACACCTCATGACAAGCTCTAATTTTGCAGGTTCCTTGAGAATAACAGATGAGGATGTATTACACAATGTCATTGATTTCTTATCATACATGCAACTTAAAGGTGAGTTGATGATGTCTGTTATGAATGTTTAATTACAACAATTAATTACAGCAAAATGTTTGACTGCATAGGAGTTTTATTCATATCATAAACAGTTAGGTTGACGTGTTCCAGAGTAAAATGTTCATATTTTTCATATGGTCTGATTATATTTGTATTTAATATTTACAGATTACATTTGTAGTCAAGATTGCTGGCTGTATATAGTTCAAACATATTTGGAACAGAACAACTTACTAGCATAGTCCTAATCAGTTATAACCATCTGACTGTGCTCACTCAAATGTTTTGTCATCAACCTTGCAGAAATCGGAGCTCTGGATACCCTGCCATCCTCGCTCACATCCGAAGAGATGAGTCAGCCCTAGTTCAACTTCAACATTCATTGATCTATTCTCTACGCTTCAATAGCCTGCAAACTACAGTATCTGTGCCCATCCTATTACACTGGATACTGGTGTCATTATTCACAACAATCTACTACACAGAGTAATCATGTTCTTATTATAATTGGAAAGAAATGTACTGAATAAAACGTTTTGAATGGCAAGACTTTGTTGTTCCTTTGTTGAAGTCGGAAGTTTACATACACTTTAGCCAAATACATTTAAACTCAAGTTTTTCACAATTCCTGACATTTAGTCCTAGTAAAAATTCCCTCTCTTAGGTCAGTTAAGATCACCACTTTATTTTAAGAATGTGTAAAGTCAGAATAATAGTAGAGAGAATGATTTATTTCAGATTTCATTTATTCAAGCTTCCCACAATAAGTTGGGTGAATTTTGGCCCATTCCTCCTGACAGAACTGGTGTAACGGAGTCAGGTTTGTAGGCCTCCTTGCTCGCACACGCTTTTTCAGTTCTGCCCACACATTTTCTATAGGACTGAGGTCAGGGCTTTGTGATGACCACTCCAATATCTTGACTTAGTTGTCCTTAAGCCATTTTGCCACAACTTTGGAAGTATGCTTGGGGTCATTGTCCATTTGGAAGACCCATTTGCGACCAAGCTTTAACTTCCTGACTGATGTCTTGAGATGTTGCTTCAATATATCCACATAATTTTCCTTCCTCATGATGCCATCTATTTTGTGACGTGCACCAGTCCCTCCTGCAGCAAAGCACCCCCACAGCATGATGCTGCCACCCCTGTGCTTCACGGTTGGGATGGTGTTCTTATGCTTGCAAGCGACCCCCTTTTTCCTCCAAACATAACAATGGTCATTATGGCCATTCAGTTCATCAGACCAGAGGACATTTCTCCAAAAAGTACAATCTTTGTCCCCATGTGCAGTTGCAAACCGTAGTCTGTCTTTTTTATGGCGGTTTTGAAGCAGTGGCTTCTTCCTTGCTGAGCGGCCTTTCAGGTTATGTCGATATAGGACTCGTTTTACTGTGGATATTGATACTTTTGTACTGGTTTCCTTCAGCAGCTTCACAAGGTCCTTTGCTGTTGTTCTGGGATTGATTTGCACTTTTCGCACCAAAGTACGTTCATGTCTAGGAGACAGAACGCATCTCCTTCCTGAGCGGTATGACGGCTGCGTGGTCCCATGGTGTTTATACTTGCATACTATTGTTTTGTACAGATGAACGTGGTACCTTCATGCGTTTGGAAATTGCTCCCAAGGATGAACCAGACTTATGGAGGTCTACAATCTTTCTTCTGAGGTCTTGGCTGATTTCTTTTGATTTTCCCATGATGTCAAGCAAAGAGGCACTGAGTTTGAAGGTAGGCCTTGAAATACATCCACAGGTACACCTCCAATTGACTCAAATTATGTCAATTAGCCTATCAGAAGCTTCTAAAGCCATGACATCATTTTCTGGAATTTTCCAAGCTATTTAAAGGCACAGTCAACTTAGTGTATGTAAACTTCTGACCCACTGGAATTGTGATACAGTGAATTATAAGTGAAATAATCTGTCTGTAAACAATTGTTGGAAAAATTACTTGTTTCATGCACAAAGTAGATGTCCTAACTGACTTGCCAAAACTATAGTTTGTTAACAAGACATTTTTGGAGTGGTTGAAAAACGAGTTTTAATGACTCCAACCTAAGTGTATGTAAACTTCCGACTTCATCTATATTGATTATACAGTATATATTTGTTCTATGCAAACAGTGAGATGACCTTAGAAAGAGCAATAACAAACCAAACCACTCAGATTAAACAAAATCTTCTCTCTCACGCCAACTAAATACAAAGAAATCAGAGATTGCAGAGCAACCTAATAGCATGATGTTGCAATTGTGCATTGTATTCTGTGATCTCTGCTCAGTGTTTTGCCCCAGTGAATTGTCGGCAGCACAACTGCACATAGCACATTCCACAAGTTACTGTTTCCAAGTTGAGCTTCACCATGGTAGCTTGTTTCCAGAGTAGTCGAAGAATCCTCCATGATGCTTTTCTGTCAGATCAGCGATAACAGACAGCAAAGATGATACGCTCTCCTCCAACCTCAAATCCGCCTGATCCATTAAAGACAGGAAATGCAGCATATCAACCGTCAATTTATTGAGATACACATCAATGTATTCTAATGTATTCGTATTAAGGACCCAATCATAAAACACCTCAACCAAGAGTATGGGACACTCACATGTGCACCACCCATGCAGTGCGCACCCAGCCAGGGTGAAGGGCCATGCACAGAATTCCTTCAGATCCCAGGTCAGTGGCCAGACACCTTGTCACCATCTTCAAGGCAGCCTGCATATATGTAAACAAAACAAGATGGACAGGACATGTAATGACTGTGTACGCATACAAACAGTCAGATTAATTATCTTCACACCCAAACATCCTATGCCCAATATTGCAACCAGAGATGGTCTGTAATGTTTATATGGGCTCTGTTGAAAGGACAATTACTGTTGCTGTTCACCTTTGAGGTCCTGTAGGCATAGTTTTTGAAGGTTGCTCCGGCTCCCCAATTTGGCCTTAATGGAGCCCAGTATGGAAGAGATGTTTATCACAGCTGCCCTATTGATCCCCATTACAGTGATCGTGCAGCAGCTGCCTGGAGCAATGGCAGAAATGCCTACAAGAGCCAACTTCATAAACAACTCAGTCAAAAACATGACAATGTGATCTAGATAGTTGCAATGTAGGTTTCTTAGATGAAGTATGGAACTGGTCATAAAACTTGGGTATGTGAAGATCCTCTGTACTACAACAAAGAGGTTTCTCATTCATGCTCTTCTAGAGGTGCAACAAATACATTTACCTTGGTGACAAAAAGAGGGGAAACTATTACTCTCGAAAGTCTTCATCATGTCGTCAGGTGTCACTGTCTTCAGATCAGTGGATAAATTGATGGCTGCGTTGTTTATTAGGCAGTTGAGCCCATCACCTCCCAGTATGGATGACACCTCGTGAAATGCTGAGTCTATATTTTACTGGCTGACAACCTGTTAACAGAGATAGCATGATCATTTAAAAAGAAACAGGAAACAAACACAATTTTTTTGTTGCTTGTTTTGCTTTTAGAGGATATGGTTTAATCAGCTAATGGTTATTTCAGTTTGGCATCTCTTCATGTTCTGTTGAGTACTTCAAACGTATAAATGAGCATGTAATCAAAGTTACTTGAATGTGTTAATTAAAAGAAGCCCTAAGAGGAACCCCAAGCCAAAAACCCAATACAGTGCCTCTTGCGCCATCTGCTGGAATACCAAGCAAGGCACATGATACACATAGGATCATATCCCCAACAGAACAATGAATCCATCCGCATCACACTGCACCCTCTTTTATGTGTCCGTGTTATAGTAATTATGTAGGCTATGCTACTCACCAAGCCATACAATATAAACACCTTTGCAAGATTTGGCAATATTTTGAAGATCCTGAAATGAAGAACAACTTATATCATGCATCCCTAGATTTACAGTCAAGACATATTCTCACACGTGTATTCCCATTAGGTGGAAATTCATAAAACAAGTTGAACATGATGTTCTCCTACCTATACTGCGGCTGTTTTGACTGCACCTGTACTGCGGCTGTTTTGCGCGCAGTCACTATTATTGTAGTCGGTCGCTCCGCGCTTTTCGCCAGGTCTTTCACCATTTGCAGACCGAGGCCTCTGTTCGCCCGAGTAATTAGTACAATATGACATTTTCTGAAATTTAGATTCATACTAGTTAGAATATGTCTGCTAGTTTACTTTGTTTGATGATTAGGAAGTATGATCGGCCTGTCCAGACAGAACTTTAGCAGCGATACAATCTGAAGGCGTGGTTCTAAAACAACACGACTGGACCAATGAAGGGAGCTGCGCTTGATTTAGTGTATGTCAACTGTTTTTTATTGTCTTGCAATTTTTATAGAAACAAATATGTCAGTTTGACCTGCCTGTTGTCTTCTAAATATGTTATTTTTATTTATTTTATTTTTCAGCAACTTTGTAAGAATATATAATATTATTTTATACACAGAATACTATGGAGAGTGGGTTCAATTTAATTGTGGTATGAATCATGCACACTGATATGAAAATACAAATGCATTGATCATTTTCACATGAATATTTAGCATTTAAGCATTTTAGAACTAACAATGGTCACCCTCCATAGGATGCTAACAAAATATTCAATAGTAACAAATATGTATTCTAATTAGATGTGTAAAAACAAACAGGATGTGTGTCTTTGTCAAACCCCACAGAATTAGTAAACTATACAAGCCAATCAAAAATGATTTCCCTCTCAAATCAGTTCCATCCCTATTCACTACTAATTTAAATAAAATAATTACTAGTCCCAAAATGTAAATCCAAAACACCATCCTGTGCACCAGCCAAGCCAAATCGAACGCATCCATTTGAAAGAATGGATGTGGCTCGCGCCACCCTCAACCCCCTAATCTAAATATTTTCTATTACCAGTCACTTCGCCTCAGAGGAAAGGTCCTTCCACAACTGACTGTCAGGTAAAGTTATTGGTGGAGGTAGCTAGCTAGTACTAGTACTAATTAGCTTTGAAACACCAGGATATTGTTATTTGTTGTGAACTATCCAGCTAATAGCTATTGGAACAAGATCAACAAGAACAAGAATCCCTTTCAATATTTCTATAAATAGAACTAGCTAGCTAGCTAACGTTAGCTAACTAGCTACAGTAATTAGCTCAACTAACGTTATCTATTCTAGCTAAGCTAACGACTAAAATCATAACGAAGCAAAGCTGTATGTCAGATGTATTATTGAATGGTGAACTGACTGATTCTGTAGCTACTAGTACATCTGGGCCGGTTTCCCAAAAGCATCTTATAATAATATGCCATTTAGCAGACGATTTTATCCAAAGCGACTTACAGTCATGCGTGCATACATTTTTTTTTGTGTTTGGGTGGTCCCGGGGATCGAACCCACTACCTTGGCGTTACAATCGCCGTGCTCTACCAGCTGAGCTACAGAGGACCACCTTAAGGCTAAGTTCATCGTTAGAACCATGATCAATGATCCTAACCATGAAGTCAGCCTAAGATGCTTTTGGGAAAGCGGGCCCTGTTCCCTCTGGGCCAGTGTTGTACTAGCTACCCAGGCTAACACCACTGTCACTGATTTGTGTTTTTGTCAGGGAGGAGCCTTGTTTAGAATGAGTTGCCTCAAAGAGCAAACCCACAGAAGTCTGGACAATGATGGATCCGAAACCTCAGCTGTCTATTCCTCTGAGAACTATGGTTGCCACCTAAGAACATTGGACGTCAACATTGATTCAGGAGATCACACAGACTTCAGTGTGTCAGGAGTGATGCCCCATGGTTCAGGTGGAGAGTGGTCAGGGTCCAGCAGGATGGAGCACCACTGTACCAACTACAGATTCTACCCACCACCACATGATGCTGAGCCCTCACTCCCTCAATACCCATTTGCTACTCATGGAGATGATGTGCTCCCCCAGTCTAGCCCGTTCCATTTAATGAACCCCAGTTTAGCTAATAACAGCCATCTCAGTTCACTTGGTGGCCAGTGGTCATCTGAGGGCCCAGTCCACTGCAATATGATGTCAGTAAGTGCTAATTCAAACCAACAACAAACCTTAGAAATTAGAATTACATTACAATCCTCAATCTATGGGTGAGTTTGTATTGCAACACCTGGCGCCCCGAGTGGGTGGAGATTTTTAAAATGACCAATAGAATGGTCTAAAAGGTGCAAACCCCGCCCACCCGGGGCATCCCGGCGATGCAGAATGAACTTACCCAATACGCTCTGATATTTTATTGAATATTTTCATATCACTATCAATTATTTAGGTGGTACAGTATATTGCTCTAATTCAAGTTTGTGTTATGTTACGGATTCATATTATTTTGTTTTGTCCAGGGTGAAATCTATGATGCTGTGGCAAGCATTTGCCCAGACAGCAAGGATGACCACGGACGAGAGTCCTATCGCAAACAGGAGACAATGGTAGAGCTAATGCCTCAGAATCAAATGGACATCAGTCAGTCTGTAAGATGATTTCAAACTTACTGTCTGATGTGTACAAGTGTACATGTAACCTACATACTGCACATGCTTGCAATGACACAGCTAAATGGTAATGCATAATAACATATAATGCAGGACCCCATACAACCTTTACCAGAAAGCATTTCTTTCATTAATTGTGCACTGCAGGAATAGACACATTCTTGGATTCATGTGATCAATGAAAAAGTGTTGACTGTGTGAAAAACATGGGCTAAATGTCAGCATAACAATTCAAATATCAGTCTCACATAGCAAAGATAATTATATGATTTTATCTAGCCATGGAAACCTGATTGAATGGTTATGCTTGAATAGGGCTCTCTGAGTCAAAAGATAGAGCAGTATTCTAAACATGATTGCAATGACCTTACAGGAGTCAAATGGTGCGTTAGTTTGTGTTAATAAGCGATAATTCTTACAAGAGGATATGTGAAGGTCCTTTCATAACAACCGTAACTGAAGACCATTACTGTGTGGATTCTCAGTGAAATGCATCTTTAGCTGTGAAATGCCAGGCATCTGATTATATAATCTCTGTGTTTCCGGTCTCTAGGCCAATGGGCCGCTCACTGTGTATCTGCAGCACCTAGACCACCAGCCTGGGGAGAACGCCACTGTGAGTCTCTAATTGTTTAGCTGAGAGTTATATATAAAACTCACTGGGCACAGACTTCAATTCAACGTCTATTCCACGTTGGTTTAATGTAATTTCATTGAAATGACGTGGAAACAATGTTGATTCAACCAGTGTGTGCCCAGTGGGAAGTTTCCATCATTATTACACAACATGTATTACCTTTAGGCACTACTGTACACATTCAATTGCACAATGAAGGCCTACTCCACAGATGGACATAGTTCTGTGAGTGTGTTGAAGTAAACTCTAACTCCATATAGAGTACCACAGTATGAGTCATAATACCCATAAAACCTAGCGGTCAAACAGGGAAATGGTTCAAATAGTTTTTTCACCATTCATTTTTCCCATAGGGGATTTTAGAAACACTTAAAATAAGGGCTGTGTTTCATGTAGGCTTACTCTGGCGTGAAGTTTTGATAACCGTGTAAATCTCTCTCGGACAAGGTGACTTTTATCAATATATTTGCCTGTATTTAACCCCCCAAAATTAAATGCTAATTAACTCATAGCTCATACAGAACTACAAATGCCATGATCTGGATGAGACTGCCGAATCGAGGCAGAGGTAAGAATATCTGGATGAACTCTCTATTGTTAACGGAATTTAGTCATGAATAAATTGGCAACATTTACTTAAATTGACAATTCTGTTAACTGTCTTGGGCAAGTTTTAAAATAACACTACCTGTTAGCTAAGGTGTCAGCTAAAGATGACGTACAGGAGCTTGCAGGGATTTGTAGTCTTGCATGATGTCTACTTTTATGCTAATTAGCATTTTCGAATCTGAGAGTAGAGCCGAATATATTGATTTACATGGTTATCAAAATGTCACTCCAGGGTAAGCCTACACAAAACACAGCCCTTATTTTAAGTGTTTCAAAATCCCCTATGGGAAAAAGGAATGGTGGGAAAACGATTATTTGACTGCAAGGTTTTATGGGTATTATGACACGTCCACTGTGGGGCTCTATCTAGGTTGTGTGCAACATGAGTGGCCGAGGGCAGATGGTGGTAATGAACCACTGTAGCCCAGGTCAGATACTCCACTCCCTGCCTCCTGGCCACCCAGACTGCAGTCCAGAGACCCACTACTACACCACATCCTCTAAGGGAAATTCAGAGCAGACCTACTCAATGGGAAAAGGTTAGAGGCAGGCAGATCACATCTTAGTGCTGTGTTGTTGATGTGTAGGCTACCATGAAGAATCTTGATCATCCCGCACAACATAGGCCTACTGTTGTTGAGCTGTTCTGGTTATTTGAATACGGAATAAGTAAGCCGATATTGATGTATCAACTATTTCATCCCAGAATGCTTATTATGTATTTTTAGAGAAATGAATGTACATTCATGACTGCAAAAGACAAATGACAAGCCTGTGATTCATAGCAGGCATTATGATGTGTTGTGTAGTATCGCCAGTAATCTCATTCTTCATGTACAACAGCCTCTCAGTCCTACCTGCCATCTATGAGCCTGCCTCCCATTGGGCCCAACCACAGCCTCCTTTCCTCCAACCTGCTGGTCTCCCCTGGTCCTCCTGGCTCTGAATACAGCTACAACCACATGCCTGGACCCTACTTCTCACAGGTCAGTAGCATGTCAGTCTCAGCCTCAAGTCTCATGACCTGCATAAGATTAACTGTGTCTCTAACAATCTAGAAAATGTAGGTCAGAATGTTTGCTATTACTACTGATAAATAACACCAAATCAACCATCGAACTTGAAAAGCTAAAAAGAAAAATGAACTTCATAACAATTGACCATTGAGTTGAAAGGTGACATTATGTATACGGTTGTCCTACCAGTACCACCAGTATCCTGAGTATCCTGACTCCCTGGGTCTGGTCCCTGATGGGCAGTCCATGGCAAGCAGTGTCTTACGGTAGGAACTTTAGGGATGTGACAAATGGAAACTGTTTCTTAACGTTTAAACTGCAATTTTTTATCGGTTTTCCATTAAAACGAGAAGAAAAATGCAAAAGATTCCACGTGAATCCACTAAAATACTACTTTAGTAAAAGTCTAAAAGTATCTGGTTTTAAATGTACTTAAGTACAGTGGTGGAAAAAGTACTCAAATGTCATACTTGAGTAAAAATAAATGCTATACATCCAATTCACTATATTAAGCAAACCAGACGGCTCGATTTTCACGTTTTTTATTTATTTACGGACAGATGGACACACTTCAACATTCAGACATAATTTACAAATGCAGTATTTATGTATAGTGAGTCCGCCAGATCAGATGAAGTAGGGATGGCAACCCGTTATATTGATAGGTGCGTGAATTGGACCAAAATTCTGGCCTGCCTGAGCATTCAAAATGTAACAAGTACTTTTTGGTGTCAGGGTATGGGAGTAAAAAGTACATCATATTTTATTTAGGAATGTAGTGGAGTAAAAGTAAAGTTGTCAAAAATATAAATAGTAAATAAAGTACAGATACCCCAAAAAACGACTTAAGTAATACTTTAAAGTATTTTTACTTAAAGTTGCAATATGTTACTTTTTGAGCGACCCGACCAAATTCACATAGAAATGTGAGTTATAGATCTCTCATTCGCATTGAAAGCAAGTCTAAGAAGCAGTAGATCTGTTCTATGTGTATTATTTCTATGCTTCCCGTTCTTAAGTTTAGTTTTTGCGTCTTTTACTTTTTGTTTTTGTACACCAGCTTCAAACAGCTGAAAATACAATATTTTTGGTTATGGAAAATATATTTCACAGCGGTTTAGATGTTACAATGATTCTCAACACTATACTTGCTTTTTTGTCACATAAACTGAAATTAGGCAAACTATTAGAATTTTTGCAACCAGGAAATGGCGGAGCGATTTCTGCATAGTGCATCTTTAAGTACTTTACACCACTGGTGGCCACTTGCTGTTGTGTTTGATAGTGATCATTCAAGTCTGCAAGTGTTTTGAGAAGGGTGTAACTGCAGCTTGCAATTCGGGGCGTTCCTGCATGTGGGCATTCCTGCATCTGCAGGAACCCCTCTTTATACTTCCATTTGTACATTTTAAAGCTATGACTCCAGTACATAGGCAGGAGGCAGGGACGCTCCAGTACAGTAAATGGCAGTAATGCACCATAACGTTGAATGCCAACCGCTGATAAACCCCAGTGAAGAAAGATACACACCGGTAGAGTGTCCCTCGCTCCTGTTCTGTTAACGATGCCGAGGACACTGTGTGCTAGCTTAGCCAGCTAGTCCTAAGGAGGACTCCGGTACACAGCAGGTGGGAGGCAGGAGCGACACCGTGTGCCAGCTAGCTAACTATGACACTGCAGATATTGTCATCAGATCATATGGTCAGCAGGTCATGGTAGTAACTGTGCATCTTCTCTTTCACCCTGATCAAGTCTCAGTGGATCTCTATGGGACTCCAAATCCAAGAAGCCTTGCAACTGCACTAAATCTCAGTGTCTCAAACTGTGAGTTGTATCACAACCAGTCATTTATATTTTGAATAAGTTAGATATACAGTAGTTTCTTTCATACTCTGTTATCTGTTATGTAGACTCGTGTGATCTCACGTGTGAACGTTTGTAGAATGACCAAACAATGACTCAGAAATCATTGGGTGTTTCCTAAGGCCTTCACTCCTCATGTTATTTGCTATTGTATGTCATCATGACATTGTGGTCTAATCACTGTGTATGCTATCTTTGCAGTTACTGTGACTGCTTCGCTAACGGCGACGTCTGCAGCAACTGCAACTGCATCAACTGCTGCAACAACAATGAGCACGAGTCAGAGAGATACAAGGCCATCAAGGTACAGTGTAACACTTGTCTCATTTGAGTTTTTCCTGGTCAGGTCACATGGTTAGGAACAACTCCTGGCCCTACTGATTACAAGTTGTCCATTCTGTGGCAGTCATGACATTTTGTCAGCTGGTTATTGTCATGCAAAAGACTGCTGGTCTCACCGTAATTGACCGATAATATAAGTCTGCCATTATTTGTATGATTTTATAGTAAGAATAATAAAATGGAACTTAGCTGAATAAAATAGTAAGGATATTTTTCCGATTCCGGAGCGAGTGCGCATATGAAGTGGCTATGTTGAACGTAAAAGTGATAATTTGAAATGGGTCCTATACGCTAGATTTAGAGTTATTTGTCAACTTTAGTTGTGAATGATACAAACCTTAGAGTGTCTTAGAAATAAAAACATATATGAGCTGCATGATGCGACTATAGGCTATTGAACATTTGAGAAAGTAGCAAAAAAAGCTTGTTCCTTGCTTCAGGCTGCACACGCTGTTCTCTCATCAAGTGATCATATTTTCACTATTCTCAATTTAATCTTGTCTTTACTAATATGTCAAATTAGTTTCGATTTAGAATTGCCCATTATGTGAGAAAAGGGAAGAAACCCGCATGCTGCTCTTGCTAGCATGCTGCTCTTGCTAGTATCACTGTTCTTTATTAAAACCTTCGTCAGGCCTTAAGGCCGATGCGTAGAGCTTAATAAAGAACAGTGATAGTAGCAAGAACAGCGTGCGTGTTTCTTATTTATTTTTTATCTCATGTTATTCAATTGTTACCATGCACCTGCAACAAAGATAGCTCAAATGTGCGAGTGCCTTTTGAATTTAGAATGGCCCATTTTCAAATGGGCAGGAACGGGGCAGGGGAAAAAAGACGTCATCCATATGCACTCGAATAGCGAATGAAGCACCCCCGCTGGTTCGTTTTTCAATCATGCTGGTAGGCTTCTCCAGTTATTTCACTCCATGCATCAACCGCTGTTTGAGGAGCATGCAGCCTCTCACTGTGCGACAGGTGATATTCCACCATGGGCTCTCCAATTATGTTCCTGCAGCTACCCAGTGCTTAATTTGGGAAACCAAGTGAAATCTGTTCGGGAACATAGTTTTCACAACTAAACATATTTCATTAAACTGTTGCGAGCCCCTCTCTCTGCCCGCTGGAGAGAGGAATGAAGGAGAGAGAGGAGATGGAAATGCACAGTGGTGAGATATTCTGTAGCTAAAGGTAATGTGTCAGCCTTTTAATTATGAAAATATAAAAAATGCCCTATTCAAAATCAAATACAAATTCACTATTACTGTAGGCTTAGCCGCCCTGCACAATCAATGAACCAACAGCATTGCTTAGGCATGATGAAAATGTATGCACTCACTAACTGTAAGTTGCTCTGGATAAGAGCGTCTGCTAAATGACTTAAATGAAAATGTATGAAAGACATCTTAAATCAGTTTTTTTTAAATGTTTTTCTGTCATGCGTAATATGCAGTAGGGTACGTATTGTAAGACAGCACAATCATTATTTTAAATCAGGATTTCCGGGATTGGGCTCATAGGCCTATGCGTATGCATAAGCTCTAATAGTATGGAGGTTTTGAATTAATCATCACCTTAGAAAGCGCTATCCATTTCGTTGTGTTAGGCTTTAAAACAACATCCACAATGACCATGTTTTCCACTCAGTTTCAACCTGTTGTTGAACTTCTTTCTTCATATTGATCAGTTACATTGAGGTGTTTTAAAAGCACGATACTGTTTTGATGATGTGTTTGATGTGATGTTTTATTGCATTTGCATTGATGTCAGAGTTGTTAGAGGGACAATAGAGCCCTAAGTACCAGGCCATTAGGACCTGATGGTCGTTAGTGAGTTAGGTACTACCAACGCATGTCCAGAGTGCGTAAGAGGAGATTACTTGAGTCATGTGGCATTTTGATTGCCGATGTGGCGGTAATATGGTCACCGCAACAGCGCTAATCATGTCTTGAAACAACTGATGAAGTAGTTGAGGGGACCCCCATAGTATCTGCCTGCTGTCATTCCTGACAGGCACTACACTGCTTGAATGAACTCATCAGGGTTTGTATTGAACCATTTAAGGACTCGCCCAAGGTTAGCGGGTCAGACTATTAGGGGAGTTTGATGGCTCAGTGAGTCACTGGAGTTAAGGCCTGCAGACAGAAAGACACAACAGCTTCAGTGGACCAGGGTTCTGCTACACTCTTAGAAAAATGGGTTCCAAAAAGGATCTTCGGCTGTCCCCATAGAACACGTGTCAAACTCATTCCACGGAGGGCCGAGTGTTTGTGGGTTTTCGCTCCACCCTTGTACTTGATTGTTGAATTAAGGCCGCTAATTAGTAAGGAACTCCCCACACCTGGTTGTCTAGGTCTTAATTGAAAAACCTGCAGACACTCGGCCCTCCGTGGAATGAGTTTGACACCCCTGCCACAGAATAACCCTTTCTGGTTCAAGGTAGAATCCTTTTTGGTTCCAGGTAGAATCCTTTTTGGTTCCAGGTAGAACCATTTTGGGTTCCAGGTAGAACCCTCTGTGGTAAGGGATTTATATGGAACACAAAAGGGTTCTACCTGTAACCAAAAGGGTTCTACCTGGAACCAAAAAGGGTTCTTCAAAGGGTTCTCCGATGGGGACAGTCGAAGAACCCTTTTAGGTTTTAGATAGCACCTTTTTTTGTGTGTATGCTGTAGTGTTAGTCTGTATCTTTCATCTTGTAAGGGAAAAATATTGTCAATGTCAACTGAGTGTAGGGAGTCGGTGATATATAATGTTTACATATGCACGTATGTAGCTAAATGTTATAATTGTGTTGGTAGACTGTGGTTTCTATGTTATTTTAAGATTGATAAAAATATTATTTTCCTGAAGATTTGTCTGGACAGAAATCCTGAGGCATTCAGACCCAAGATCGGCAACGGGAAACTGGGAGAGATCAAAGGACGCCACAACAAGGGCTGCAACTGCAAACGCTCAGGCTGTCTGAAGAACTACTGCGAGTGCTATGAGGCATGTATGGATAAAACATTACTCTGTTTGACTTAAGAGGAACCTGTAGCCTTCACATACACTGAGTATACAAAACATGACATAGACTGACCAGGTGAATCCAGGTGAAAGCTATGATCCCTTAATAATGTCACTTGTTAAATCCACTTCAGTCAGTGTAGAAGGGGAGGAGACAAGTTAAATAATGATTTTTAAGCCTTGAGAAAATTTAGACATGGATTGTGCATGTGTGCCATTCAGAGGGTTAATGGGCAAGACAAATGTAAGTGCCTTTGAACGGGATATGGTAGTAGGTGCCAGGCGCACCGGTTTGTGTCAAGAACTGCTACGCTGCTGGGTTTTTCACGCTCAACAGTTTCTCGTGTGTATCAAGAATGGTCCACCACCCAAAGGACATCCAGCCAACTTGATACAACTGTGGGAAGCTTTGGAGTCAACATGGGCCAGCATCCCTGGGGAATACTTTGGACACCTTGTAGAGTCCATGCCCAGACGAATTGAAGCTGTTCTGAGGACAAAGGGGGGTGCAACTCAATATTAGGAAGGTGTTCCTAATGTTTTGTACACTCAGTGTAGAATACTAGTCTATAACAGTAGTGTTGAACAGTAGTGTATCTATTGTCCCATACAGGCCAAGATTATGTGCTCGTCCACCTGTAAGTGTGTGGGCTGCAGAAACTACGAGGACAGTCCAGAGAGGAAGACCATGATGTGGGACAGCCCTGACACCACCTTCTACAAGAAGGCCAAATGTGACAAGGACAAGTGAGGACATCTAAATTAATTCCATGTCAAACGAAAGCACCATAATCAACCAGTCCCTGCTTTCTCTCCAACTCCCCCACCCCCCCAGGTTTAGTCAATTAAATAATGAATAGCTTTTTAAAAAAATCATAATAAATTAATCCTAAACATGATGGATTAATAAGTAATTTACTAGCAAGTAGGCCATGAATGAATATCAATGCATATGTAGTGTAAGATGATTTTGATTTCACTTGACAAACAAATCATTTAGTCTCTTCAGGCCTTGCAAATTGCATTATGTTGTTGTTGTAAGGAGAGGAGAATGGTCTCCTCTCTCCTTCTTTTGGTCACTGTTGGTCTTTTGGCTGATAGGTGTCCTCTGTCGTGCATCACGCTCGACGTCGTGGAAGCCACATGCGGCTGTCTTCTGGCGCAAGCAGAGGAGGCTGAGAAGGAAGGCTACATGCTGTGTCAAGCTGAGAAAATGATTTTGGAGGAGTTCGGCCAGTGTTTGACGCAGATTGTTCGGTCAATATTTAAATCTACTAGCTCGTAGATAGAAACTCATGTAGGACAAGGTGATTTACATTTTGGATATGGTCTGTTCTAGACATGGTCACATTTAAGCTGCCATTTTGTAACATGTTTGGTAGCATGTTTATCTATATGAAGATGTTGTGAATTGTGTATGTATATGTATTTATTTGTTACATTATTTATGCATGTATTTATGCGTTAATTTATTTAACTTATTTAGTTTAAGTCTCAGAACGGAGGACAATTCCATCAGCTCTGGGTCATATGTCATTTGTTTGAAAGATGAATCAAAATTGAGTTCCATTTCGTTCATCCTTTTCTTTAGTTTTTTTAAGATGCAGAAATAACTTTTCATTTTATGCAAATGTCCCTGTTAAGTCTCTGTTACAATACAACATCCAAATGTCCTGATGAGTACATATACTGATGAGCATTCTGTGGAAATAAAATATTCTATACTGACAATGTGATTTGCCTTATTGTTTCTAAATGTCTGCAAATAAACAATATGCAGAAACTTTTAAAAACAGATTTAAAGATCCACACCATTAGGCTACACCAGGATGCTCTAATTGTATTGACTTTCATTATGTCAATTGAGGTCTTGACGTAAGCTTTTTGTTTTTGAGCTAACATCAACAGCCTTCCTCGGAGAGCCCAGAGTACCTGCAACAGCTGTCTCACACAGGGGTGCTATTGAATCTGAGACCCTGTTGCTATCCCTAACAATAAAAGGGGACAAGAACATAGGGCCTATCACAGATGGTTTGGCTTGGCTGAAGCAGCTTCTGGTTGTAGACATGGTAAGTATTGGATATTATAATTTTGAGTATTTTCAACAACAAAAAACATAGGCTATAGGGAGAAGTAATGGGATGTTTTTTGTTTATTTGTAGAGGTCAAGAGCAACGATTCAATGGACTTGCACAATCATTGTGATTTTGTTGATTGTGGAATCACAAGCTCAAAAGGTAAAGTATTCATCTTGTGCTTTTCTGAACAGTTTTTAAAGAAAATGTATTGATACTCTTGTACTGCTAGTGAATGCAGCAACTACAGCCATGTGATATAAATTAGTTTATCTCTACATTGTTCTACAGATTAAACTTAATCCCAACCGCTGGGGCCCTCAGTCAATGATGTATCTCAAAGGAAAATGTAAGTTTAGCTTCTGGCTCTCTGCTTCCATGTCGTGTGGGCATGTCTTCTCACATATTGCTTACCAAAAGAGACCAATAATGGATATTGTATTTCATGACTTTCAGATGGCACAAGAGATGTACCAGACTATGATGACAGTGTTTACAAATCAGGGTTGAATGGCTGGTACACACTTATTAAAGGTTTGTCTTAATTTTATAATAAGCCAACTGTGAAATGTTAATACAATGTCATAGCCTATTGTATATATTGAACATCATTGACATACTTTAGTAATGTGAGATTGACCACTCATTGTCATATTCAAATTTTGACCATAGGTCAAAGGTTGAGGTCACTGAATTTCAGAAAACCCAGAAGACTTCGAACATCTGTTCCACTACTTGGAGTATTGAAGATTGATGGATATTTTGAGGTTGAAGTAGTTTAGTTATGGGACAATTTTACCTAAAAGAATTGTCTTGTAAAGATGATGAAGGCTTAAATATTTTTCCATTTACTTCACAACATTTTTTAAAAACCAATTTTCACTACTGACATTGTTGATATGTTGATTATATGATAAAATGGTAGTCATTTGTGCAGTGTAAATTTGTACATGTTCTCTTTAAAAACGTATTGTTGGAGAATTTCAACCGAAAATGACTGAATATTATAATAAATTATTAAAATGGCGAAGATAATGACCCTCACGTGTCTGTTGATGTTGCTCTGAGTGCTCATAACAGACAGTCACGTAGTAGGCTTCTGTATGTCTAACACAGACATGGGCTAAACTGACCATGAACTGCACTAAATTGTTAACAAACGTTCTACACTTGTCATCTGATGAAATGAGACTAGCTTCAGGCTGTTCTACACACAGTGCTGAATGTTATTATTAGAGCCAGTCCAGTCCTTTCATATCTAGGAACACCAAAGGTGTAAGGGCTGTGGATCAGAATGGAGCCAGGCAGGGAATACTAATATGTTTTAGCATAGATCCTTCAGTTATTATTTGGCATTTCCTGCCTTAAGATTCATGTTTATACACAGAACAGCAGTTGAACTTCTCCATACAATTTGTGTTTATTAACCCAGAGCCCGGTGATACACTATATATACAAAGGTATGTGGACACCCCTTCAAATTAGTGGATTCGGCTATTTCAGCCACACTCGTTGCTGACAGGTGTATAAAATCGAGCACACAGCCATGCATTCTCCATAGACAAACAATGGCAGTAGAATCGCCTTACTGAAGAGCTCAGTGACTTTCAACGAGGCACCGTCATAGGATGCCACCTTTCAAACAAGTCAGTTTGTCCAATTTCTGCCCTGCAAGAGCTGCCCCGGTCAACTGTAAGTGCTGTTATTGTGAAGTGGAAACGTCTAGGAGCAACAACGGCTCAGCCAAGAAGTGGTAGCGCGTAGCGCGTAAAAATAATCTGTCCTCGGTTGCAACACTCACTACCGAGTTCCAAACTGCCTCTGGAAGCAACATCAGCACAAGAACTGTTCGTCGGGAGCTTCATGAAATGGGTTTCCATGGCGAGCAGCCGTACACAAGCCTAAGATCACCATGCGCAATGCCAAGCGTCGGCTGTAGTGGTGTAAAGCTCACCGCCATTGGACTCTGGAGCAGTGAAACGCGTTCTCTGGAGTGATGAATCACGCTTCACCATCTGGCAGTCCGACGGACTAATCTGGGTTTGGCGGATGCCAGGAGAACGCTACCTGTCCGAATGCATAGTGCCAACTGTAAAGTTTGGTGGAGGAGGAATAATGGTCTGGGGCTGTTTTTCATGGTTCGGGCTAGGCCCCTTAGTTCAAGTGAAGGGAAATCTTATGTGCTTCCAACTTTGTAGCAACAGTTTGGCGAAGGCCCTTTCCTGTTTCAGCATGACAATGTCCCCCGTGCACAAAGCGAGGTATGTACAGAAATGGTTTGTCGAGATCGGTGTGGAAGAACTTGACTGGCCTGCATAGAGCCCTGACCTCAACCCCATTGGAACGCTGAGTGCGAGCCAGGCCTAATCGCCCAACATCAGTGCCGACCTCACTAATGCTCTTGCTCTCCGCAGCAATGTTCCAACATCTAGTGAAAACCCTTCCCAGGAAAGTGGAGGCTGTTATAGCAGCAAAGGGGGGACCAACTTCATATTAATGCCCATGATTTTGGAATGAGATGTTCGACAATACTTTTGACCATGTAGTGTATGTGGCCACTACCAGGGATATTTTGTATGAATTATAAAGTGTGATAGATTATAGGCAGTCATGGTGATTCTTTCAGTTATATTTTTTGTGGAGTGGTCAAAGTAAATGTGACAACAAGCACAGCAGCATCATCTGCTGGATATGAAGGTTATACAGAATAATCCTTGCTAAGGGCAGAAGAAGATGATATTATGGTCAAATATACCCATACTGTACACACAGCCTCACAATAAGGCAGGGCAGACAGCTCTGAAAATGGTACCCATTAATTTCTATAGGTTGCCATACACACAAAGGCACACAACCTACCAATAGCTTTACATGATTCCTCTCATGGGATGTGGACATGAAGCTTGGGTTAGGGTGAGGGGTATAGTCTAAAGTTAGGGTTGGACCAGGATGTGGACATGAAGCTTGGGTTAGGATAAGCGTTAGGGTTGGGGTTAGGCTTAACTTTTTACTGCAGTGGGCTAAATCAGGATCACACAGAGTGTTACTTGGTAGTCAAACAAATCTACTTTGAAACAAAACTATACACCTCACACACGGTTATGGGCTTACGAAAAAGAAGACACCTTTACCATGTCAGATATAGAGTTGAAATGTATTTAATTTTGAGTTTGCGTTCCAATATTATATTTAACCCTAACCCTAACCATAGCCTAAACCTAGCTTAATGTCCACTTATCAGTTCAACCTTAACCTTAAAGAAGAATTCTGCTTTTTTACAACGAAATCAAAAAATAAACAATGTAAATGTCATGTTATAGAACAGGGGTATTCAATCACGGGTCCATGGAGTGGTCTGCAGAGGTACTGGAGGAGGTCCGCGAAAATATATACAGTGCCTTCGGAAAGTATTCAGACCCTTGACTTTTTCCGCATATTGTTACGTTACAGCCTTATTCTAAAATGGATTAAATACATACAAATCCTCATCAATCTACACACAGCGAAAGCAGGTTTTTTTTTATTTTTTGCAAATGTATAAAAAATAAAAAACGGAAATACCTTATTTACATAAGTATTCAGACCCTTTGTTATGAGACTCGAAATTGAGCTCAGGTGCATCCTGTTTCCACTGATCATCCTTGAGATGTTTCTACAACTTGATTGGAGTCCACCTGTGGTAAATTCAATTGATTGGACATGATTTGGAAAGGCACACACCTGTCTATATAAGGTCCCACAGCTGACAATGCATGTCAGAGCAGAAACTAAGCCATGAGGTCGAAGGAATTGTCCGTAGAGCTCCGAGACAGGATTGTGTCGAGGCACAGATCTGTGGAAGGGTACCAAAAAATTTCTGCAGCATTGAAGGTCCCCAGGAACACAGTGGCCTCCATCATTCTTAAATGGAAGACATTTGGAACCACCAAGACTCTTCCTAGAGCTGGCCGCCGGCCATACTGAGCAATCGGAGGAGAAGGGCCTTAGACAGGGAGGTGACCAAGAACCCGATGGTCACTCTGACAGAGCTCCAGAGTTCCTCTGTGGAGATGGGAGAACCTTCAAGGAGGACAACCGTCTCTGCAGCACTCCACCAATCAGGCCTTTATGGTAGAGTGACCCGACAGAAGCCACTCCTCAGTAAAAGGCACAACAGCCCACTAAGAGTTTGCCAAAAGGCACCAAAAGGACTCTCAGACCATGAGAAACA